CCCTTTGAAGTAACAGGGAAAGGATCTCAGACTGTAGCAAATTACCTGAGGACTGAAACATTTTTGACATAAGTCCTGAGAGACGGGGCGAGCCACTTTTCCTGGCGGCCCCTTTGGCGTTTTTAATCTGGGGCTGAGGGAGACAGCAGCGCTGACAGAATGATGGGACAGCTGGACATGCTTCCAGGCCGGCAGCAGAGAGTCAAAGAAAAGCCAGGAGAAGGGCCACTGCAGACATCTCAGCACGGGGCCAACAAATCAAGACAGCAGACCCAAAGCAGGACGAAGAATGACAAGTGTCCATGGGAGACATCCACCTCCTTCACTCTGAAATAACGACTACCATCTCCACTTCTGGAGGGGAGGAAATTTCTGCTTTTTTAAAGATAAATATTGAGGTTTTGTCTTGATTTGATAGGACGCAAGAGAAAGGTGGAAAGCACCAAATTTCATCTTGGATGGGAAGTGATCCTTTGACCATTGCGACTGCGACTGTGTGCCTGCTCTTCCAGCTCAGCTAAACCAGTGTCCTGCTTAACAGTGTTCAAAAAGATGTCGGTTTTGGTTTTGGTTTTGGCACAATGTATAACAGCTTCATGTTTTTTGTTTGCAGGTCGTGATAACAAATGAAAATGAAATGTAAAACCAGTCCATCTCAGACCTGGCCACACTTGAACCATCAGCCTTTGGACAGCAGTGTTGTTTTTCAAGAGCCCAACTTTGTTCTCGGTGAAAATATCTCTGACACTCCAGGATGAATCAGCACTAAACTTTGGTAAGACATTCATGTTTTCCAGATGAGGAAAATGTCTCACATTTGTGGTTGTTCAAACTTTTTTTTCATGGTAGTTAGTGAACAAATGTTTGCAAAACCAATCCAAAATCCTGACAGCCTTTGCTTTACTCTGGGGAGTTAAGTGGCAAATGTGAGTCTGCTATGATAGCTATGGTGACCACTTAACTTGGAAACACTTGCATGCTAAAGTAGTTTTTTTTTATCATAATGATGTTGGTGTTTAGCTCATTGCTTCAGTGTAGCTAAAAGCACATGTTCTCAGAGCTGCTTGCATGTCTGATTCTTGGTCATGTTCCCAACACTTTTAAACTACTGATTATCAGTCATTCAAGTATAATTTCATGGCACCAAATCCTAAAAGGTTTTCATATAAAACTTAACAGATACAGACTGTTTGACAGTATAATTTTCAATAAAGACACAACTATTGTTTTTGATTTTCTTTTAATACACAGAAACCTCAAGCACAGCCACACTTCATGTTGAATGTCCATCTGATTAAAATGATTGCTGCTTGTTTTAATGTCAGAGAGAAAAAATGGTGACACAAGGAGTATCCTGGTAGCTTTGCACAAAACTGACAGCAATGAAGGATATCTGCTCAAGAGCAGCCTGGATGGACCCGGTTTAAAGTTCTTACAGCTGTTGATGGTTGAAGAGCTGAGGTTACAGACATGGAAAATGGTTTCTGTGTGGATTTGCAACATTTCAATGAAAAATATCAAACTGAGAGGTGGTTTAATTCGTCTCTTTAGTGGACAAAGCAGATGGGGAGTAACCTGAGCCTAACAGGAGGGAACCAACTCAGACATGGCCTTCTTGCTTTTCAGAACAGGACGATTATATTTGACATAAGTCACTTTTCAACCATGCATCAGTGCCCTCTGCTTTGCTTTCACGCTGGTCCAGCGTTTTGCCTTTTTTCTCTCTCAATTTTACAAAGTCATTTTGCTGAAGATGATGAACAATGGCCGTCTTCTCTGAGATCCTATAAGCTTTCTTCCTGAGGGACGCGGCTGTAATCGAGTATGTAAGAACGTATTGTTCCTCACTTTGCTAAGACTATCCAAAATAATATCTCTCCTGCAGTGCTTGAAGAAATCTGTGGATTCAAAGTGCAATTAACTGTCAGCAGGCAGCTTGTAATTGGGTATCTATTGTCTTCATGACCTTGCCACATCAATAGCATTTATCTTTAAAACTGCTTTTAACCCGATGAAGCCAATTCTTTAACTCAGGGAAGTATCAAGAATCAAACCTGTCTGCCTGCCTGCCAGTGATTTCCTGTGTTTTGTGTTTGAGCTCTGGAGCTGTCTACTTTCAGTCTGGGAACAAGCATCCTCCTCAGCCTTTGTGACCCTGTCCTCCCTCCCCCATGGGTGGGCTGTGACCCTGCTAGCCTGCAGCTACTACGGGTTGCAAACTCTCACCCTGGACTGCTTGTAATCCAGGGGATGTTCCTCGGTACACTTAATACTCTTTGGCCCTCTCTAAAATTCAGTAAGAACCTTCCGGGTCAGAGGTCATGGTACCAAAGAGAAGCAGTCGATAAAAATAGAAGGTCATCTAAAAATACTCGCTCCTGTCCGTTCTCATTTAGGGAATACTCCGTTTTCTGGCCAAAGTCCTGATGTCACCAGACACAGGAGTCAGAGGCGGTTTTGTCTCCAGAAGAGGAGGCTTAATGATGTTGATGTCTTTTTTCTCGTATGTAACCTCATACTGCTGAGAAAATGTCAGAGTGCAGGAAAGAGTGTGTGTGGACATCAGATTCTGGGGGCCTTTGAGGGGCCCCTTGCACTGACAAATAGAGCAGTCTGTCCTTATCTCTGCAGAGTAAAAATTCCTCCTCTGAGGCTCAGGACTGAAGCATCTGATTCCAAGATTTTGAACAATGAAGAGAAAGGTCTAAAATTAGTCCTCTTTTAGCTTTGCTGGATTTATGCTGCAATATTTAACCGTGATGTGGAGATAAAAGTTGTGATTAAAAATGACAAATCGTTCCAAATATACCCCCCAAGACAAATCCACAATCTTTAAGAAGACAGTCTAAACTAAGACGCACTCATAAATAAAACCATCCTTCCAGTTATTTATTGTCTGCTCACTCATACTTTACAAGGATGGAAAACTTGCATTTTTATGACATAGTGTCACAACCTGACACCTGGAAGCACTGTGGTGGATCAGTACAGTGTTCTTGGTCTTTGGACTGATGGGGTTTCCCGCTGCAGCTCCCTGCTGGAACAAGCACTGAACAAGAGCTACAGTAAAAGAGGAAATTATATATCTTCACTGCCAAATATTTTCAGCTTTTACTGCGCTAGTAAACATTATTAGCAGCGATGTGAGGGGTTCAGGGGTACTGCACTTTTCAGAAACCCACGAGGGGACACAGATGCTTGTTTACAGCACGTCTCTATGAATGAAAAGGTTGAGTCAACTGAGTGACTAAAATACAGACATTTAAAATACAAAGTCAGTTAACCATCAAGGACCACATTTAGGTTTAAAATTCAGTTTAATTGGCTAATTTGCAATTATCATTTCTATGCAGATGACACTCAGCTGTTTCTGTTTCACCATGAAATCAAGATGCACTGCAAACCCTCACTACATTGACTTACAGATGAGCAAGAGCTTCTTAAAACTGTTGAAAAATAAAACCAAAGTACTTGTAAAAGGTCCTAAATCTGCCAGAGATGAGCTTCAGACCGTGAGGGGAGGTTTAAACAAGCACATCAAATCATACGTTACCAACTTAGGAATGATTTTAGATTTTGACTTAAATTTTATATCTAATTTTTACAAAGTCGTGAACACAATTTCCAATGTATTTATTCTTATAATTTAATGTTTCTATCATCATTTTATTATTATTTTTTTGTTCTGTCAGTCTATTCTTTTGTGAAACACTTTAAACTGCATGTTTGTATGTATGAAAGGTATTATTTAAATAAAGGTGAGTTGTCTGTTATGACCAATATTGTCACCTATAAATGTCAATCCCTGTTTTCTGAATATTAACAAATGCATTACTTTAGACTGGTTGACATGGCAAACATTATACTTGAATATTGGCCTTTTCTTTCTGAATTGTTAGCTGACTGCAACTTATAAGCAGCTCCACATGCTGCTGTCTGAGTGTCTCAGAGCACACCTCCAGATTCTGCAGTTGTCTATTCTATTTTGGACATCTAAGTATTTGTAGGTTGTCTTTATCATAGCGGCTCCACCAAACATCAGTGTCTTCCTTCTTGAGTGTGATACATATCTAGTGATGTCTGCAACCGTCACCACAGCATATGTTCACAGTCTATGTACGTCAATAAGACACCGCAATGTTGGTTTCTTCTCAGCTTGTTTTACATCTTAGATACACAGACACTGATAAGTCAACCAGTAAAATATTTGTTTGTATGACATAACTAAAGTGTTTCTTCAGGTTATGGCATTTCCCAGTTTTAAAGCAGAGGAGTGTCCTTGAATGCATCTTCATATGTTCCCTCTTAAAGCTTTAGGGACGTTTAAGAGATGAACCCATTATCTGCTCCAGTAAAGTGTTGCGTGAGACGATGTGTGTGTAGTTTATCAGAGCTTTTGTCCCTCTCTTTTTATCCTGTGCCATATTTGTAAGTTCTTTTAAAAACACAGATGCCTCCTCTTGAATGAGACCAGCCTTATCTATCGTTCAGACTACCCTCTCTTTTTCACTGTGGTCTAAATGCATGGACCACCAACCTCCCATCTCCTCCTACGACTAAAGTCAGGGAGATATGATGAAACAGATGAGATTCTGCCCAATGCTACGGGACCTGGTGGTACTTTGTCTGGCCCATCTAGATCCCTCTGATACGGTGTCACGATAAGTAACATGAAAGTACCCTGTCATCAGCTTTTTTCTTCTGCTCCTCTCTGTCCTACAACATCACAGCAGGGCGAAGCCTCCATGTTGAAGAGAACAGGCTTTTATATAATTCTGCTTTTGGAGGCCAAAGAGGAAGATGTGTTGGCTTTAGATGAGCAAGGAAAGATTTCAAAAGGGCTTGGCAGAAATCTGCGCACAGAATTATCTGCCTGATCAGGTCATTGCCTCGTATGTGAGTGCAGATTATTATCCACTACACGGTGTTTGGACAGTTTAAAGCTTGAGGCTGTCTTCAATGTTTTATTATTGATCTGAAGCTCTATCCGATTACAGCTGCTTCAAGGAGGCTGAGTTCCAGTGCTTGTATATATCATAAAAAGTTATCAAACTGGACTGATAAAAGTATTGTAAAATTACCCCCTCAAGCTTAATAATACACTCTGTTGTCAGGAGTCGGGTATGAATGTTTCCTAGTTCTCTCTGTTCCACTTTCACTTTGAACAGTCTCATTCAATGAACAATCAGAGAGATTTTTTTTTTTAAAAAAGAGGACACAGGGAGAACTGTAGTCACTGAACAGACCTCTGTTTTCTCATGATTTGCATGCTGCCTTAAATCAAAATAACATTTCCTGGGCAGAATGACAGGTTGCTTGTTGACACAGCAGCAGCTGAATGAATGTATAACGTCTACCACTCTGCAGACATTCAAACACGCTGCTATCACTGCTGTTATGATTATACACTGCAACCCTCTGGGTCGACAAAGGAATGAAGCTGTCCTTCCAAAAATAAACATTAACTGTGAGATGTATTACACCTGATTGTAAAACATCCACCAATGACAACATAAACCCTCACCTTTCTTCCTTCAGGGCTCAGGATTGTAGCTGCTATTGTGATTGGTCACCACAGGTGAGGCATGTTGAGGAAACAGCATGCCTTTCTCCTCCCAGAAAACTGTCTTTGTTTGCCTCTGACAGCGGGAATGTGAGGCTAAGCATCTATGTGGCATTTTGAGCGCTTGAAACGAGTCCCTTGTATTTTCCTAATGTGCACAGAAAAGCACTTTGATCCTCTCGAGCAGCGAGGGTCTCAGCTATCCCAGTGAAGGGACCTCAGCTCATCTCTTTAAGTCCACTTCACTTTATTTTGTAACCGTCAGGTAAACTGATTATATTTCCTCATTTCGGCCTCAAGACCAAGGGCCAAGGCTGGGATTGATAAATGAGGAAGTTTTACTTTGGGATCATATTTTTTCTTTTTCCTCATTTGTGCTGATATTTTAATCACACAGAAAGGCAGATAAGTTTGAATCCAATAAAAACACCTAGGTGAATAAAAGACCAGAGCCAGACAGACTGAATAATGTGAGCATGACCAGTTTTTAGAGTAGATAACATTGTGGGACTATAACTGGTCCTCCACTCAAACACTGGAACATTTGAAGTCCAGTTTCTGCCTACTGAAGCAAACAATACTGACATCTCCATTGTTGAGGCATGGGAAATGAATTTGGGAAGCACAGGTGAAACTCTAGAAAGCTTAAATATGATATTTCCTGTGTGTTCAGCTTCTTTATTCTAGGCCAGATCTGTATGATGATTAGTTACTGAGTCGTGGAGAGGTATGCATGTCTCACAAGCTGAAGGAAGAGATGTAGAAAACTCTGTGTCCAACAACTGCTTATCTCTGAGGGCCCCGACTGTGAAGGTTTAGCTAATTATCAAAAGGACTTCTCAGCCTTTACAAAGACTGTATTATCACCAATTTTTTGATCATTTAGTATACATTTACCACCAGAATTAATGTTGATTGAGATATCAGTCAATGCATTTATACTCCTTTAGACAGAGCATCCAAAAGTTTCCATTAAAAGTTGAACTTTCCTGCAGTGTTATAAATCTTTCATCATTTATCACCTGCTACAGCCTCTCACAGAGTTCTCCATGATCTGTGTGAAAGTGGGGGGAAATGTTGGCTCTGTCCAAATAAAGTGAGTGATTAACCTCTGAATCTCTGATAAATCAGGATAATTCATAGACAGTAAAAAAGAAACCCTCTGACATGATTTTTGATTTATATGGACATGTAAAAACTCCTTAACAGAATTTCTTTTTTCCAGGTCTCATAATTATTCTTCCTTTGAATCCTTTTTTTTGTGCTCATTTTCACATGAACAGTTAAAGGGATATTTCGGCGTAAATTTAAGTTATGGGGAAACACACCGCAACACCAAGTTAGACACAGTACATATTTCTTTAGCAAAGAGACTAAACACAACTCACCTACTCTCTTCCAGCAGCTGCTTATTTGTGGGGGGAGCCCTGACGAGTCGATCACCGATCACTGAGCTCAAGGAAGAACATTTATGATTATTACTTCATGGAAATGCAATCAGAGTTCTTGTGTATCTTGCATGTGCACTGCAGATGCAGTAGTTCTTCTGCCTTAGCGTCTTGATCTGATTACATTTCCATTAAGTAATAATCATAAATCTTTCGCTGCACTCGGTGATCAACTCACCAGGGCTCCCCGACAAACAAGCAGCTGCTGGAGGAGAGTAGGTGAGTTGTGTTTGGTTGAGGCTTGAGCGTGGAGACATAGACCGCTGTGTATTGCTATCCTGCAGTCATCACTAAAGTTGGTATACCTAGAGAAGCAAGCAGTCGGCAACACTCATCTCTCGAGGGGGTGTCTAACTCTGTGTTATGGTGTGTTTGACCCTAAATTAAATTTATGCCGGAATATCCCTTTAACTTGTCTTTATAGAGCAGTTTTGTGTCTTCATCTCTGAAACATCAGTGTGTATTGGACCCTTTCTGTTGCTCCTACAGATTAATTTCAGGCATTAATCTTTCTCTTTTTTCCTCCCTTTTTTTCATTGCCTTCCTCTTATCTGCATCAATCTGGACAGACGTTGGTATTTTTGAACTCTGATGAGGTATTTGTAGTAATTTATGTGACTTGGATGCAGGGTTATTCAAAAGTTCTGATTCTTCAGACGCCCAGAGAATACAGAAATAAACTTTAGTCATTTTTTAAACAAACTTTATTCTAATTCTGAATAGAAGCTGTAATGTCATTAAATAACAGCTGTGTCTGCATTAACTGTGTTTCTGTGGCACCGATTTGCTCTGTGGACCTGCGTGCTGTTATCTGAAGGTGGAGTCTGTGGACTGGCGGTGTTAAACCTCCCGCCTGGCTGCCTCTGTAGTGAAGTGATGTGTCTTTCCTGGCCAGGGGATTTCCTCCTTCCAGAAGCACTCAAGGTTATTACTGTGGAGGAGGATCTGAGCTCTGCTGCTGCGCCTGTTTGAAGTTCCCCACCACGCTTTGCCCCACTAACACTCCCAGAGGTCACACTCAGAGCAGGCAGCGAGCAACGGGCTCACACACAGAAAAATCAATCATAGCTGCTCTTTGCAATTTGAAAATATCCACGTTAAATGTAGTCTGAGATTACAATCATGATTACTTTTAAACTGTTTGAATCCACCTTGTAATTACACACACATACCTCATGCATTATTGATGTATTTACTTTCTGAATGCTGAGTGTGGAGACTAATGTACTGCACGTCTCTTGATTCACTCTGACTCCTCTCCACAGGCTGTCTGTGTTGGCTCAGTTTCTCCTCTGTTCCCAAAAACAACTGGGACAAAAGCTTCTCTTGGATCACTTGCGCCTCTTGACTCGCTGGGGCTTGTTCATGTTTAGCCCTGTGATTAATTTAAAGTAACTATGTAAGAACCTGAGATTAATGTACTGCATGGCAAAGCCTTCTTTAAACTCTACCTGTGCAGCAGTAATGTCAAAGGAAATAACCTGTTCACACTCACTCAAGATAAACCTTCATAAAAAAGGATTTCTGTCTGTGTTATTTGAGGTTTACTAATCTCAACACTGTGCTACAAGACATTTAATCATTTGAGCAACACTGCTGTACAACCCCAAATCCAGTGAAGTGGATAAAAACAGAATCCAATGATCTACAAATCTATTTTCCAACCCTATTGAACTGAAAACACCATAAATACAGGATATTTAATGTTCGAACTGATAAAATTTATTGTTTTATTGCAAACATTCACTCATTTTGAATCTGATGCCTGCTACACATTCACCTAGAAAGCTGGACATGGTCATGTTTACTGCTTTGTTACATCACATTTCATTTCAATGACTCTCGATAAGCATTTAGGAACCGAGGACACCATCTGTTTAAGCTTTGGAGGTGAAACTCTTTCACATTCAACCACAAATGCTGGCTTTGACCTTTGACCTGATCAAAGTCTAGATGGTCCTTTTCCTCTTTAAGACAACACATCTATGATTTCATGAGACAATCTGAAATGTGGACTCATCAGACCACCACCCACTTTTCCTTTTCATCAGTCCATCTCAGATGAGTTCTGGTCCAGAGAAGCCGGTGTTGTTTCTGGCTGTTGTTGATACCTGTCTTTGTCTTCACATGGTAGAGTTTGAACTTGTAGATGTAGAGATGACTACCGATGGTTTTCTGAAGTCCTCCTGAGCCCACGTGGTGAAATTTTTTACAGGATGATGTTTTTTTGTTTTTTTTTAAGCAAGCCGCCCAAGGTGTCAAAGGTCATGGGCGTCCAATGTTGGTTTTGGGTCTTGCCACTTAGGTTTCTCTGGATTCTCCAAATCTTTAGTTGATTTTATAGACTGCAGATGATGAAATCACTACATTTCTGCAATTGCATGTTCAGAAACGTTATTATAAACTGTTGGACTATTTGCTCACGCAGTTGTTGACACAGTTCTGAACCTGGCCTCGTCCTCGCTTGTGAATAACTGAACCTTTCATGGATGCTCCTTTTATAGATGATCAGGACATTCACCTGTTTCTCGTGAACCTGTTCACCTGTGGAAGGATCTGAACAGCAGTCCATTTTTATCAGTTTGAACATTAAATACCTTGTATTTGTCATGTATTCATTTTGATTGGTGAAAAAGGATTTACAAATCATTGTATTCTGTTTTTATTCATATTTTACACAATGTCCCAACTTCATTGGAGTTGGGGTTTGTATGACTCATCTCCCATTACACTAACTTCAAGTAGAAAATGAATTCAGACTATTTCTCTGTGATATTGATCTCCATTGATCTTCTACTTCATCACTTGTTTGGTTCACACACCCAGACACTCTCAGACTATTCAAATGACTGATCTGAAAGCTGAATGAGTTTTATGTGTGTTTTTGATGTTTTCCAGGCATCAGATCAGAGATAACCACAGCAGCAGCAGCCTGTGAGACTTTCTGCCGTGTTGAGCAGTCAATCAGGCTGTGAGAAAGTTTTGTTGACTGTTAGCACTTGAAATCAAGCTGTAGCTGTTTTAACTGAGAGGATAACAAATAACATCCCTTCAGCCCTGAAAGACTGCCAGAGAAATGATGTGGGCCCATATCCTGGTATTTCATTTGCCACAGTGAGCTCAATGTAAATCAGGTTCAAGTTAGCTGAAATGTGCAGTAGACGTGCAAAATTTCACAGTAAATTCTTCTTGCATATCGTTTTTCTCTCCCCTGTCTTTAAGTTGCTCGCTCTAAGCCTTCTTTTCTCTCTTTCTCCTCCTGTTTTGTTATTTTACCTGAAGGTGCAGGTGTGAAAGGGTGAGGCCATGGAAAAACATTCGACTCCGTAAGCTTGTCATGAAGGAATCCATTGAGTGACCTCTGCATCTTGGCACACAATGACAAATGGGTTTGCAATTTTCCGCCTGACTGGGGGGCAACAAAGCACATTTCCACTTTGAGCGGTAGGCAGTGAGAGTACAGTCTTCCTCTAACAGGCGGTGAGCGTTACACGTATAGGTGGTCTCTTTACTTTGGAGAGTGCAGCTTTTATGGTCAAAATAGACTTATACAGGATAAACATACTGAGGAGAAAGCCTTACATTACACCAGGAGGTTATCTGAACAGGAAGAGAGCAGGGTGCAGACTTGCATTTCACTGTCAGGACTATATCTAAATTTAGAAAACCTCTTTTATTTCAAGTGAAATGATCTTTGACTAGTATAATCTCACTCAAAAAAAGGTGATTTGGTTTCCTCTTTAACTACAACCTTAAATATTTCCCCTCATGCTCTGTTCAGTGATTGCAGAAGTCTTGAAAATATTATTCCATAAGCTGTGATAAATATAAATATGTGTATTTTGCCCTTTCTGTTATTTTGCACTACTTGAAGTTAGTTTTTATGGTACTTGTTTTTATTGTCTTTTTTCCAGCTTCTCTCCAGACATAAATAAAGAGCCTTGAATATGCTACAGTGTTTCTATGTAAGTGTATACATTAAAGCTCCTATGAGGAACTTTAGGTTTCTGCCGATTTTGGCGCCCCCTGTGGACAAAGCAGTCTTTGCTTATCTTGCTCTCTTTGTGCTTGAGGACCTTGAATGGAAAATGTCATCCCGCAGACTGTTCACAATCAAAAATATTGTTTATTGTAGAAATTTTGTGAGTACATTTTAAAAAGAGGCCATTTCTTTAGCTACAGGATAGCACACACACACACACACACACACACACACACACACACACACACACACACACACACACACACACACACACACACACACACACACACACACACACACTTGTCACAGGCATTAAAAAGCAGAATATAGAAATCTTGATTTTATGTCACAGATGGTCTTGTTTGCTTTTGTTCATCATATAACTGCATCAATATGAACTCCAGTCTAGTACATCAGAGGACATAGAGTCATGTCCACGCTGTGCTAGATGTGCAAAAATATTATTAGCCTACATCGATGGTTAAGCGTTGTTTGAGATGAGATTATAATGCAGCTTGAAAACTCCACTTATTTATTATCTTGCATTTGTTTGGCACATGAAATCTTATTTACTGAGCTATGATCTAAAATTTTATTTCATCTCTCCTGGTAAAGGAAACATCAACAAGGAAAAGAGGACTTCATACTGCTATTGAATTTGGTTTGTAATGTTCTCACTTCTTTTACTTTCACACCTATAAGTTTTTCAAAAATTAATTATATTTGATATTTATGCTTCAACATTAAAAAGCACTAAATATATATCTCCTGATCTTGCAGTGCTGCTCATAGTTATAATGTTGAATTTCTCTGTGGGGCACATCCATCTTGTTTATGAGTAAGTTGCATCGCTCATGACGGCTGCTAATTCCATGCTGCTAACCAGTGTTTTCACTGCTGATTGAATTGCTTCCAAAACCTACAAGAATGTTTAAAGTGGAGCTATGGAAATGAACCAATTGACCTTTTTCCTGACCCCAAAGATCTCCACGCCCCGTGGGAGCAGGAACTGTCAGGCGGCACCACAGTCTGGAAATCAAAGGGGACTGTGCTGTTATTAGTGCAGCAGCACCCTGAGACCTGCTGCCACTCCTCCGACATGGCCTCTCTCTCCTTCTGTGTGTGTGTGTGTGTGTGTGTGTGTGTCTCACACACACACACACACACACACACACACACACACACACACACACACACACACACACACACACACACACACTGAATGCCCCAGAGCTATCATTTCTAAATTATGATTCAATTTTATAGTTTTATTTTTAATCTCACTTGCCTTGATGACTTTCATCTATAAACTGATGTCGTGGTCTTCAGACTCTTGTCTTATGTGGTTGTGTGGTTGTGCACATGCATGTGTTTTTAGCGTGCCCTATCAGGGCAGTCCAGCGGAGCAGTCCAGCAGGGCGATTATGTCCTGTAGGGATAACCTGTCATGCTGTTGAGAGCCTAATTGATGCCTCATGCATTTCAGGGGCCAATTATAGCGCCCAAATGTCAAGACCTAATTTGTGACTTTGTAATGTGGACACATGGGCCAGATGAAGGGGTGACACGGCTTCCCCAGAGGGACTCCCACACTGGTTTGGTCAGCAGATGTGGGGGCTAGAAGGGTTACAGCAAGAGGCTGGAGGGAGCTGGAGGAAAACCAACGTTGAAGTCCAGATCTTCTGAGACCACTTGCTTGTACTGACTGGTTCCTGTAAAAAAGTATACGCTGGATGTATGCAAAACTTTCCATTGCCAGGATTCCCCTCATCTGTGCTCCAATAACTACTCCAATTTTCTTCAAGAAAAAAGCAGTAAAGCAAGGAGAAAGGAGAATACTCTGATACAAATAAGAGTTCTGCATCTACACACTCTTTTCTAAAGGGGTTTACCCTTAAAAGTTGCCACAAAGCATCAAGGGTCATATAATTTCATTTTAACACTTTACACATCTTATAAAACTTGATTCTTCTTTGTAATATACTTAACTTCATACTTTTAAACCTTATATCTTATATTTAGACTAACATTAACCTTCGATAAGTCATATGCGATATGAAGGGTCTCTTGTGCAAAGATATGATACAAATGAAGTGATCATTTGACTCCCCTCAGCTCCAAAGACTATTTTAGCTTCTTTTACCACATGGATTTGGTTATTTTAATCTCACCATCCTCATCAAGAGTCATTTCCAGCTGCAGCTGCATCAAACTATGAGCATTTAGTCTAATATGACCTCTGCATCAGTTTAGTAAAAATCTAATAATGATGCAATTTAACTGAAAGCAGTTGCTGGTAACCGTGCATGTATCAAACCACCGCTCTGAGTAAATCTCTAGTTTTTATTCTGGTGTGGAACAAAAAGGGAAAATTCTTTGAATATGTCGTCATGCTGATTCCTCTGTTTTTAACATTGTGTGCAAAACAGCGTAAAATTCAGATATCTTTTACCAAAGCAAAAAACACTATGAGGAGTGAATAACATGACCTTGTAGCACTGCTCGACGTCTGTCAGCTGTAAGTGTTCATCACCATCGCTCAGATAAGTTTAATAAACTACATGCAGATCACTTTTACCTTCTGTCAACCTGTCTCTGTACCTTTGTGCAGAATTAGATTCCTCACTGTGTTTCTTCAGCTCAGCCTTCTTCAGGTGTCGTACGCTCACATCTCTTTAGTTATGAAAAACACCGTCAGTCACTGGCAGGGCCCCCGAATGCACCGCAGTGTTGTTTACTATATGAACTCACAGTCAGACCTGACAGCACTCTGGCTTCTTCTTCCTTCACTTTTTGTTCCCCACAACACCTAAACAGTGATGTTTTCTACTCACGTCTCTATGGAGATGCAAACAGAGGAGCATATTTTCCACTGGAGCTGACAGCTCAAGATGTGGGATGTCAGGAAATCAGGTATGCTGGACTAATTGCTGCTTGTGGAAGGCAGACCGCAAAATCCTCTGAGCAATGATGCTAAAAGTGGATGAATTTGAAACACAGGACGTGAAGTTGTGATGATTTTTTATTCTACAAAACACAAACAATAGTGGAAGTAAAGATTTTTAACATTTTGGACTGATGGTTGTATATCTTTTTTATTCCCACATTGCCCCCGTCTCTCTCTCTCTCTCTGGACTCAGATGAAAGCCTCAAAGTCTCCAGTGGATAGCTCTATACTTACACTTCTGCTGTAATCCCTATAACCACACATGTAGCTCATAATTTGTGCGCACGGCAATTTACTAAGGAATAAACAAACAACAAAGAGCCTGAAATCAATAGTTGCAGGATTCAAATGACATAAAGCTGCAGACACCATCCCTGCAAAAACACACTCTTAGAAGTGGCCACGGCTTTACAGCAACAGGTGAGCTTCTTGGCACCTCCCCTGTCTTCCCAAACTCAGCCTACTAAATATAGAAATTATGCGCCCTGATAATTGGGGGCAGACAACAAAGCCTGCTGTATTTCCACCCCTCCCCCTCCTCCTTCTCCTCCTGCTGCCGCGGCTCAGTCATATCCCGGACCGACAAACAGCAGGCCTGAGATCAGAGTGCGAGAGCTTGAGTGCTGAGGGAACACCTGTGCTGTCTGACCTGACTACGAAGATAGACACAGAAGATCACTGACTTCCACACCTGCCCGTGGACCCATGCCATACACTTATACACACACACACACTTGATTGGGTTTCCTCGAGAGCCCTTTAAGGCCGCCGCTGAGGAGGTGATGAAAGTCAGGGAGCGTCCATTAAGCGTGTGAGACGGCCCTCTAGAGTGGCTGCGGATGAGGGGTTTAAGTGTTTTCAGCCAGGAGCAGCAGACCACCTGGAGGAGGCGGAGTGGGAGGAACAAAAGCATGAGTAGAGTCCAAAAACATGGGTTAAACAAGTGCCAAAGAGCACTTCTGGGCATCAGGTATCACAGGTAAAGATTTCCAACATGTTCAGCTTCAAAATGTCACCGTGGGGGAGGAAAAGGGGAGCACTCTTTGATTTGCACAAAGTCTGCTTTTCATGTGATCACGACAAGTCCTGCACTGACACTGTAGTAATGTGGAGGTACTGCAACAACAACACAACTGCAGGTCAAAGCCACGGACAAAGTGTTATGGCAACACACTCCTAAGCTTGGAATGATGGGATTGGAGGAATGAAGCACACCCTGTCCATCATTTTCACGCTTGTTAACTTTTCTTTGGAGCTTCAGAAAGACAAGCAGCGACAGTACCTTTCCACAAACAAGCAGCAGAAGTCTCTTTCAAGTTCTTAGAGGCTTGCGTGTGTTTACCCGGTGGACAGGGGATGTCCACATGCACGCAGGTTATAATACACTCTGGGATGCTGTCATTAATCGACGACAGAAGCGTGTTGATGTTCAAGGTGTGCAGGTGGGAAAGTCCCACAATATCACGCTGTAGACAGGAGAGAGTTGGCAGCAGCGTTGACTCCTTCTATCGAGACACCCCCACTGGCTCGCCATCACACACACACGCTGAGATCACAGGCTGAGCTTTCATGCTTCAACACAGATCTCCCCCCAACCGTGGAGGAAACTGTGAGCTGATATAAGATATAAACTAGGACACACTCCTGCTCTGAGTTTGGCGTTGTCAAACATGACGGGACAGTGAAAAATAACTTTTCATTAGACATTTGAACACACAAAAGAAGAAGCTGTATGAACATGAGAGTAAGGCATACATAGACATGCATTGACCACCTTGACTTCTACTGTTTAATGAGACATCTCAGCGAGTCTATCACCCTCTAAACAGCCAGCAGAGAGGGCTTGATCCTTATCGCTCTGACCTGCACTTATAAACAGCTGCTTAAGTTGCCAGGCCTGTGCAAAAGGTCAGATTGTGTTTGGCCCTCTTTTTGTTGTCGCGCGGTCTTCACATTCACAGGATTCAGACTTTGAAGTTTTATGCGCGGAGCTCGTCTACGACTTCTCTGTCTGCGTAATGGTGTCCATAAAGAAAGACAACAATGGTCTCATAAGCAGGTTTATATGTTTAAACTCTGATACACAAATAAAGCCAGTAAAGTTTCTTACCACAATAGAAATCTGTTAAAAATAAGGATGTGTGTATTTTACAGGAAAATGGTTTTAAGCAGCTGACCAAATATCTTCAGAAAGGTGATTTGGTTGAGTCTTGATTAATTTATTGTTTGTATTATGAGTTTTCTGACTTTAAATCTGCATTTTTGCACAAACAGTCGTTCAACGTTACAAGCATTTCTTTAAAAATGGATTCACTGCTGCCACATTGTGACAAAACGCCGTTCAGATGTGGCGATCCTCCCCACATTTTACTTATTTTGGTCATTTTACAGTTTATCATCGATCGTAGCTCTTTCATAATAAAAGACATAATAGTACAGTGTGTCAGTCTTTGTATAATCAATACAGGTTCTAGTGGTTTTCTCTATATTGCATGTATCTAACTGTAAAAAATATATTCTCAAATAAATAAATATAAAACATAAATATATGTATCTAAAGTGAATAAATAATTGTTACATATTTGCTCTTTTGAAACAGGTCTGGACACTGGCTAAGATTTGAGAATAAAAACAGAATTCCTTCAAAGTCCTTCTGAACAAATTACGCCTCGCTGACGCAGAGGCCGACAGTCAACAGTTCCTAATTCACCACACCGCAGCTTCTCCTCAGACACACATCAGCTGACCTCTCCATCCGACCAGAGGAGATGCTCCTTGACTCTTCAGCTTCGTTTCCCGTCCATCTCCTATTCCATGCAGGTTACTTTTTAGAGTCGCCGACCTCTGAAACAAATGACCTCCTCATGACGAGTGTGCAGACATGCTAGCCTGTCTTCCTGGCTGCTGAGAGATGGCCCGTGCATTCCTACAAGAGGCCCCGGTGCCTTTATCCCCTCTGCTTGGGCTGCTGTCCACCAGCCTGCACTGGCCACATCCCCACGCCTGCATCCCTCTCTTCTTCTTCTCTGCTCCCTGCCTGCCAGGGCTTTAGCAGCTATTCCTTAACTCGACCAGGCCTCCAAGTCTCAGCTGTGTCCAAGGATATCCCTGTACAGCTCAGGCACACGGTCAGGGTCCACAGGTCTGGGTAAAAAGTGCGTAAATTTCTGGTGCCGCCTGGATTTAGTCCCATCCCTTGGTGTCCCATCTTTATTTAATGCCACAAAGTAACGCGTCCCTTTGTCTCCGTGTTTGTACAGGTTGGAGGAGTAAGTGTTGTACCAGTTCTCCTCAAACTGCTCCCTGAAGACACATTCAGCTGTGAGCTTCTCCTGGAAACAAAGAGTTCAACATCAAACAAGTCCTGGCTTTTGATGCAGACCCACATTATAGTGCTAAATATATCCTCCTGAGAGTCACACTGTCTGAATCATTGAATGAAAAACAAAGATTTTTTTACCACATGAATAAGGAAATATGGTACTTACAGATCCATACAGCTCTCCTCTGTCATTCATCCCAAGATACAGTCCACTGTCCACCCCTCTTATGCTTATCAACCCAACAGCAAGGCTTATAAATTCCAAGATACCTGGAGAAGAAGGACACAGTTGTTCTGAGCTGACTTCAGTGAAAGACTTTTTAATCAAAGAAACTCAAAGTCTACCCTGCAGCAGCTCCGTTAAAACTATAATAAATTATACAACTGCATTTATTTTTTTTAACACCTCAACTTTTCAGTCATAGTTTGATGTTTTTTACAATACCAAAAATAAATTCCTTTATGAGTCTGTTATCATTTTTTATTTACCAAAACGACTGTGATCCTTCCTCGTCCCTTGCACTGTGCCATCCGGAAGTATTTCCAGGTGAAAACCCGTTCTGCAGTATAACTGTCTCCTCCTCAGGATCCCTTTGAGGTGCGTTAAATCCGCCGTGGTGCTCCGGGAAAGCCTGTCCCCAGAAATGAGGTGCTCCCCCAGCAGCGTCGGACTGTCCCCAAGTGGAGTCAGGAGAAAATGGGACCCTACCTGGGCGACACCATCGATGCCGTGCAAGACGCCTCCAACTTCCCCAAGAACAGCAGCAGCAGCAGCCATCGCGTCGAAGCCAAGCGGGTAAAGTTCAGCGAGGAGGTCCGGAGGGAGTGTAGTAGACTACCTGGTTGCCACTGTCACTTATTGCATGATTCCGTCCACCTCCTCCGTTACTTAGCGCATGTAAAAAGACATGCGCGTATTTCTCCCCCTTGACATGGAGCACTCACCTAACCTCCGCTGCTGACTGCACCGATTTCTTTTTTCTTTCTTTCTCTTTTTTACCGCTGCGTCTTCACCAGTCGGGGGTGGGCTGCAGTCGCTGATCAGATAGCCCTCATGTTGCATACCTGTTCGCAGTGATGCCTCAGCGGAGCCGTGAAGGCAGGGGTCCCAGCGAAAAAGGATTGAGCAGTGAGGGCTGGAGAAACGCTGCAGTGCAGGTACAGGAGCTCCAGGAGGGTTTGCGCTCAAAGTGGCAGGGGTGGTGAGGCAGGTGCAAAACCACAGGACTAGTAATGGGCGGGGCTGTCACAGTTCAGACGTGCCCTGGCAGGGATTTTTTCCTTCTCTCAAGGCACAACACATAAGACACACAGGGGAGAAAGGTGATAGTGGACAGTGGGCTTGAATAATTCGCGCATAATTCATATAAATTGTTTAAACTTGGTATTTATGAAACTTATGAGTATTTAATAAAAGCGGACACATGTTTCAATATGTTTCTAAATGTTTATCCACCAATTTGCACATTTCCTTCATTCTCATGAAACGGGCGCCCTTTAATCCCACAGCTCCTTGAAATACCCACGGTATTTCTCGCGAGCTCAGAGCAGCAGGCTGCTCGCGCTGCTCCGCTCTGCCCTGTGCTGTATGTTATCGGTTACGACACATCAGGGGTAAACAGCCATGGCGTCCCTGCGTAGACTTATCCCCTCACTGGCTAACAGCACCAAAACTGGCACCTTGACGGCGCAGAAACAACAAACATCCTGGAGAGGCACAAAAGCGCTCAAAGTGTTGGCAGCCGGGGCGTGTGTGACCGCAGCAGCAGCAGCCGGTGCCGCTTACTACTGCTGCTGGACCGACGGTAGAGCTTCTGGGCTGAAGAGCCACGTCGAGGCTCGACTCTTTCATCTGGCGTTGCCATCAGTTTCAGCCACAGATAAGGTAGGTTGGAGTGTGAGCTTTGGGCTTCTCTTTTTTCTAGACTGGATCCGTTGGAAACATTTCTCATGATTGTACTCACTTGAGCTTTTGTAGGACATTGTGTCGTATTACTTTTTGCATGTCCAGGATGAATTGGCAACATCATGTTTTCACGTGACACTAGGATGGTTGATATGTCGTCAGAAGGAGCTATCCCCGATGTTTGGTGCTGAAATAGTGAAATGGTCTAAGTCATTTCATGGGTCACGTGACCAAGTTGCCATAAGTGACTGCTGTTCTTCCTCGTTCAGTCACACAGTGTTCCCTATAATGAACAGAGATGAAACAGTCCAACAAAACCAAACACTGGTTAACATTTATTATAAAGGATGTTGACACGACACCTGACAGTTTTTGGACAGTCTTGTTGTTCATATTGGCAGAATTTGGGTTAAAATTCATATTACCCCCTCCCCCCATAAGTGTCTACAGAGGTTAACAATGAAAACACGAACAAGACCTTTAAATGTTTAAAGGCTTTCTCACTATTGACTTATCTGCTTGGTTCTCTTATGTGCTGGATAATGTTGTAGACTGAAAAGTTTAAAGTGGGTTTTGGACTATTGGTTGAATAAGAATCATAGTAGGAATTTCTGGCATGTCCTCCACTGCCAAAATACAAGAGGAAAGACAGTCAGGTTTAGGAAGGGAAAACTGTAGGGAGACTTTTAAAGTACAGAAAAACTTGTTTTCTTGATCAGCATGTCGGATATAAATAAATTTACATTTTTTAAACTTACAAACAGTGATTAGTTGTGAGGGGATAAAAACACTTCTGATGATTTCTTCTACAAATTTTTATCCAGTTTATTTCTTTACTTTATTTCTGATTAAATATCAAATCCCCCCTCCCCCCATAAGTGTCTACAGAGGTAAATAGTGAAAACATGAACAAGACCTTTACATTTTCAAAGGCTTTCTTATCTCTATTCAGTTAGAGTTTTCATTATTGACTTATCTGTTTGGTTCTCTTATGTGGTGGATGATGTTGTAGACTGAGAAGTTTGAAATGCGTTTGGACTATTGGTTGAATAAGAATCATAGTAGGAATTTCTGGCATGTCCCCCACTGTCAAAATACAAGAGGAAAGACAGTCAGGTTGAGGAAGGAAAACTGTAGGGAGACTTTTAAAGTACAGAATAACATGTTTTGTGATCAGCATGTCGGATATAAATAAATATACATTTTTTTAAAACTAACATATAGGGAAGAGTGGGGTAAGATGAGCCATTTATCATATTTCAGATCACTACATCAAGGCAATCATAGTTTTGTCTCTAACTAGTGTATCTGCATATATTTCAAGTGATAACACAACTGTCTTGATAATATAGCATGCCAAAAAGTGGTCTCCTATGGTGAACTTACCCCATGTTTGGGGTAAGTTGACCCCACTCTCCACCCCAGCCCTCCCTCACCTTCTCTCTCCCTAAATAACAGTCAATTCTTCACATTCATGTGTATTTTTATCTGTTATACACTATTCAACTGGTACAATATATTTTTTTTATTATTATGGCATATAACTGCTAAAAAGCTGTTTTATAAAAAAAAGGAAAAAAAACCATTTCAACATGAGAATGTCAGAACAGAACATTCACAGCTGTATTTTTAAAAGAAAAAGTAACACATTTCAACAATCTGAACTGAAACTCTGATCCTCTCATCAGACTCCTTTATGGCTCAACTTACCTCTGAACTACTATGATGACTTTATTAGTCCTCTAAGCTAAAATGGTGGACTTTAATGCTAGGTTTTTTTACCTCATATTGTAGCTCATAGATACCACTTTTGATGAATAAAACAAGTTTAAAATGATCTTTTTTGGTCTGACCACAGTTCTGCTAAAACTTATCACAGACTAAATTCACTTTCAAGAGTGAAAAATGTTCTTTTGGAAATAAATGTCGAACCCCTTCACCCATGTGCTTCTAACCTTCACAGACTCCATGAATTGATGCCCATCTCCTAAATATTTGGTCACATGATCAACAGGGGGTGGCTCAACTTACCCTTCGGCTCAACTTACCCCACTCTCCCCTATTGATTAGTTATGAGGGGATCAAAATACTTCTGATGGTTTCTTCTACAAATTTTCTTCCAGTTTATTTTCTTTAAGTCTTTATAAAATTTTTAAGTGTTGCATCTTTTTCAATACTGCATTTTTTAAACTGTGGCACAGTTACTTTGTTTGTCCACTGACTCTTCCAGCACTTAAACCGTCAGTCTCTTTGGCAAAGACATGTGCAGACATTGTTGACAGGATTTTCATAGATCACAGGGATATAAACAAACATGCAAACTATGTCAGTGAGGTCCGGTCTGCCAACCTCTACTCACTAATACAGATTCCTTGTTCCATAACTGCTGGCAGGAGGGAAGAAACCTTGACTGGTGTCCACAGGCTGCAGGAATCCAGGGACACAGGAAACTGGACACTGGGACTTGGCGGAGGAGCTGACACTTGATGAGAGGCGGGGGTGGTTAGAGGGGGTTTAATGGTTAAGCAGAGGGGGGCACACATTCCCTCGGTGTTTGCTCTGTGCCCAGTAGACCTGGCACTTTGCCACCTGACAGAGAGATCCACTCCGTCTACACCAGCCCAGCCTTCTGATCTGGCTTGGTTTGAACAGTTGTAGGGACATTATCTGGTGCACAGGGATGAAAAATAAGTTTGACATAACATGAGCCCCATTACTGAATTAAAGCACAGGCCTCTTTGTTGTTTCAAGCAAGTGAAGCTATTCATGACAAGAAAATCTGCAGATTCCAGAGAAAGCCTTATCCAGACAGTATTTTGTCTCATATGTTTTATATATGTGTGTGTGTTTGTGTATTTGCAGGTGAGACCCTTTGGTTTGGATGATGGAGATGTGTACATGTCATCGTATGAAAACAGGTTTCGTCTGTTTAGTTCGGTGGAGTACGAGGGTCAGCTCTTCATGACGCCTCTCAACTTCATCGAGTCCATCACTTTGAATGAACCCAAAGGTGAGTGCTCTGCTGTTACTCAGCTTCCCCTCCTATAACCCTGAACATCCTCTGACCACTGACAGACACAGAAATCAACTCTTGATAGATTTTCTAGCTTCAACATGCGAGAGTTCTCCAGTTTCTCTTTCACTGTTAAGAAGTGTTTCATTTTTGTGATTTTTGACTGCTGTTGTGACAAAAACATGAAGATGTTTCTGTGAGCTTGTTCTGAAATTAAAAAGTGACTTAATGGTTAATATTATAGACAAATAGTTTAATTACACAGAGAAATATTTATTTTTGTGGCCACCCAATGTTTTGACATTTGGCATGATAGAAATATCAAGATAGTTTCATCTTTTTCTTAAAATAGACTTCTTTGCAACTGAGTTATTTTGAATCAGATATTAAATTATGCTTTTTTTGATCACATTTCACCACTTAATTTTGAAATAAGTCAAATTAAGAAGTCCCCTTCATAGATTTAGAGTTTTCAAAGATTAGTATTCATAAGAGCTCTTCTTTACATTGATGCTAGCAGCACTTAGTGCCTGCATGCTGACTGAGATTTTAAAGTCCACTCAGTGTGAACTTGATGTCTTTGTCCGGTGAGTCATGTTCATTTCTACAAACTGTGCCATCTTTTTATGAAAAGACCTGTTGTCTCAGGATAGAGATGATCTTTTCCTTTGATAGTTTCTGTCACTGGTTTCATACGTAAAGACTTTTTTAGGGTAGTTCAGATTTTTGAAGTAAGGCTTTAATGAGGTTAACCCAAAGGGGGTCTAGTCAGCTTGGCCTCTTTGTTGAGAAAGTGGCAGAAGGACTTGAACAGAAGCTGGACTACCACCACTGTTGGTGTGAGTGTCGCTCCTTGTGGAGAGCTTGTTTTGCCTGTTTGCTTTTGCATCATTCTCACTGGCGTACAAGTTCTTTGCCTTTACTTCACTTTGATATATTTTCATGCCAGTTAGACATCATTTTAAGCAGCATATGCTTCGTATTATCCAGCAGACACAAATATGGATGTAGATTTTGCTATTTCAGCTCAGTATTCTCTTTTGTGCAGACCATGTTTTGTGTCATTATGCAATTAAAAAAAAAAACACTTTTGAGTATGTACGGATGTGCTGGAATCCTCTGATACAGAAAAGTCCTGAAGTCCTGTAAGCAAGTCCCACTTATGAAGCGAATTATGTCCTCAGTATGTGGGCATTGGTTCACAGCTGACACGTCTGACCAGCTGAGTCTCGTTCTTTCTCCAGTTAAGGTTTCCTCTGTCGTGTCCAAAGGAATCCACATACTGTTGTATCTCTCAGAGTTACTTGTTTTTTGTGTTTTTGCCTACAGGCCAATCTAAGTCAGAGAGTTGCATGCTCAACTCAAAAAGTTCTCAAAGCCTCATGGTTCTGACTCAGGGTCTACACTGTAAACAAGAAGGCGTTAGCTCTCACCACAAAGGTCCTAAATTTTAATAACGCCAATCAACAGCAGCTTTAAAAGATAAAATGTTTCCAGTCGTAAAATCAGCTAAATTAAGCAGTAAAGCTGATTTCATTTATAGCTGTTTATAGGTCAGCTTCTGCTCTCATTTTCAGGATGCTCTCTCATCGAAAGTGCAGAGCTGACCATCACCCCCCTGTGTCAGATACTCTTACATTAAACATGCATACCATATAGCCCAATGTCAGAAACAACAACAGTATAAAAAAGTGTAACTATCCCTTTAAGTGTGCTGTACTGCAGGTGCTGCTCTGCCTCTACACTCTGTGCTCTAAAGAAAACAGCTTCATTTGTCAGCATCCATTTGCTTAATTAGTCTTCCATTAAGTCATCAGATAAATCTCTGCTCCCACATCCTCCCGTTACTCTGGACTGAAAAAAAGTCCAGGTGTTAGTTCCTGGAACATTACTTGTTGCTGAGGGCCGCTGAAGTGTCATCAGACAATAAGCTGCAGCTCCAACAGCTTCAGTCATAACACCTGCATAAAGATAGACATCTTTACCAGCAACCCCACTTTTATGGCTCATTTATGTGGCAACAAACTTGCACGGACCAAGAGAGACCAAACAACTTGGCATGTTAGTCATAAATGTAATGATAAGGCTCAAATACTGGCGTTGATTATGATGTAAGGTGTGTGGCCTGTTGTATTGTTTTCGACATGGCTTCACTGACATCTTGTACGGAGAGAAAATGAGGAGCGCAACGATGTATCAGCATAACTCATGTCATTGCTCTCTGCTTGCAAATGGCTCATGTGTTGCAAAAACGTGATGGTTTTATTGTGGCTGTAAAAAGTAATGTGTTTTTGCCATTCCTGTCGATATTTGGAAAGCCTTGGGCATGACCATCATGCATCACTGGTATTTTTATTTCAGAGACAAGACGTGAGGCAGCTGTTATGACCATTTGAGTGTGAACCAAAACTTTAAGTGCTGCCATGTAAATTATTCATATCGGATCCATAAGCTATGCTGGTTATGAAATATTAATAGAAAACATGAAAATCAGGCCTGCTGTGGAGGAGCAATATCTGACTGTTATCTTTGCATTATGATCACTCAGACACCTCACAAGCCATGAAATGGCAATTATAGCACCAGGCTCTGAAATATGTCAGTGTAGGGTTATTATCATCGCTGTTATCACAGTGATTTCCAGAGGAGAATTTTTCTTTTACAATGCCCTCACCTTATCTTCTGTTTTATTGACCACTGGAATGCACTCCCAGAGGAAAACAGCATGTGTTTTTGTACACATCAACATTGTTGTTCATCTTTAATTCCTGCATTTATCGTATTGTATAAAAAAATTCAGCTTATATTAATCAATCCTGGTTTAACATGTATCCTCCAGTGACTGTTCACCTCCTTTTGTTTAGGTAGAAGAGTATGGAAGTCTCTTACAAAAAAGGTAAGTTGCTCTGTCATCAGCGCACTTGTTGCTGTTCAACCTAATCTCCTCTTTATCTGTGTAAAACCTCTGTATTTACTGTAATGCCAACAAACGTTGCATTAGCCAGAGACACAGGTACTTGAAACTGAATAATGGATTTCAGATTTTCTTTTGTTCGCTCAGGACTTAGACAAGATGCTGGCTGATACCCCGCCTGTTTGGAGAGGATCTTCTAATTTGTTTAGAAATCTCCGTGAACGAGGTAAGTCACTCACTTCACAGTGTTAGAGATTTACCCATAAAGCCCCAGAGTCCAAGTAATTCCCTTTCATGCTTTTTATTTCTTTAAGGCCCTCCATGTTTTCTTCAGAGCTTGCTCTGTTGTGCGTATAAGCCTCCCCAACCCATAACAGCGAGTGTGTCATAAATCCTATCTTATCTTTTCATCAGTCTGGTAACTTTTTGCAGAGTTATTCTCAAGTAACCTTCTGCAGGTGGAATGGCCCATTGATAATACACAAAATGGTCCTTCATGCTTTCTCACCAGGAATAAACCAAAACCGGTGTCTTTGTAAACCCAAGGGCAGAAATAATGAGTTGTTTATTTCTATTTGCAAACTAAGTTGCTCATATTTGTTGCACTATGAGCTTCTATGAGGCCAAATGTTCATTGTTTTCAGATTTTACTGGGCAATAAAAATGCTTTCGGAGTTACACTAGAAAGGATTTGGAATAATAAATAAATAGACATAAATAAATGAAAGGCCAAAAGGCTGCTTACCCTGGAGTTGGTAATAAACCTCTTTTTTATTTTTAGAAAATGTTTTGGAAATTAAAAAATATCCTGCACTTAAAAAGAATAAATTAATTCAAAGGGTTTTGTGACACTTTTATGAGACTTAAATATTTCTGTTTGAGTCTTTCATGTGAAAAATCTTTAATTTTCTTAATTCTATAACAGATTTTTGAGCTGAAACAGTGAGAGTACTGTCTTGTTTAGTTCAAGAATATGTAGATTTGTGAATGTGATAGTCAGCAGACATCTCGCCAAGGGTCCTGGGAAACTGAAAAGACTTGTTTTTGAACATTGACAAATGAAGAGATGAATCAAGCCAACTCTCACTCCTATTAGTTAGATCATTAGATTGATGATGAAAATAGTAGTATGTCATTGCTCCTGGCTAATACTTGAGGGCTTTGGGAGGGAGCAGTAAGATTTTGTTCAGAGTCTCGACATCTTCACAGCTCAGTCTTCTCAGTCCTGTAAGCACACTGAAGTGTACTAGTGTGAGCAGCTGCAGCCTGTATAGAAATCTAATTTTACTCAATGTGGCTCAAAGAGTGATTACATAATTTACCCTCAAATCTCAAGTCATGGAGAAATAAAGTCAGAGAAGACATTTTAGATGTCCCACCTGGGCCTGCAGACTCCCGCTCAGTGGGTCATACGAGCCAGTGGAGCATCAAGATCTCACTGTTCTGCTCTCTCCTCTGTTGCTTTAGCTAAGTGCCAATGCTGGGATTTGGGGCTTTTAATCCTGCTGTTAAACGTTGCAGCTTTGTCAGGGAAAAAAAGGGCTGGATTGATCTGTGAACAAAGCATTGCTCTGGAGAATGAGGGAGCTGTTTGAACCCAGCTATGTCGAGACATGTCCCACCGGCCACCCCCTGATCACCGCGGACATTATGAAGCCTAAGAATGGCATTGGATTACATCTCCGGGACTGCCACTCTGTATGAAGTGTTTCTGTGGAATTCTTTGTATTGTCTAACAACATCTACTTGAGCTCAGAGGCTCAGAGGAGGAGGGGGCGTCTCCCTCCAGGAGTAAAGGTGTGTGGTATTGGTGAAACATGGCTGGAATCTTAAAAGTATTTTTTTCTCTCACTCCTCAACCCGTTTAAGCTTTAAAGGCTTTGAAGCTTCAGATCTGTTGTCATTACAGGGCTGTACCTGCCAAACAAAGACAGCTGGAGAGAAAAGATTGAGCTCTTAGTCATGGGGATTTTTTTGATGAGTTTTGTGCATTGGCACGCATCAAAAGTTCAATTTTTACACCTTAGTTTGAACTTTTTACACGACCTATTTCACTTTGTATCACCTGCAGAAGCAGAGTACAGATGACATTTTTTCAATCCTGTTTTTTATTGAGTTCCTTCTCTCTGGAAATCTGCCCCTAAAACAAACTCAGTACCCAAAGTCTTTTCCCATAACACCAAGAGCAGTCACCCAGAACTATCTGTGCTCAATTCTCTATCTTCCCAAGCAAACAAAAGCTTGGGAATGCTTTCAGAGTCAGAGGGGAGAAGCCTCCTGAGTCGGCCGAGACGTCTCCTGACACTTACTCTTCCCTTCTCTGTGTCACACAACAAAGGGAGCTGAAGGACGCAACACAAAACCTGAATCGGCCATTCTCAATCAGTGACAGATCACTTGAGAATGTATTACACCTTGTTACCCAAACACGATCAGAAGCCGTGGGCCTTAAATTTGTTTGGGTTTGTGTCCAGATAGGTCAGCTCTGTTGTAAAGCCTTTGTTTGTGTGAGGGGAACACCAAGCATGAAGTAAAAGGCACCTTCTAAGATGTTATCGGCGAGCAGGAGAGGATTACTCTTGTCTGAAGGCGTGCACTGCCTCTCTTTTTCAGATGGCTTTTTCATTCTGGACGCCTGACTTTGAAAATATCTGTAAACATTTTCAGCTAACTGATTGATGCCGTTTTGTCCAGAAAAGAAGACATTCTGGTTTTTGTTCTTCAGCTTTAAATGATTTGTCTTTTTATTCCAGGTATCATTAGTTACACAGAGTACCTCTTCCTGCTCTGCATTTTAACAAGTGAGTATAAAACTGAATGTGCTGAAAAGGCGATTAAAGATGAAAAGTTCTCAGTCTCATGTATTTCACTTTTCTTTCTGCTCCAGAGCCCCATGCGGGCTTCAGGATTGCTTTTAACATGTTTGACGCGGATGGAAATGAAATGGTGGACAAAAGGGAGTTTTTGGTGGTATGAGTCCGTTTTTAATCATCATCATAAGACATTATAGATATGATAAAATGCTTTTTATTCACTGTAGTGCAATCTGTGTAATTATGCTTTGTCTTATCTCCAGTTGGAAGAAATTTTCCGTAAGAAGAAGGACAAAAAAGAAGTCGCTGATGACATGCAAAGACTCGACCAGCAGGTAAAGATGAATGTTTTATCACCAGAGTATTTATGAAACCATTTAAAGTTAGTTTCAGTGCTTTTGAATGTTGGAAAACTGCAGTTTGAGCTGCTATAATGGAACATCTTTGACTGGAAAACTGTGTGCATGATGTAAAAGGTGGATGGTAGATGGTTATCACAGACTCTGCAGGTTCACTCATTTTTACTTGATCAGTTTCTGCAGCCAATGGTGTAAGTCAGGGACCAAATATCTGACTTTGTAGTTCAGCTCCTGTGAGGAACTTAAGTTTTTGCTTCGGTTTGTTATTTCTAATTTTGTCCTGTAAATATGAACGTGCAGTTTAATTCTCTATTATAAAAAAAAGGAAAAAAAAATGGAAATCTGTTTTCATTCACTTTGCTTAAAACCTCTTCTGCAGCAGTGGCTTTGTGCATTAACATTACATTGAAAAAATAATTATTGTATTTGCTGATGGTCTGGTTTACAGAGAGACCTCCATGTTGATTTCAGACTGTTTGATGTCAGGCGAAACTCTTTTGTAAGTTGTTTGTGATTTTGTTGTGAGGCGTCTGAAAGCAAAACTGATGAAATGAAGCTTCATGTCATGGAAAACTATGAGCTGAGAGAATCTCATTGCTACATTGCGGCGTTGGTAGAGACATCACAGGCTGCAGAGAGGTGAATGTGGTCATACAGGGTAAAACATGCCTGAGTCTTTCATCTTCGTTGGGCTGCCTTATGCCGCATGCAGGTGGATGTAAACATGCAAAGCTGAATACAACGATAAGAGCAACTCTTTGAGGTCTTATCGCACAAACACAACATGGAGGAGCTTATTTCACTGGGACAAAAGTTTGCATCTGAGGATAGTCCTGAATTAATCTGGAGCCCCTATAGCCATCAAAAAGATCATTAGAAAGAGCACTCCAGATTTGGAAACAAACAGATGCTCTGCAGAAAGACAAAGTTGAAAGTGAAGACTCTGAATGAATCAGGAGTTCAGATTGTGTTCACTTGAAGGCCATGGCATGTCAGTCATGCCTGAAAGCTCATTTTATACACTTGTCCTGTTCTTTGATTCTTGTGCGTTGTGGATGAATCTTCTTCTTCTTCTGCTTTTTATTTGTGTTTCAGAGCCTGCAGCTGTACGGTGGTCACAAATCTCAGACACACAGTGTGAGTATTGTTCTCCTCTCTGGAGAGAAATGGACTGCTATGCTTGGTGCGTGTGTTTTTGGCATGCAGTCCTACTGTGAAGTATTTCTGCATAGTGCATTAAAATAGAAAACGCATGAGGGTCCGACTCCACCCATGACTTCATATACGATAACCTTTTTCACATTCATTTAAATTGAGATGTATCAGCTTGTGCTTCAACATTATCTGTGAGTGTGTGTGTGGTAGTGCAGGGAGAGCACCACGGATGATTCATGTACTCGCTTTGGTGTCAGTGCTGGGACCCAGATTCCACCTCAAGTCGCTCTTACCTGCAGACTGACAGCATTTCACCCAGACCCCCATGTTTTATTTTTACAGTTTCTTGAGGAGTGGTATTTGGGCTCAGGTTACCTTTTGTGATGGGTTTGACCATGAAGATGTCCTTCAGAGCGGCAAGCAGTGCAGAGAGAAGCTCTTAACACACACGTAGAAGAGCCTACAGCTAGCTGAGGGACAGATCTTTTCAGAGGACTGTTTGAAGTCTCTACCTTTGGGTGTGTGTGTTTTTTTGCGTGTTTTGATTTCTAAAGTTCAAAAGTCCAACTTTTTTCAAAACATGTAGCAGGCATGCCTCAGTGCTGTGGTTGGGCTTTCCCCAGCATATTCTAATTACAAGAATATCATGATCTTTTTATGGGATAAGATGGGAACAGTGCGGCACATTAAAGAGTTGTTCCATAATTAGCTGTGGGATAATGTCGTAAATCTCCTCATGCTGAAAAAGTGATGAGGCGCAGAGGAAGAGCTGTTTTATCAGCTGTCTCGCTTTTCCCCTCAGGCTACAGAGATGAAAATACAAATAAGATAAATAACTATTATGAGATGAAGTTAGCTCTGTGTGAATCTGCGTCTAGTTTGATGTAATCAGTGGTGCAACTTTTCAAAGAGCTGATGTTGGACCGAGTTTAAAACTATATTTTATAATATTACATGAAGATAAAATGCGAGTGTTTCCAAAGTCCATAAAAAGTGTCTCCTGTGATCTTTCCCTTCATAACAGGAAATAGTTTTGACAGCTGATTTGTAGTGTAGCTGTTACAAGCAGAGTCAAGCGTAGAAAATCATGATTGATCAATCAGAGAAGGTTAGCAGGAAGTGACTTTTTTTGGTGTAGAGGCAAATTTGTTTTAAGTTTTTTTTTGTTGTGTTTAAGTTACTAATGATTTTCACATCATTCAACTTCAGACATGAAAAACCAAACTGTTCCTGGAAAAAGTTTCTGCAGTATTTCACAAGAGGAGATAAAAGGTGTCTGATAACCTGCATCGAGCTCGCAGCGTAGCATCAAATGATGATGTATTGGGTGGGTTGGGTTACATATTTAGCCTGGCATGAATCACTCTTCAGGTCTCACGCCCTGCATGCTTTGGACATGTGCTAGTTGTGTTGGATCAACGTTATGCCAAGAGGCTGCATGCATGGCTGCAGTACAGGCTCACGTCAAGGCTGATTGGCCTCTCAGACACGCCATGTCAGTCCAAGTCAGTTTCTGCCTCTTTAACTCTCGGTCCATCTGCCCCTCTGTATCTGACTGTGTATCCCTGTTAGTCTACTTCTCCATGTAGCTGAGTTTTCACCTTTTACAGTCCGGGCATTTTCACCTTTTTTGTCTCTCCAAACCGCATTGTCTCTCATACCACACTAACATGTGTCAGATGCATTTTGTTTCTCTAACAGCTGTGCTTCAACTGCTGCCACAGGTTCTTAAAAAAGACAGCCAGCATGTGGAGGCCCGGGGCATGTGGGATGTTCTCAGACGCGGCTCGAGTCAAGTTCTGTTTTCTGATCTCACTGAGGTAGCCGTGCCACCACTAAAATGCTTCTTCTTTTCTTTGTTAGTACAGCAGGTTCTGACTGTCCCTAGTGTTTTCTCACACTCTTATTCCTGAAGTGGAACCAGTTCTCAGGGAGAGCCCCTTCAGTAGCCCCCCTTTAGCATGTTTCATAGATCTTTTGCATTGCATGTGTTTGTACGGTGCACCACGGTGAAATGATAGCGCTGTTTTGTTTCAGGCTTGGTGAAAAAAATTAACCATTAACTCTGAGTAATTATTCAATAGCAGAATCTGGGTATGGCTATTAACTTGTATCTGTGTTTCATTAAGTATTTGTCATTGTTAATGTTTACCTGATGTAACTGTGATACTCTTGAATAAAGAAAAGCAGATTCGGCGCAGATTGACCTAACGTGTGGCTGAGATGTTGCTGTAGTGAGTTGTGCAGTTTGTGTAACACCTGAGGTGTTTATCAGTGCGATGAAGACTCAAAATGCTCTCACTCTTCCTCTGACAGCATGTAAATGAGAAATCAGAGACAACACTGCTGGTGCATTTCTTTGGGAAAAAAGGCAAAGCTGAGTTGAAGTTTGAAGATTTTTACTGGTGAGTAGAGACGCTTTCCAGTCTGTGGCGATACCCCTGACTAAAATTATTACCCCAGACTGTATCATGCCCATTAATCATTATCCTACCACACTGACCCTGATACAGCTCAGAGGTTTAAGTGTTTCTTTGTACATGTGAGGTGAGGTTCCTGTGGTGGCATTTCCCATCATCAGCTGACTCCTGTCTCGCTCCTCCAGCTTCATGGACAACCTGCAGACAGAGATGCTTGAGATAGAGTTCCTCTCTTTCTCCAAAGGACTGCCCACCATTAGCGAGGAAGACTTTGCTCGGATTCTCCTTCGCTATACCAACGTGGACGACGTCAGCGGGTATTTGGAGAATGTGCGCCACAGCATACCAGATGAAAAGGTGTGTTCGTCTTTCTCTTGTTCTGTTTTTATATTTCACCTCCGAGATTTACGAGTTCAAGGGGTCGACTATGCAATGGTAAAGTCTTTCTTCATGGGGTAACACAAAAAACACAACAACAACTGGAGCCCCAAAAAGTGCAGGAGGGAAGGACCAACCCATATATAGAGTACAAATATCCAATAGATATGTCTTACCAACAACTTACGAGCTAAAACAAAGTATTTTTATTCCTCTCTGCTGAAATTGTATTGGAGATTGTAAGTATTTTCTAATTTTTCCTGATAGAAAGATGCATTTTTAAAAGGAATAAAATATGTGGGAGATATAATGAAACGCTTTTTTACTATCAGTGAGAACACAGGTATCGATTCATCTTGTGCTAATTATAGACCAAGTGCTGAATGGCTCAGCTCAGCACAAAGACCCAGAAGATACAACCATCCCAGCTCTTTTTACAACACAACAAATGTTAGCTGTTTTCAGACTATACATTCAGATCACTTTTTAACCTTTTTCATATTTTAAATGAACAGAGTTTGAAATTTGAAATCAGAGCTGAATTGTTGTATAGGTTTAGATAACAGTGCACATCTTCAGACAGTATGTGTGAAAGGTTAGTGGGTTTTTTTGTGTGCATTGTGCTCCTGAATAAGCTGCTGAGTGAGGCATCCTCAATTTAGCTTTATTTTGTTTTTCCTCTTTGCACACTGACCTGCTGCTCAGCCGCCTTGAGTAGCTTGTTGCTAGATCTCTATTGATGATCAAGTGGGTCTCATCGTTGGGCAAAGACATATTTTATGGCCCTCACCTTGTTAGAACAGCAAAGAGTCACAGATTAGTCATTACTCCATTTGTTAGGCTGTGTGTGCTGCCTGTTTGGTGGGGCCCCAGGGGGAGAAGAAGCTAGTAGCTGTGAGATGGTTGAGTGGACATCAATAGGCTCAGTGTTTGAGTCATCAACCAAGGCTGAGATGTTTTGGGATTCATCACTTTTGTTGTTTTTGTTTATTTAAGTATCAGGTTAATCTGCCTTAGAAAAACCTGCAAACGGCCTGACCTCTTCCCAAAAGCTGCAGTCCTCCCCCCGCTGCTGACAGCTCAGCGTGTCCATACTGCACAGGGAAAATCCAGCAGTGTATACTTTGTCTGTTTGGGTGTGTTATCTATCTGATGGCTTCAAGGTCCCACACACACTAAAGGATCCTCCGCAGGATGAAAGAAAAGCAGATTATGTGCTGTGTGAATTGTAGCACTATCCTTTACTCAAGTGTTGACACATGTAGCAGTCTGCTTTATGTGACACCATAATATCTTTATGTTGTATGTCACAAGCGCTACCTTTCATAAATTCCTGCTGTGCTTTTATTGTTGGGGTCTCTTTTGCAGGGAATCACATTTGAGGAGTTCAGGTCCTTCTTTCAGTTCCTCAACAACCTGGAGGATTTTACCATAGCCATGCAGATGTACAACTTTGCCAGCCGCTCTGTTGGTCAAGGTAAAGTCTCTCGATTGATGCACAGTGTGAATTTATGGAAGTTTTATTATGTTTATTTTTCCTAAAGCTCTGGTGAGAGAATTTCAGTTTGGCGCCCCCTGTGGACAAATTAGTACAAGCTTATGTTGTCCTTTTAATGGCAAAAAAAAATCTCCTCTTGTCGTCATTTGCTGTATTTAGTTGTAAATTGTGAAAACAGCTTTTTCTTCAGCTGCTCCAGACACCTCCCCCCTCGCACCAGTTTCAACTAGAGATGCACCGATCCATTTTTTCCAATCCAATACTGAAACCTGGGCTGAGTGTATCGGCCGATATCCAATACCGATACAATACTACTGTTTAATGAATGAACTGTTTACTTTGCCCTGTAAGTGGAGGCATCAGGCTTGACGTTAGCCTTGTTAAAAAAAGGTAACAAATTAACACAGATGTAAATTTACTTAATATTATTTATTAACAAATAACAAATTGCACATTAGCACACAGCAAAAATGAGTAAGACTTCCATGTATTTAAAGAAAAATTAATTAAAAGAAAAAAATGGATCGGCATCATTCATCCAAAATCTGATCCAGTTATTTGTCAATATCAGAGCTGATATCCGATCCAAATACCGGATCGGTGCACCCCTAGTTTCAACCATTAAAATAAAGAAATAGTCAATCTTGTCCCTGATGGTCTTGTCTGCCTGTAGATTTCATGAAAAGGAACCAAAATGAATTTCAGTTTATTTTTTGATGTGAAATAATTCCTTATAGGAGCTTTGAAAAGAGACTTTTGCTTTTTCTGTTTTCTGTTAAGTGTCCTGTCTTGCTGTTGTTATCGAGTTCTTCATAAACTACATAATCGCCAAACAGACCCCGAGTACAGGACTTCTGAAAACTTGCAGTCACACCGTTTTTAAACCTTCTAAAGTCTCATTAAATGCTGTAGGTGGATAATTAATCTCATTCGATGCTAATCACCTGTTTTTCTTCTCCCTTAGAGGAGTTTACCCGGGCTGTCTATGTGGCCACAGGCATCAAGCTGACCAAGCACTTGGTCCACACAGTCTTCAAGATCTTCGATGAGGACCATGATGATAAACTCAGTCACAAAGAGTTCATCGGTGTTATGAAAGACCGGCTGCACCGGGGTGGAGGGGTAAGAACGCAGGATTCAGTTAGACATCATATCTTTTTAATAATGTCGAAAGTGACAGAGGAGATGTGCCCACCTGGCTCATGCTCCATCTGTCAGTGAGGGTGAGCTGGTTCTTGTAGATGTAGGAGGAGAGTAGCATGAAGGTGTCAGTGTCTGGACCCCACAGCAGCTTTGACTGATGTGACGGTCGACCTCTTTCCTGTGACTCGTCAGTCGTAGCTGATACATGACACTTGGCTGTAAAGTCAGCTGAGATCTAATAGGATGAAGGACTAACAGGGAAATAAGGGTTGCTGCTGAGCACAGGGATATTTGCTTCTAGTCAAACACAGTAAATGAGGAGCTCTACTCCAACAACTATAAGTGTTACAAACACATGCACTTTCTGAAGGATGCTGTGTCTAATTACCTCTAACCCATTATGTCTGTATTACGCTTCTGACTCTTTGTATAACAAAAGCAGCTCACCTCTGAGGTTAGGAGTAGAGATTGTGCAATTATACTGCCATCTAGCGGGCATCAGGAACAGTCTTATTCTTCTCTCTCCCACACTTACAGGGTGAGGAGAAGTTCACCTCTTTCAAAAGCTGCATGAAGAAGGAGCTTTCATCCAAATAGGTGAAGTATTTTCTCAATCTGTCTGCATTGTTTGTTTAATGGGAGAGGGAGCAGTAAATCATTAAGAGCTTCTGAGGGACTTCTTAGGTACACTATCCTAGTCTACAGTCAGTCTTTCCACACGTGTTTTGAGGCCCACACTTTGCTCGGCTGAAGCATTGAGTTACACTGTAATATTAACGCCTGATCAACTGCCACCGGATACCAGCTTTAGTCTGCATACATGAGCGGTGAGCAGTGCAGCTTAAAGCCGTATAAATGTTTCAAAGGCATCTCCTGGGTGTGGGCTTTTAATTTTCAGTGGTAAATCTACAGAAAGCACTTGATCTGTGTGTCTTTGCAGGAAGTCATGGCGTATAAAATACTTTATTTTTTGATTAAAAAAAGAGACAAACTAGCATCTTTTTGGTGGGATTTTAACCAGGACAAAGATACAGTGATATTTTTCCATTTGTGTAAATATTAAACTACCAGGTTGTCTTCAGCATTTAGGAAATGTGCTTATTTGCTTTCCTGCCTTCAGTGATGTGCGGTCTTCAAACCACTCTGATCCTGTTTGTCTTCTGTTTAATATACTACCTGTTAGTTTAGCTGTCCTGGCTGGGTCTCAAATACACAAAATCTGCTCACCTACACCTTGAACTTTTCACATTCATTTATTCTGTCCCAAGTGTTAAAGCTGGAAGTTGTAGTTTTACTGTAGGTCATGTGTGCTATGTAAGGTTATTTTGATATTGACCTTAGAGAAAAGTAGAAAGTGTCCACAGTCCGCCACATGAAACAAGAGAAAGAAACAGCTGATTTTCTCATATATGAGCAGTCAGATTATTCATCATGGTCCGTGCACAACATATTCTTACAGTGTGTCGGTTTATCTCAACGAGGGCTGGGCGATATGGGAAAAAGTTTATCACAACATATATTTTTCATATCAGTCGATATCCATATCACAGAATAAATCATGAAATGTAACAGTGCTTATTGGTAGCATGTCTTTTTCAATACATTAAGCTCTGCATCTGTGAAGTCTTTGTGTCGCTGACATTTTGTCTTAAGGCGTTGCATCTGCATTTCTGCCGGGGGATAGCACTTTCTCACCGTCAGTGCTGTCAGCTTCTCGTGTTGAAGTGCTATGGTTGCGTGTAGCTGCAGCCTGATACTGCGCAGTTGTCTAGTACTTGGTTCTAATTCAGCACATGATTGGTTCAGCCCAAAGCAAACCCAGAGTAACTCCCCTTTTCATTGACTATTGGTAAAGTCTACCAAAACATGGCAGAATGCCGGTTATCAAAAAGCATGTTGACCATGTTTTATACTGATATTGGGGGAAATTAATTTTTGATATATATCGTTATCGTTTTATCGCCCAGCCCCAATCTCAACAAACTGTTGTTTTGTGCACATATTAATTTTTTCTGTGATTTGTCAACAGGTGATATCCAATCATCGATGCATGCCTGACAAAATGGACAAGCTGTGCCTCTCTCTGCTCTCTACAAGGATAGATAACAGATATGTGTGTGGTAGAGGTTTAGAAATAAACAGGATATGACATTAACAGGATGTGGTTAGCTGAATGAGAAGCTGGTTAAATAAACAAAAGTGACCGTTTTGAAACTAACAAGGAAGTCCACTTAAATGTGTGTGTTGCAGGGCTCTAAGTTAGAGTTATTAGTTTGTGTGAGAGCTGTTGCCTGCTTTGAAATAAATATTTATTTATTCATCGTCTTGTAAATATATTTATCACGTTTGGATTCCGAATGTCATTATTTATTTATCTTAAAGTTCAACATAGTCTTATAAATGTTTTGCCAGTTTGTATTCTCAGTTTGAATCTTCTTTTTGTCCTGAGCCTGATGGTGTGCGGCAGCGGCATTGCTCACATATTTCGTCCTTCTGTCGGCTCTGCAGCCCCCTGCACAGATCAGCTCAGGACACCACCCCCTCCCCCCTCTCCTCTCCCAAAGCGCTGCAGCTAAAATCCTCCAGGATCCTTCAGAGCCAGCAGGCCTGAACAAACTCTCTCAGTCTGTGGCTTTTTTTCACTGTTTAACTACAGGCAGCTAACACTGTTAATCATTTCTTGGCTTGTAAAGACAAGTGCTATTTTTGTGCCACTGGCAGGGACGCCCTCTTTATAAATAAATATGCAGAATATTGAAGCCATATGTTTGTGTCGCTCTTTGGACGCTCAGCTCAAAATTTGGATGTTTTTAGAAGAGCAACAAATGAAGTGACCCTCCCTGCAGGATCTGTAATGAAGAGTTTACACACCATCCTCATCTGTACAGAATCCCTTGCACTATTTTGTAGTATGTTGCTGCTCCTCCTCGGTCCTTTTAAAGCTTCTGGTGCACTGAAAACAAGTGAAGTCAAGATAGTAGTATGTTTTACTATCAACCAGACTTTCAGACTTCTTTGGTTGTAATTTTGGATGTTTGTTTGTCTACCTCTTATAGAGTTGAACCCTCTATTATTTGTGGATCTATTGGAAAAATGTCGAACTGTTACATTAATGTAAATGAAATGTAGAAATGCATATGTAATGAAACGGTACAATAAACAAGAGGAAACAACTGAACTGGCCCGCTGTTTTTCACTGACACAAACACAAACCCCCTGAAACAACAACTTTCTCTGTTCCAGTTTTATACTCTCACAGTTTTGAAGTCATCTGAGGAACAGCTCCTCAAACTGAGTGTTCTCGCTGTCTGCTTTGTCCGTAGTGGACTGATGGCAGGAGAATAAATTAGCTGCTTTATTCTAAACCTGAAGGCAAATCATTAACAGTATTAATCACTGTGAACCTGAGGCTTTGGGAGGGTATGACACCCTAATCAGAAGTTTTATCTTGAAATGATTTATTAAGAAGAGTAATCATTTACACTGTCCCACTTAAATCCTGTACTTCATGGGTAAAAGCTGTGGAGATCTTCAGAGAGCTCTTGTGAAGAAAACTTTTATCGTCAGGGCTTCATTAAACTAGGACACAAGTTAGAAAGGAAAGTAGACAGGTACATTTTCTTGCCTTTTAAATCAACACATGGATAATGCTTAGCCAACAGACATGACCCCATAATTGTTTCACAGTATAGCCCACACTTGACCGAATTTCACTTGTGCACTCCCCCTTCATAATACAACTCCAAACTTATTCTCAAAGGTGATACTGTGTGAAGAAACCTGTCTTTACTGTGAAACAAACTACAGATTTAACTTGAACACATCAAACTGAAATCTAAATAGTACAAAATGTATGTTAAAGATCTGACTAATGCTTTCAATGTTATATGTTTCAAATCCCCTGATGTTAAAATTTCATTAAACACATTTGACTGAGGTTAAAGACAAAGTCCACAATCTCTCCGTCTCTCTCACTGGAGCCATTATAATGTGCTATAAATTAGTAGAGGTTCAGTTATGATCATTAAAGAGGTCAAGACTTCACTGCTACTGTCGGCTAGGTTAATGTACTTCAGTAAAAATAAGCTAACCAGGATTTTGCTTTAGCCAGCAAAATGTAGCCTAATTGTGATTTTGTTACTGATTAGACAATAAACCACTCACCTGGAGTAGCATATAACATGTTATTTTATTACAGTATTAATCATTTCCATCTTTTCAGCACTGTCCCTTTCTTAAACTGTCCTATTCAGCTTTATATCCTGACCATTCTGAATTCACCCTAATTGATGCAGCAGAAGCAAACGCCTCATTTCTTTACTTTTCTTGATACAACTGAAGAGACACAGGTCCTACATTCCCCTGAATACAGCCCGTCTGTAATGGACCCCTCCCTGCTGAATTAGGGGCCAGGTCTGTGGAGCTCCAGGTAACAAAACCCCCAGATAGCATCATCACTTGCGTCACTGTTACTGAGTAATATCTTTTCGACAAGTAAATCAATCTTCATGTGCATTAGTGAAGCATCCCTCAGGATAGTCCAGGGTCATCGGTATCATTTTTAAAGTTAATGTTCTCAGGTACAACAAACACAGAGCAGAATGCTGATTTATTCAGTATATCACAGCTCTACGTCTTCTGTGGAGATACAATACAAACGTATATAATTAAAATCAGGAGAAAAGTTTGCGTTCAAGTGTTCATTTATCCCTCCTTCTGTTATGGTCGGTACCAACCCATTTTTGTTTTTAAATGCTTAAAAGAACCACTTAAATTTGCTTTTTTGCATCAAGACTTTTTGACTTTGTCAGGAACCTTGATTTCAACAAAATAAAAATTAAATTGACTAAATTATAAAATGCTCTTATTCAAATTATGTCACTTGTCGTGTTAGGGTTGCTGTTGACCCGGTTAGATTAAAAATCAATGATTAGAGCAAAAAATAAAACCATATGTGCACTGACAGTCACCACACTGACACTCAGATCCCCTTCCAATCATGTGAGATTTAGAAAATTCTCATTTTTCACATGTTTTTCCCTGCACAAAAAACAATGACGGGCATGTCCAGACATGTGAGATCAATTCAGTATGGATGTCTGTGTGAGGGGTATCCTGTTAAAGAGAGACCCAGAGGCCCACTACAAAAACTAGTATAAGCAATATTTACATTGATAACGAAGCGAAACAAGGTAACATAGAGATGAGAACCAAATTGGATGATAAAGAATTTTTTTTTAATGTAATTTACAGCTGATTTAAGACATGGGTCAAAACCGACCCTTAACATAGTGGGTGTGTAGTAAAATCTAACACATGAGGAAGGTTAAGGTCAACTTTATAAGCTATGTTTGCTGAACAGCACAGAGACTAGTTTTGTTGTTGAGCCATCTGCCCACACTCTGAGATTTAGTTTCTCTGCTGCATATTGTTAGTTGAAGCTGCAGCACCTTTGAGACTGGCAACAAGTAGAAGATAATGGTCTACCTCATGGTCTAAAACAATACTTCATAAAATGTTTAATGCCCATTTAGGCTTATAGGTTACACTTGGGGTCTGAGGACAGTTAAGCTGCACCTTGGCAGGGGGGCTTGTGCTGCAGAGCCGCAAGATTTCCTGTAAAATTCTCTGCAGGTGCAATTGAGCATGAAGCAGCAGAAGCAGGTGCATCTTGCAGACTTTTACCTTCGCTGACAGGTAATGATAAAACACAGTGTGCTGGAAACAACATCTCTGACGCAAGCAGCCTGGTGGATAAACTGACACTCCATTTCTGTTGTTACACCAAAAACATGTCTGAGATATCAAGAAGACTATGAGGACAAAATATTGACGGATGTTTGAGAAAAACAAATGTCCTCAATAAAACCGTGCAACAGGGCTGATCAGAGTCTGGCTCTGGCATCATTCAAAAATATCGCTGTGTGCGCGCGTGTGTGCGTGCGTGCGTGAGTGCGAACAGACCCCGTCTCAACACTCGCGAGGATGAACTTATTGAACCCATCTGCTCGCGGTGAAAAATGTGCCAGGCTTGCAGCATCTCGCGGACGCCATGGCAACCTGTGGGGAGGCAGCAGGGGCGGTCCTGACTCTGTGAGTGTGTGTGTGTGAGTGTGTGAGTGAGTGAGTGTGTGAGGTGTCTGATATTTTGTTGTAGTCTGTGCTTGTGGCTGAGTAGGACGATCAGAGGGGAGCAAAACAGCAGCAGCACCAGAGGCGGGAGGATGTTGCGTCTGTGCTGCCGATTTGGCTGATCAGAGCCGGAGCTACGATGCAGTGACAGACTACAGGAGGACACGGGCTCACTTACACACACACACACACACACACACAAACACACACAGACACACACAGAGAGAGGGAGAGTAACACACGACTGCACACGAGGGATGATCCGCTCCTAGACTATGGCACCGTCTGGTTCGCGTAGTATAAAGAGGGGCTGTCAGAGAGTTTTGTACTGGATCCCTGTCCTCTTCATAGCCCTCATTGTGGCATGGTCTTACTACGCCTATGTTCTGCAGCTTTGCATAGGTAAGATGTGTCTGTATGTGTGCGTATTCATGTGTGTGTGTGAGAGAGTGGGGGAATGCCTCTGAGTGTGCGTGCGTGCGTATTTGGAGTGCTGGGGTGTGGAGACATTTCTGTTGTCAGTCTGTTTCAGCAGTTTCTTGTCAGGGGGTATTCTTATGGATGCAGATGACCAGCTTGTTGTTTATGCAGCATGTGCATAGTGTCAGTCACATGACGATAACAGTTCAACCAGGGACAGTCAGCATATGGCAACAAGAGAGTTGCTTTAGTCTGTGTTTTTTTTGCATGTGCACAAAGATTCAGTGTTTTCAGTGTTTTCAGACCACAACACAGACAGCAGAGGAAGTATTTTATGACCTGCTTTTACTGTGAAAGGGCTTTTAGGAAACATGCATTGTCAAAGGATGCACTTAAAAGGATTAGGGCCATCCTATAAGATTCATTAACCCACACTTCCACTCTATCAGCAATATCTTAAAGACTTACTGTAATAGCTTCAGGCTTGTGTAGTCACTGAGCTTCATTATCTGAATTTATATCCTCCAACACAACAACACCACCAGCAGCAGCGGCGGCAGCAGCAGCAGCAGCAGCAGCATTATCTTCCAGCGAGAAGTCCGTCTGTAATGGCTTTAGAGTCAGACCTGCCCCCTTCTTTAAGGCGTCCTCCGGCTGCTGAGTGTTGGATGGTGCAGTTACAGACAGCAAGCCTCCACAGTGAACGCTGAACACACAGTTGACCTGGATAGTGAGTAATGGTTTCTAGGATGTCTCGGAGGAGTCTCAGCAGCCTTCTCCTGTGCTCCATTTGGCAGCTTGTCAGACCACTAGGAAAGCAGATCTTCTCTGTCAAAACCAAAGATGAAATGGAGACAGTTTAATGAGGAAAACACAGAGAGGGGAGGTTTGAAGGCTTGGCTGTTTGTTCCCAGAGTTGATCCTCTCAAGACATGATATCGAGCTCTAACCGGGACTGTGCACATTTATGTTTCATTAGAGAGACTCAAGTATGACCCATGAGCTTCACCTGCAGAGAGGATAGTGAGGAGAGGAAAAGTGACCAAAAAACAGTCCTATGAAGATTTAAAGTGACCAATAACCTCAAAGAAAAGGGGGAAAAAGCCACTTCAAACAAGACATAAAACAAATAAGATGTAAATTAACCAAAAAAGAGATGAGAAATATCAGGTTGACGCTGGGGTGTGTGAGCGGTGGTGGGTTTTTTGATGCAGCATTCAAAGCCGTACATAACTGCAGCTTATTGAGGGCAGTGACATGATAGTATTAAATTTTACATCACAAGAATACTTAAAGTTGTTTTCCTGATTTTCCTGTATGTCTAAACTTTCTAAAGTGCTCAGGGCCCAGTGTTCGTCTGCCAGTGTCTGTCCCAGGGTGAACCTCTTCTAGAGTTACAGGATGCCATGTCCCCTCTGCCTTCCACAAGCTACAGAGACACCCTCCATCCCTGCAGGGTGACAGAGGGAGCTCGATCCCTGCTTCCTTTTAAAAAAAAAAAAAAAACAGATCTTGTTTACATCCCCCAGAGGAAAAATGAAACTGTGATGCGTCTGAGTCACATGGGACAAAACAGAGGTCAACCAGCAGCAGGGCAGCATGTGGTCTGCAAAAAAACAGAGAGAGAGTTGTGTGAAAGTGTCGTCAGCTGATACCTCTCGTCGAGCAGCTCAGTTAATCCCATTGTCTGGTTTACATAACTCACCCCCAGCAATCTGCGTGTGACCCACTTTCTTTATAAAGCACAGACTGTCAGCCTTTGAACATTTGGGCCTTTCCCAAGATTGGTAAAAATGTGAAATCAGGTGGTCTTTGGATTTGTTGTTGCACGATGGTGGAGGTAAGGTAGTATGGTAGAGACCTTGGCGCTTTCATTCACGTGATGATATACTGTACATACCATCACATGCACTTAATCGCACACACACACACACACACACAAACACACACTCGTGCTCCCCTGTCGGACTCTGGGGCTTTTATGCTGGCGAGGCAACGTGCAGGATTTTTGGCTGCTTGCCTCAATTCAAGTCCCTGGTATACTTCTCCTCAGTTCCTACCTCATGAATATCTGTGCGTGTGTGTTTGCACATGTGTGTTTACTGCTCTTTACAGGCTAATTGCTGTAGATGGATGTTTCTGTATGCTTATTTTATCAGCGCTTAGACATGCGGACCCATATAAAACTGTGTCAGCTAACATTCAAATACAGATCTCTGCTTGTCTCTCTTTGTTTTTGAGTCAAGATCTCTGAGGTGTGTGTTTGTGGAGGTTTCGGGGTGCGTGCTGATGTTGACCTGTGATTGGCAGTTTACCCAGTCCTGTCTCTGAAGGTTGTTTATGCTGTCAGTGCTCTCTCTCACACACACTCATACACACTCGCAAGACTGCAGAAGGATCACGCTGCTTACAATGACTTTTGTCAAAGCACAGAAATGCACTCTTCAGTCGAATCATCAATGAGTCACACTGTTTGTGCTTTATTTTGAGACTAATGTTGTATTTTTGCTGCTTTTTTTGAGTTTTGCAATATTTATCAATAGCATTCATATATAAGAGAGCTTAAATATTTGTTAATTGGATTTTGCAGCAAGTGCTTCACTGATTCACTTAATAAACCTGACTGTTGGTTTCACTTTGATTTTCCAGAATCAATCAAAGACACAGGAGAAAAAGGTAAGTCAAAGATTAAGACAGTAATAGATGTCCTCAGCTGTTTTGTGTCTGCTGGATGTTGATTTTTTTCACATGAGGTTTGGCAGCTTTCAGTCTGAGCAGAGGTAGCCCTCTTCAGAAATCTATTAAGAACACTATTAAAGGAGAACTTCTGTATTTTTCAACCTGGGCTCTATTTTCCCATGTGTTTAAGTGCTTGACTGATGGGGAGAACAGTTTCTGAAACTGGTCCAGTGTTTAGGGAGAGCGGAGCAACCAGCAGCTGTGAGAGGAGCTAAAATGTGGTTCGGCCAGGCAATTGCGCATCATCAAGCTGCGTCCACTACAGGTGCTTTATTTAACTTCTAACAGGTTCAGACTCTAATTACAAATCCTGAGAAAGGAGTGGCAAAGGTTTCCTTTACCTTCTACTTGTGCTGGTCCGTGACCCTCACTCACATGTCCGACAACATGTGAGATCTCATGAGATGTCAGAATGACACACCTCCACCAACAAGAGTTTGTTGTACACAAAGAGCCCAGGTTGAAAATACAGAAGTTCCCCTTTCAGCTGGTAGGAAAACATAAATTTCCACCATGTTTACATCAAGTATTTTATAAGGTTAAAAAAAATCTCTTTCTTGTAACTCCTGGTTACTTTTCAGCAAAGACATCCATAGTGTCAATATTAAATAGATTGACATGAAATATGTATTGATCCTTGTTTTTATATCTGTGGCTCAAAGATGAAAATCATTTCCTTCAATTCTTTCATTTTGAGAAAGTAAATCCAACAAATTTGTCATTCTTGTCAGCTGTGTTTTGGGCTAACAAACCAACCTTACTCACATCTGTATTACTCTGTCTTTATTGCTGTTGGTTCAAACTTTAAATGTTTGTTTGCCAAATAATTCAATTTTGATAGAGCATGTGAAAAAATACACTTGAATTAGTTGTTTAGTGCCCTTGGCCAGTGTTAGGGTGCTAACATGCAGAACTGAAACTGCTGACACGTTAGAATATTAAAGTTCAGCCGACATCACGGCTTTAAACGTACACATAGAACCCACAAGAGTATAATACTGGTGTCCCAGGCCGTGATTTCACTGAACAGTAAATATAGTAAACACAGCATACACTTAAACCCATGCATTTATACATGGAAGTATGTGAATAGTATAGTAATAAAAGCAGCAGCAACTCAAAACTGATACCTGGACAAAAAATGGTTCAATTATCAGCAATAAAACATTTGGTCCTGTTTATTTATTTTGAAGACATGTCTTGTGCAAACGCCTTGTGTTGTGCCAGTGAGAGCGAAAAGAAAAATCATCACTTTACACCATGTTTAGATATGAAATGAGGCCACAAACTGAAGATAAACGGTTAAATATACATGACGGATGGTGATGAGGACTTGTTTATGTTTGTCTGCTTTCAGTTGTGTACTTACTGGTCTACCATGTCATATTCATCATGTTTGTGTGGGCGTACTGGCAAACCATCTTCACCAGGCCAGTGAACCCCCTGAAGGAGGTGAGTCTGACTGAGACGCAGCATTATTGTCGGTTGGGATGATGAGGCATGATGGGGAGTGCAGATGTAGGTTACAGCCTCCCCGTGTGATTGAACGCTGCATTTAGACTAATAATACTTTCCAGTGGAAGTGCCTGAAGCTGCACTGTAATGGCTCTGATCCTGACCGCAGCACTTCAGCTCTGCAGGGTGAGCGCACACATGCATACATCTTTGAGAGGACACTTGGAGAAAAGCCACCTTTGCATTTTAAAAACAAGTGAGGCATGCGGTGATAATCTCCCTATATGAAAGCTCGCCTTTATGAGATCTGATGGCTGGATCACTTGAGGTTTCGAGATTGTAATAAAAGTCAATTTTCATGTGTGCTGTGCTGTTTGTTATCATCAGAGTTATTTGTTTCCACTGTTCAATCATAAATCGCCTGAGTGGCTGAAAGTAATATCACAGCTCTGCACTGCTTTGCTCCCATTTGCCTGCTGGGGCAGAAAAAAAACAACAAAACAAAAAAAGGAAGATAGAGACATACTCTTCGCTGCCTACTGAGCTGCAGCTTCACAGTAACAAACGTCGCTGCATTACTGACACTAAGCTAAATCAGCTTGTAGTATGTTAGACAATTTGGTAACACTTTATTTGACGCGTATCTCTATAACGCAATATAAATATATTTACAATGTGTTATTATCACGCTATAGCACTGTATAACTATAGTTATAAACACTCATAAATGATCATAATGTTTTATAGCAATAATCATAACACATTACAAAGCATTTTATCAGTACTTACAAGGTCAGGTATTATAATGTGTCATAACTGTTAACAACAGTTGCATTGCATTATTTATGTGGGCACTGTTGGTGAGTTGTTAACAGTTATAACACATTATGATACCTGACCTTGTAAGTCATGATAATATACTTTATAATGTGTTATGATTATTGCTATACAGCATTATGATCATTTATGAGTGTTTATAACTATAGTTATACAGTGCTATAACATGATAATAACGCATTGTACATTATACGTTTTGAAATTAATAGTTTCTGAAATGAAATAAAATTTTTAGGTGTTATTATTGATGATAAATTGACCTGGAAATCACATGTTAAAGGAATAAAAGTGAAAATAGCAAAAATGATTGCTATGTTAAACAAAGTAAAGGACTACTTGGATAATAAAGCTTTGTACCTATAATTTGATTACCGTTCTATATCTGATCTACTGCGTTGAAGTGTGGGGAAGTGCATGCAAAATTTCCATTCAGCCAATTTTCATTTTACAAAAAAAAAAAAAAAAAAAAAATCCAAACAAATTATTAGTAGAAGTCAATGCAGAGATCCTTCAAACCCATTACTTGTTAAATTGTAGTTGTTGAAATTCAGTGAGCTAGTAGATTTCATTATGTTGCAGATTATGTATAAAGCTCAAAAGAAAATTTTACCAGTCAACATCCAGAGCCGATTTGAAAAAAAAGAAAGTTATCATAATTTAAAAGGATTTGAAATACTTAAAAAGCCAAGATTCAGAACTAAACTGAAGGAGCGCTGTGTTACAGTGAAAGGAATACGTTTGTGGAACAATCTGAACAAAGAAACTATAGAAGCTAAATCAAATTTTAGGTTACAAAAAAAGCGTCAAAGCCAGTATGTTAAGTAAATACAGGGTCTTTGTATGTTTGTTTTGTGAAAAAAATGTAAATAAACGTGATGGGGTTTTTTTTGTTTTGTGGGTTGTTTTTTGAAAACAAGAAATACTGAACTGTAAAAAGGCATGTTGGCCTGCAGCTCTTGTTTATTTTTATTATGTGTTTAGTTGATTAGTATCGTATAAAAGGGGGCAGACTCTTTAAGAGTTTTTTTCTTCCTGCTCCTTTTCATTCACTTGTTTGAGATTTTTCCTTGTTTGTATTGAATAGTTTAAATATTAGCTGAATGAAATAAAGTATGAAAATAAATCAATACTTATAATGCGTTGTAGAAATAGGTGTCAAGTGTTACCGACAATTTAAATCACTCCTTGCAGGCACAAGTATCGATAAAGTGTTTTTCTTAACCTCTGCCCTCTGCCCTACATAGTTTCACCTGTCCTACTGTGACAAAGAGCTGCTGGAGCGTGAAGATCGGGGAGAGTCCCAGCAGGAGATCCTGAGGAGGATAGCCAAGGATCTGCCCATCTACACCCGCACCAACTCTGGAGGTATGGTAGAGCTCACATCACTGCTTATGTAGAACAGTAGGAGAGGTGTGAATGACGTGCAGCTCTCAGAGCTCATTTCACCTCCATCACCTTGTTAGTCTGTGGTCAAGAGTTAGGCGAGGCTGCTACTGACGGACGGCTGTGTGATTGAATTGGCTGTGTCTCCTCAGCAATCCGTTTCTGTGACCGCTGCCAGCTGCTGAAGCCTGATCGATGTCACCATTGTTCAGTCTGTGATAAGTATGGCTCTCCACTCATGCACCTACAGAGAAAAGACCACACCGTATATTGCATTCTGGCAGGTGGAGTGAGATTCAATTACACTGACGTCTGACCCTGCTGTGTTACAGATGCATCCTGAAGATGGATCACCACTGCCCCTGGTATGTGGGGACACTTTAAAGGCAATAGTAGCGGTGCAAGTACGCCTGCTTAAGCACATAATTGTCTTTTCATGAAACCCCTCACATTGGTAAGGGTTCATACTGGAATAGACGGCAAACAGAAGAGGACAGAACAGGATTCGACTGCTGTTTCTGCAGTATGGGGTGGCAATCATGTGTCAATCCAGGTTTTGAAGACTAAGGGGAAATTTAAGTTAAAGCATTGAGCACGCCTGGTTGTTATTTAACACGATGCTCTGCAAAAATGCTTTGCTGATGTGATCATGTGCTTAGCCATCCCAGAAAAACGCATTACTGTCTGATTTTTGCTCAACCGTTTGTATTTGCTTTTCCAGTCCTGTATCTTTGCAAAAGAAGGAATAAGAATGTACTTGTTACACCGTATTTTACATAATGATCATTTTATTCTTGCTGCAGGGTGAACAACTGTGTGGGATTCTCCAACTACAAGTTTTTTATGCTCTTCTTGGCTTATTCTCTTCTCTACTGCCTTTTTGTAACTGCTACAGATCTTCAGTACTTCATTAAATTCTGGATGGTAAGCCGGGCCGCCATTACTGTGAGATACATTTCCTATAGAGCCTTTGGTTTCACAGAATAATCTTTGATCAGATCTTCACAGGCATCTGAAAGCTGTGTGATAAATAAGTGTTTAATTTTTTTCCTCACAAGGCTGGAGGTAAAGCACATTTCCGTCTCAAAGAATACCTGGTATGAGCCCACAAGGTAGTTAGTGGCAGTGAAATAAAAGCAGCTAGAAAAGCCCGGGTAGACTGCTCGAGGAGAAATCCTGCATAGGTCCCAGTTAAATACATGCATAATGTTATGAAATTCTGTTTTCTCTGAGTTTTGTCTTTTTTGCGTCTTCGTTCCAGCAGAACGGGCTCCCAGACACCCAGGCAAAGTTCCACATCTTATTCCTCTTCTTCTCGGCTTCCATGTTTTCAGTCAGCTTGGCTTCGCTTTTCACCTACCACTGCTGGCTCGTCTGCAAGAACAGATCCACGCTCGGTAGGTGGCGTCGGTCACGCCTGCGTGTTTGTGTGTATTGGTTGTGTTTGAGCACACGGTCATTACACAGCCTCTGTTGGAAGCAGCTCACTCCTCTTTGTCTTTCAGGATCTGCTCTCAGTCTGCTTTTGGTTTGAGCAGAGATGTCTTTGCACTAATGATGAGGGATGCTTTACTGCATTTTTTCCAGCGTCAGTCACCATCCTCATCAGTGCAGTGGTTTGATGAGACTCTCTGGGCCGTTATCACACAGAGCTGTTTCTCATTATGTGTGCACAGTGGCACACTTTGTCTGTGTGTAGAGGAGAGTGGATTATCCTGAGGAGTATGTTACAGTGAAATGCAAAGACACAAGGCTCAGAGCAGTAAGAAGCTTAGTAACAGAAGCTGCTAGGAGGAGAAGTCACACATGGTGGCGCAGTCTGAGGTTTTCTTTTCCTGTGTAACAAAGACACTTTCATTCAGAGTTTTTATGCCGCCATTCAGAAGGAATCACCCGTGGTGGTGATCTGCTGTCTGAATGCACTTCTGCTGATATGAGAAACAGCTTACATAAAATCTGAAAGAGTAAGCTGTACTTTTTTATATCCTGTCCTCCAGAGGCTGTACGTGCTCCAGTGTTTCGCCATGGGACAGATAAGAACGGCTTCAGTCTGGGCGTCAGTAAGAACTTCCGCCAGGTGTTTGGGGATGAAGTTAAATACTGGCCTGTACCAGTTTTTTCCAGGTATACTTTTTTTTAATCACAAAATATTTTATACATCACCAAACTGAAGCAGGGCGAGCTAAAGGAGCTTTATAACATTTCCAGCAGGTTCTGACCTGCAGCTTAGAGTCCACACTGGTGTAAGTTAAAGATACAAGACAAAACGACTGTACAGATGGGATGAGAAACAAGAGCAGAAAGAAATGAAATGATGTTTCAGAAATCTAGGTCTGCTCCTTTGCGGTGTTGAAACCTCACTGCTCTGTGTCTAAACCTGATGTCAAAGACACGTCTTCATCTCCCTGTAAGATGATAAAAATAATGAAAAGTCAAAATATTCTTACGTTTCATGGATGATGATGGACAAACCAGAATAAAAGAATAATATGTTACCTAAAACTGCAATGAAACAGGATTTTAATGAACTTTGTTGGAGTGTTTAGACTATATTTGGTTTCTAATGCATTAATATTTATTAGGGCCTAGTTAGTCCAGTTGTCTTTGGATTAAATACATCTAATCTAATCAGGTTTATTCATTCATTCACACAGAGTGTATAATATTGATCATTAAAAAAAGAATGAATTTGTGTGGGTGCTGAAGAAACCCATTAATGACCCATCTGAAAACCACACCCAGGAGACATTTCTAGGGTAACATAAAACCACTAAAACAGAATAAATGTTAGAGTTTATTTAAAGCTGATGTGAGGAACTTTCTGTTAGTGTTGATTTTAGTGCCCCCTGTGAGCAAAGTAACACTTTCTACCTTCTTGTCTCTACACATGAAAGTTGTTTGCAGAGAAAACCTCAAACTGTTGTCTTATAATAGTGAAATTCATCACTTGTTTTGAGTAATTACTCTTCCAAAGAAACAGAAGGACTGATCAGACTAAGACATTCACTTCATTATGGGACTCTGTGATATCTCACTGAAAGTGGATGCAGGGATTCTTTACACAAAGAACAATGGAGATTTTTAGCCGGTCTGTTGGATAATGATAAAACTGAGAATTACTAGTTAGGTAATATTTAAATTAATATGGTAAACCTGGGACATGACACATCACTTTGAGGACAAATGTACAGTTTTTTGGTTGGAAAGCCACTCGTCTAAACAGTTTCAATGATACACATGGATAATTAAACTGTAATGTAATGATAAAAGATAACTATTGTTTACAAAGAACCATATTTTTCTTAAAGACACTGCGAGAAGTTTTTTGAAACTGATAACGAGGCCTCTGTATGATCTTCAGAAGCAGATGAGAGCATTAAGACTGATCACTTCTTTGTTGTAATTTTGAATGCCTACAAGGGGGAAGGTCCACACCAGATGATTGACAGCAGATTGACAGAGTCATCACTTTGTCCACAGGGGGCGCCAGAACCAAAACAACCAAAAGTTCCTCACAGCAGCTATAAAATCCCGAGAGATTTGGAGCGCTTTCTGCAGGATAATCCAACCTGTGATTTTAAAAAAACATGTAGATACTCAAGTGATTTAATCTATAGCAATGCAGTTTGAATTGCATTTCTTCTGTGACTATAAGTGTGGCTCAATGAAGTCAATAACTTTTCATATTTACTACAAAACTTTCAGTAGTACACACATCAGTCGAACATGTTTTATGATCATATGATGAACTCAGGATGTGAGAAAACAAGTGAATCCTCTGTTCAGCTCAGGCATCAGCATCACTTAGTGTGAAAAGTCCCAGAAGACACAAGACGGCATCAGGACACCATAACATCAACAGTGTGAAAGAATGAAAGAATGCATGTTATGAAGCTTTGAGAATCAATAATTCATGCTGACAAAGGAAGCAGTGTCAGAAAAGTGGGGCTCTGTCGTGCTTGCAGTCAAAGACCATAAACTTTACACACTCTAATGTGTAAAAACAGATTTTTGTTGTTATTGTTTTTAAGAGAAACAAACTCCAAATTCAGTTGTTATAAATGTAGATAATACATCTGATTTATGTGACATAACACAATCTTCAGTCTCCTAGAGTAAGGAAAAGTATAAATGCAAATCCTGCTGATGTACACCTTCATTAAATAGAAATGTATCCCTCACCATTTTCCAGTTTAGGTGATGGCTGCTCCTTCCCAGCTTGTCTAGTGAATCTGGACCCTGAGCAGCCCTCATCCCCCTCAGACCCCAACCCTGTTAACAAAAGGTGAGTAAAAGATTCATTATAAAGTGAACAGCACTGAGAAAAAAAAGAGTCTGAATCACATTTGAATGACCATGCAGCTCAATATTTCACAGATATGTTCCTCTGTGATCTCTTGATATCTGGCTTCATACTTATAGTGCAGCAGAGGGCCGCCAGTTCCCATCGAAGCCGCTGAGGGAGTCTCAGAGCCGACTGCTCACCAGCACTCCCTCCTGGTCAGAGAGTGAGGGTGCACCAGACAAAGACAGGAAAGGTGAGATGAAGATGTGGTCTTTGACACATCCAAAAGAAAACATAATACAGAAGGGAGTTAATTGATAGAGTTTTCTCCACCTTTGTGTTTTCTTTAGGTGCCAACAACCCAGGGATAACTATAGAAAATGAGGCGTGAACAGAAACAGAGCTAAGGGTGATCCCTCTAGCCCAGAGAAGTAAGTTTACAATCATTTACAAAATGGTCACATGTCATAACTCTAACAAGCTTTTCCTCACTTTTCCAGGTCAATGCTGCCCCGCTCCTATAGCTGTGCCTATCAGAATGTGACATCTTCAGTGTTGGGGTTTGTACTACCGCACCCTGCTTCTGAGAGGTTTATGTGACTGACACCACATCACCAACAAAGAAAAAAACCCCCAGAAAAATCATTACCAGTTTCTCTGGTAGTGATATAAGTAACTCTTTCTGCTGCTATCTGACCGTTTTCAGGCTTCAGGACAAAAAGGACTGAAATTAAAATGCATTCCAACATCACCAGATCCTTTGTTTGTACATGTGAAAGCACAGAGCAGCAGAGGAGGAGGAGTCCTTCAGTTTTTACTTTGTATAGTAGGAAATCAGTAGAACTTGTATTGTGTGCCAAATGTTTGCACATCAAGTACAGATTAGTAGAAGTGTTAATGTGACTGATGTTTCTTTGGTCATTCTTTGTTTCAGTAAAGTTTTTTCGCTCACACCGAAAAGGATGGGCAGCTTTTTCACCCATCATGAAAGTTCAAAACGATGCATGCTCTCATCTCAGGATGTCGACACAAACTGACTTTGTTGTAGTGGACTGTACCACAAAATGTTCGCCCCTTTGCTTGGAGAAACAAAAGAAGAGTTTTGATTAGTAATCTTAATAAATAAGGGCTCTTATAACTCGCTACAGCATGAGGGGGGATTTTGCTGTCATACAGGAACATCTGAGAGCTGGTGCTGTTGCTGTGACAGCGTGTGTCTCTGCCAAATATCCACACTGCTGTCTGGCAGTCTGCTGTACACATCCAGCCTTCCTGACTGACTGACTCTGGAGGGCCAACACACAGACCGCTCGCAAAGCCTCTGTGTACTGCTGCAGATCTGCTTACCATCATAAAGCAGATGCTGTTGAGAGTTTTTCTAAATCAAATATGATGTTGTGAACACGCTGCAGAGCAAGAATAATAATAATCATTATAATGTAAAAAAAAAAAATAAATAAGCTCCAGCTGCTTTGTAGAGTACATTTTCACCTTCTTAGGATTCTGTCTGTTCTTGTCTGGCTTGAAACTATGAAACCATCACTTCAAATTATTTGGAAGAATGTATGCTTGTTACAAAAAGCTCCATAGTGACAATCTATATTTTTCTATTCTTGTATCTGTATGACATAAAAGACGTAATGGATGTGTGAGTATACTGTACTGTAAAGTTGTGATGCCTTAAAGAATAAAAAGAGCTCATCTTCGGCCTCATTTTTCATTTGTTTTTGCATGTTAGAAAGGATCGAGTCATTGAAGAGATGTTACGGCCAAGAGTGGTTTATGGTAGAAAAGTTTCAAGCCTTTATTTACAAAATCTAAAAACAATCCTCTTGTATATTGCATATTCTTCTTTGACTCTGTTACAGTGTGAAAGGTGTGCTGCAGAAAGAAAGTTGTCAGTTTGACGCAGTGTACACTTCAACACACACACACGCACACACACACACCTATGGAAGTTCAGAATACTATTACACAACACAGCATTTATTCAAACGTTTCAGTACATGCGGCTGTTCTACGCGGCATGAATGAACTGGAAAGCCATACAAAAATAAACGTCATTCAAAGGTCAGAACTACGAGTGAAAATTAACTCCACTGGAACAGAAAGTCGCATGTTTAAAAGCAACAGTTTTTTTTTCTCACCATGAGTAAAAGTTTTTCTTCTTTTATTAGAACACTAAAACTCTACAAAACTTTCGTCTTAATTAAAAATGAAAATTTACTCTCAACAGAGTAGTTCAGGGCAACAGCATCAACTCTTTTTTTTCTGCTATCATTTTTTTTTTTTTTTGAAGTCTGGTGAATTTGGTTTAAACCAGTGCAAGACCATGTAGAGAGGCGGTGCATCCGTGTTGTGTGCTTGTCTCAGTGAGGGTGTTTACATGCACGAACTACCACAAACCTTCAATCAAAACTCTTTGTATGCGTCTGTGCATACTGTGAATGTATCAGAGCAACACCGTGAAGCCAAACCAAACTCAGCAACTAACATAGAGGAAGCATTTTTAAGGATGTTTGTATAGGCAGAACACAACAGTTTGAAGTCAAGAGGGTTAAATTAAATATTATTTTCAAACACTCAAAGAAAAAATAAATGTCAATGAGATATTTATGTGCAGGTAAACACACTCACTGACAGCTCCCTTTCTCATAATTACACACAAAAAAAAAATATCTGTAAGTGTGCTGCCTGGTGGAGTCTTAGTGTCGATCAATGAGGGCGTCTGAATGGTCAGAGAAGCAGCACAATAAATTAAAGTTTAAAAGATACGAATGCAGCTTATATTAAGGCTGAGTGTGGCAACAGTAATGGTTGTGATGGTAAAGACTGACATGTCGACGATGAAAAAATGAGAACATAGAGAAGGCAACAAAGAGGAGAAAGACACCAGAAACATTTTCAGCTTTCCATATAAAATCGGGTTAGAGCTTTAAAGTGCAAAACATGTCTACAGAACATTTTAGGAAAACAAAATCCCATCTTCCAAGCATGTTAAACTGAACTGATTCAAACAGGCTGCCTAAACTGCTTCACAGGGTTAAAAGACTACACTCTCTCATACACACGCGCACACACACACACACACAGCTAGCAGGGCATGTGTGAGGCCAGCTGGGATTTTTTTTGACCATCATACTCTAAGGTGAGCAAAGGCTATGAGAAGCAGCTTGCTAAATGGTTTGTGTTTGTCTTATTTTCTTCCATTATTATCATCCAGTTGGTTAAAGCCTGCTTCAGTGTCGCACGGATCGAGCATGTGAGCAGCAGGATGGGAGGTTTCAGAGTGATGTCACGACTGCTGCTTGTTCGCCTCCTCTTCGTAAGCGTTCCCTGTTCCGTTCTGGACATAGGCTGAGCCGGAGCTGAGCCCGTACAAGTGCCCACAGTACTTTGCATCGTCGATATGATCCTCGAAAAACATCTGTGGAGACAAACAAAACAATGGAAACTGATTAGAGACACTTAAAAAGGCATCTAGTGTCACAGTATTCACTGTTTCAAGGATCATGTTTATCTTTACAGCTGTAACTCTTCTAATATCCTGAAGTTAGGTTTAAAAAGCCTGATCATTAAGGCAGTGATGTGGTAATTTCCATTAAGGGATCTGTCTCTAATCACTCGAACCATAAATATCCCTGAGATTCTTCGAACCTCTACAAATATACGTTTGATAACAAAAGGAGAGGAGGGTAAGTGCTCTGTTAGCATCACTCTGCCTCTTTCTAATACTCATGAACGTTAAGGTTTTTAAATATTTCTACTTTCTAAACATTTACAGGTGCTGAACTGTTTGTTAGGAACAGGTTAAGTTGCTGAGATGCTGGGTCTCATTTTTAAAAGAGACCTGCCTTGGATAAATAGTTTGGTTATGCTGTATGTAGAACATAAAATTCTCTGTTTCATTTTCTTTAGTTTTCCTACGTTTTCAGAGAGGAGTAATTACTTTCATAGTTTGACTTTAAGGTGACAGTAATCACAGAAGATGTACAAGTACACGCTCCTTGCACTGCTGCTTTTCTTGACCGCATTTAATTTTTACATGCGCCTAATGACGGTGAAGTATCACTATACGTATGTGTAGCAGGGGGCTTATTCAGACATGAGATCTGCATGTTAAATGAGATTATTGTGGGGAATCTAGATCTGACAGGAGCTTCAGTAATCCTGTGCTCCTGTGTTCCTTATACTCCACCTAACAGGACTCTCCGGCCTGAAGCGCCTACCTCTCTCATCTTGAAGAAAGCCATGCCAGTGAGTAAAGAGTCGGAGCCGGCCTGGTGCTGTGGTCCGATCCTCTCCAGCTCCAGCTGCTCAGCAACTTCCTGCAGCCCGCCCTAAAAACGAATCATTGTCAATTCACTCAGAATTTATGCGTCTAGTCCAAAAGACCACTCTCAAAGTGGTCACATTGAATCTTGAGGTGTGGAAGTTTTACATCAATAAAACAGCACACTTGTGTGCGCCACCCGCTAAAATATTCAGTGAGTTACCTTTAGGTTTTTGCAACTCTTCATGAGGTACTTGACATCGTAAATGACTGGAAAGTACAAGCGAAGAATCTCAAAGAAGTCCACCTCCTCCTCAGGCAGGTTCGCATTGGAGAGAATCTTGATCAGGTATCCAAAGTCATAACCACTGAAGAAGACATAAATAAAAAACAATATACATTTTTTTAAACTCTAAAGAAATCAGAGCAGCTTCAAAATATCTGCCATGACATAAGACAGCTGTGCATACTAACTAAGACTGGATTTGTTTTTAATGCCTGAACCTGCTTGTCGTCGTGTCAAAACACTCAACCTACCAGGTGTGCAAAGACAAAGTAAGATTTTGCTTCGCTGTAGAGAAACGATAAGATGCTCAATTTGGCACAGACAAAGCTTCCAATTAGCTTAAACATTTATCTTACAATATAAATAGATAAATAAATAAGGAATGAATTTATTAAATGAGATTGGAAAATCAAAAATTATAGATAGTGAAAAATACAAATAAAAACAACATGACATGAAAGCCTCTTGGTAAAGAAGTAGTCTTAATACCTGAAAGAGATGACAGAGATGTTTCAAACCTAAGCCTTATTTATTTTCCACAGCCTGGTTATCTTTAGCATCAGTTTGCCATGGAGACACAGAGGGAAACTGAGCACAAAATGAAAAAGTTAAGCAGCAGAGTGCAGAAAATACCCATCAAAGTTCGCTGTCACCGAAGACCAAGTTGAACAGAACACGTGTTCATCACACTCGAGCAGCTTTTTGAATCGTCAACTGAACGGATTATTGTTGTTCTCACACTTAGGTCGTACAACCCCCAACACCTAACCTCTCACTGAAAAAAACAACAAGACTTATAGACAGATAAATCAAAACAAACACAAATCCAAATAGTTTTCATCTTCTTTTTGTAAGCTTAAATCAATCAAAAAGTAATAAGAATAAAACGACTTCAAATACACAACACAATGATGAGAAGAGAAGGAAACAAAGCATAGTATTTATATGGAGTCAAACGATCAGCACAGTTCCTGGTAACCTCTTACGTTTCACTACAGCTCACAAGTAGAGGGAACAAAACCAAGAGATGCTCCGCCTTGAACTGTTAGTAATTTTTTGGAAAATGTCTATTTTCCAAGAATAACATGGGCATCACTTATTTGCATTGTGTTGCTGCACAACTGCCAAGCCAAGTTCCCAGGATTCAGACAAAGCTGAGGTATAGGTATAAATAATCACACAAGCAGCAATACCTGTGAAATGACAGCCACTTAACCCCATCACAGAGCACCACTCCTGATGTCATCAGCAGCTCTGCAAAGTACAGCGTCTCGATGCCTTCGTCCTCGTGCTTCTTGAACTGAATCCCTGAAGTTGTCAGGAGCTCAATCGAGTCCTGTGCATACATGTCTTCTCTGGAGATCAAGACAGACACAAACCATACTTATATTACTGCAACCATTAAAACATCGAGTAGTAACGAGAGCAATAACTGCGAGTTATCCTTGACAAAACACTGATTTTTGTAAACTGTGTCTCAGGTGATCTGACTGGATATACAGTTTGAAGATTTCTTAACTTCCTCCAAACAACCTCAAAGAGATGATCCAGAAAGGGTGAAGCTGAAACACTGAGTAAGGTGCTCCCAGTTAGTGTGTGCTGTTAGACAGCTGGAATGCTTAATAAATGGCATATTCAATCAAAAGTCTTAACTTCCAAAGGTATAAAAGGTCTAAATACATTTTTCAAAAAAGCATTTAAATGATTTGCAAAACACCAAATTTGTTTTTATCATTTATAAAAGCATATCTCTCTCTCTCAATACATATATATACATACATAAGCTTTTACAAATTTGATTAATTGAAAATGAATTGAAATTATTTAAATATATTTGTATAAAGACAGACAGACAGACAGACAGACAGACAGACAGACAGACAGATAGATATCGAACTATGTCTATATACTTGTTCTTTTGGGTGAGATAGATATACATACTGTATCTAGATAAAAATAGAAAAACAGACATATGCTCTTTTTTTCTGTTGCCAGCAAAGTGTCTCATGATGTGCCAGATGTTCTAAATGATTGTATGATTGTCAAGTCTGGACTGCAGCAGCAGGTGTATTTAATCATGAGTCTTCTACAATGGAGCCACATAGTTGTAATACCTGCAGCAGGTAGTTTGGCACTGAGTAGCTAAATATATACAAGGTCTTCCCTGAAAAAGACATAGTCTGGATAGCAGCACATGCTGCTGACCAGTATTTTTATGTCTAGGTTGTCTATAGCATGGGCACTTGTGCATCCCCATATGACCACAAATGCTGGCTCTGATAAAAAGTTGTGGCACCCACAGTATCAGGAGAAAGCAAAGTTTTGACTTTCCAGATCACAGGACTGTTCACCTGAGTCAAAATGTCCACGTTTTCTCCAATGTTTCCTCTTTGCATGGTACAGTTTTAATCTGCATTTGAGGATGCAGCAGTTGGGAGATGTTTTCCTGGGTGTTAAACTTTTCTATCCAGTTGTGCCTGTTCCAACTCTTTTAGCAGAGGTTTAGTATTTTGCAAAGCTTTTCTGGACATACCATGATCACAATAAATGTTACAGAGGCATAAGATTGTCAAAAAAGAGGAGAGGGGGAGATGGTTGTCTTACGTGAGGTTAAACTTAAAGTTGAACTGCCATGTTGACGTCCCTGGAGGATATTCCCCTTGTTCATTCATAAATGTGAGGCCCAGCTGGATTATCTTCAGCAGATCCACATTGCAGCGCAGTAGCTGATACTGATAGTCTGCATTGCTTCTGAACTCTCCGATGGGTCTGGCTACTACACCTGGAAACTCTGTATCCTGCAGGATGACAGACACATTATTATGCACAGAGAAACTCTAGTCTCATCAGAGATGACTTCGCCCTGTATCACTCACCATGGCTATGTAGTTGTACTTTCGGATGACATTTCGTATCCTCTTCAACTCCTCCTCCAGGTTGTTGGCCCAAACCTCACATATTTTTTGGCTGTGATCCACAGTAGCTGCGGGCATAGTGCCACTTTAAACATGCAAAGAGATAAACGCCATAAAAAAGACAGAAGCCTTCAGATAACAGCCTTAGCTTTACAGTGATGAAGCAAAGATGAGGAGGGAGAACAGGGATATTGAACAGATGATCACAAGATAGCCAGAAAATGCTGACAAACCATTTGGCTAACAATTTATTACGTCGTGGTTTTAATTGTAGGAGACACAGTCTGCTTGGTGTGTCAAATCCATTGGCATGGGTTTGGCTTTTAACCTCTAGAGCTATAATTTCCACGTTAACAGCGACATGAAGTCTACATGCATGCACACACATGTGGGCAGCAGCAGCAGCAGGACGGCTCTGTCTGTCTGTCTGTCTGTAGGTCCCATTAGCTCCTGTGGGCAGTTTTCAGCTGCACTTTGGGTTAGCTCGGTTACCTGTAGCAGTTAGCAGCCTCCACACTTAGCTTACACGAGCATGACAGTGGAGTCTTTCAGGTGGGTCACAGAATACGGTTTTAACACACTTCGGGCAACCTTCACGACCGATATATACCCGTGTGTGAGACACATTAAAGAGACGAGGAGAAAAAGCCGCAAACACACTCGCTGTGTGACTTTGTTACAGCAAAGCTGACTGTAGCTGCTGAAACTTACCGTTCCCCAAACCGAGCGACTGTGTGTTATGCGTGCGTACTCTCTGAAAACCGCTTATGTGCTACAGGTTGGAGTGTCGGGGTTTTATCGTTAACTTTTAAATAGTTTATATTCAGTAATGTATCGATGTCAGCCCACGGCTGCCATCATAGCTGTGTCTACAATACTACGTCATCACGTAGACAAGAGGCGTCAAACGTGTACGTATGTATAGGTCTGAGGCCCTCGTCTGATGGGGAACAGGTACTACTGATTCTATCTATCTATCTATCTATCTATCTATCTATCTATCTATCTATCTATCTATCTATCTATCTATCTATCTATCTTGGGCTACATATAACATTTTGTCTTACAGTTTTTCTCAGTTGCTTTGGTGAATTTCTCAGATCAGAATGAAAGTTCTCACAACTATTAGTTCAACCTCCACAACATTGAGTCATTTGTGCACATCACATCATCATAGCAGTTTCTCATTCCTCTGAACAAATTGCAAATGCTCTTGGACATGTATCAGTTACTTTAATTTAATTCTCTGCTATTATCGTTCGCTTATGTCATGTCAGTCAAAATGAACTATACTTATGAATGCTGAATAGTCATTCTCTGTAAAACTAATAGTCCTTAAGTCATTACATACAAATTGTTGAACTAGCTCTCAAAATCCGTAAAGCTGATTTCATACATTCCTTTATCATTGTTTTTTTTTTTTTTTCCTGAAAATGTCTCCTAAATTGAACAATTGCTCTCAGGTGAAACCTCTGCTTTCACTCATGAGGAGTTGTGTGAAGCATTAGTTGTAACCAATGACAAGCCACCCATGAACCCTCACTTGGCAAGCATATGTAAACCAAGCAGGACATAGTGTGTACCATTTCTACAATTCTGTGACACAAACAATGGAAGGTCAGCGTAGTGGAGGAGGGGTGAGAATGCAGAGAGGAAGGAGAAGGGGTCAAAACAGGGGCAGAGGAAGAAGAGGTGAAGAATATAGGCAAATCCCTGATGAAATTAGGGCTAGACTTGTGGACTATGTTGTCAATCACGGCCTCATTATGGCTGAGGCTGGTCGACGAGTTCAACCAAATTTAGGGAGAACCACTGTAAATCCTATGTTTGTTCTAAATAATTGACTGTTATTTATTTTTATATCTATTTACAATGCTGTAGAATTGCAAAGAGCATATGCAGTAAACATGTGAAACATACATGTGTCTTGTATTCAGTTACCTCACTAAATACAGTAATGTGTAACTTTACTGTAGTTTTCAAATGGCTTTACAGGTATAGTGCTGTCTTGAGCATTTTCAGGTAGTGTCACCAAGATCTGACTTCTTTTGCATAGGAAAACACAGAGAGAGTCAAGTGTCATAATGAAACATGACAAAGCCATTTGACTGTCTTGTTCACAAACTATGATGTCAGGACTAGCTGACAGTTTCATTGACACGAAGACTTGCTTTTGAGGACTCAACTATTCATTTTAAGCAAGTGACATGCTTTTGCAGGTTATCCACTAGGTTTTGCAGTTTGTACTAATTGTTCTGAGAAATGCACTAACTGTTGTGCAAATGTTATTGGTGATGTGAGAAATGCACCAAAGCGACTGAAGAAAAAAGGTAAGAAATGAATCCTTTACAGTTTTGACGAACTACTTCCAAATGAAAAATCTTTTCCATGTAGTTTTTACTTGTACCTATTTTTACCCTTTATTTCTAATAAAATGTGTTGTTGTGTAAATGGTTTATTCTTTAATGCTGTTTTTGGACCCAAGACAGAATAGTCATTACTGTGGTAATAGCTAATGTAGATCCTAAATAAGGTGATGATAATTTCAGTAAGGCACTCATTCAAAATCTTTTTTTTTTCCATTTTTAAGACTTTATCATATAAGAAAAAGCAAACAAAATAATCTCATTGTCACAGCACAAGTCTAGAGAAATAAAGCACACACCACTGAATAGTTAGAGCAATACTGTTGACAACTGTGTCTTTATTTTAATTGACAAAGATATAGAGAGATATAGCTTTGTTTTTTGATCCATCCAACATTTTCAGCTCTTCATTCCTCTGTAAAAGAATAAATCAGGATATAAATTTCTCTCAAACAGGGTCAGAAGTTCTTACTGCTGAATAAGATAAATAAGACTTTCTGATACAAATAAAAACATGCAACGGAGAAAAATTGAAGTAGTCAAAAATATGCCATTGTAAAAAAATAGTCTATCATGCTTTGCTTGATAATTTCTGCTTTGTTCATTTGCAGTATTAGAGGTCAACACATGCAAGTCAGCAGTTAAAATGTGTATTTTTTGATTGAGATGGCACAATACTCGGATTGTTGGTAAACTGATTGCAGCCTATAGAGGCAGAATGTCACTATTCACATGCTCTAGTTTGCTGTTCAGTGCTCAGCAGGTTTCTTACTCTGTGCTCTTCTGACACCATGAGGCAGTCACGCTCTTTTGGTAAGTTTTGTTTGGATGAAGACATGACATGCAATATGGGATGCAAAACACAGCTACGTTGTGATTTGAGCTACATTTGGTGTTAACAGGATACATCCTGGTTAGGAACTATGAGATGTGACAGTAATGAATCAGGCTTTGGACAAAATCAACTCAGAAATTCAAGGAGGAGGACTAAAGGAGGTAACTCCTCAGAAAAAAACGCTACAAAGCTTGAGTCATTTGAAATGCCCATGAAAGCTTATGTTGACAGCATACTTTGTAAACCCATTAGCATAAAATATATCACACATTTCATCATATGATTGTTTCCACTGTTGAATTCTATCCTTAGTTCTTTAATTATAAAATGACAGTTTTTTATATCAATGCAAACAAAAAAGAAACTCTTCTCTAACTCACAGGTCAAGCTGGAAAGTACAGCTGACTACTTTCTGCACTTATTTGTAAAGTCTTTTCATTTAAAGACTTAGTGATATAAACACAAAACGTGACCACTTTGGCAAAAAAAAACAAAAAAAAACCCAAGCACATGGACAAAAAGACCCTAAGACATGACATGACAATCGCAGTTCTCTCATAGAGGAAACAAGCCAAATATGATCAGTTACAGTACACAGATATTAACCAGAATATACATAAAAACAGGCAGAGTCCATCACCCCACATGCAAACAAAAGTGCAAAATAACTGGTAACCTAACTTAGCCCACAGCTGGGTTACTTGATTTCAAAGGCAGTGTTTGTTCAGTGGCCCTGTTGATAGCTTGATAATCAAATGCTACATATGCTCAAGCGGCTGAGTTGGCAGCCTCGTCAGAATCTGGATCCCTGGTACTGTCCTCGCTGAGAGGAGAGCGACAGCTCAAGTCCGCAATCCCTGACTCCTGGTCGCTGCCATTGGAGAGGTTGAATTCAGATGTCTGGGTCAAGTCGTCGGGCTTTTGGAGTACCAGGCTGTCGTCAGATGGTTTCAGCTGGAAGGGGCTGCTGTCGATGAGGCCCCCAATGTAATCCTGAGGGGTGTTTACCAGATCAAGGGGGTTTCCACCGACCCACGCTGTTGGGCTATCATCAAAGCTGGTGATTTTCTGTGCATCACTCTTCCACCCCTGCTCCTTCGTCAGTTGAGTGATTTTCTATCAATAATGTAATGCAATACAGACGTAATTTATCCCCCATTGCTCGTAAAAGCACCACAGATATTTCTTTAAGGATACATCAAAGGAAGTACGAATGCAAATCCTTATCCTACCTGTTTGTGTGAAGACAGCTGCTCCTCCAACTGCTCTGTCTCCTCTTGGATTGCACGCAGATAATCTTCAACAGACTGCCGAGGATGCATCCCTCGATCAAAACGGTTGTACAGCCCTCTCCAAAACCTGTGTGAAGCAAAAGACACTCAACTCCACAGAAAAAACATCCCATACTGCTGTTCTTCCTAATCTGACTACAGTGATATGGCAGACTTGTTATCATTGACATCCATGTAACAGGAAATGCTGGTTTTCAGCTTGGACTTCATGTATTGTTACTGTCTGTTGGGACTGACTTAAAGCAGTAGGGGGCAGTAGATGGCCGAAGTAGTCCCTGTGTCTGGCTGTGGTCCTCTCGGTACAGAGGGTTGATGTAGTCGGCTCGGTTCATCCACAGATAACTCCACAAAGAGTGAGTCCTTTCAAGCAGTCTGTATAGAGGTCAAACAACAGTGGGGAAAACACACAGGGATGATCAAATGACAAACAGTCTTCTGGTAAAAGAAAAAAGAACACTGTTGAGCATCTTTTGTGTATCTTGAACAGAGTCATTATATTTGAATAAGGCCTGTGATGTAATTTACTACTACTCGCTGTTGCGTCACTGCAGTAGCCAGTCTTCTCTCAGCACAGCGGCTCTAACCAGATGTCTGTGCAGTGAAAGGAAAAAGAAAGTGATGGCTGCTGCAGGTGTAAATCTCACCGCAGCTCTGTCTTCTCCCGCTGGTTGTTGCCAATGAAGTTGCCGAACTGGCAGGAGTAGATGTGGCTGTGAATGGTGATGAGGAACCTCTCATTGAACTCAAAGGCACAAGGGAACTGCTCCATTAGCTGCCACACGCACTCCAGGAACTGATCTACGATGGGAGATGCCTCTTTAGGGTCTCCCACCAAGTGGTTGCACCTAGAGATAGGAAAGGGCAGTTAGTTTAAAACAAAACAAAACAACAAGCCCATGAATGCAATGACAGTGTGTTTAAAAGTCAAACCTGCCTGTGAGAGAACTTGTGTCCGAATGAGACCCAGTCTTTCTCAATGAGAACCTAGGAGGACAGTAGAGAAAAATCAGGTGCTAAGACATAGAGAGCTCAAACATTTCTACACAGTCTCTGCAGAGTGACTGAACCCCTTCACCCTCTGTGTGGGGTCATTCTTCCTCTGGCTTTCAGGGCAGACTTCTATTATAGTTGTATTCCACAGTGGCTCTTGGAGGATTTTGACAGAGCCTCCTGAAAATCCTTCTGATCAAAGACACAAGCCCAACAGCCCTCTTTAGATGACTCTCATGTAGAGTTACACAGTTTCTTGCTTATGACTAGAGTGTAGCAGAGAGGGATGTGAAATCTATACCAATACCTAAAAGTTACTCTGGCATATAGAGGTATTGTGAAAAGGTAAAGAATTTACCATGAATCCTTTGAGGGTCCTGTAGTAAGGATCCAGCAGCACACAGGCCACAGAGCACACCTGGGCAGTACGGTCCCAGCCGTCTGAACAGTGGACCAGGACACTAACACCCTCCTCTGCAACAGCCTTCAAACACAAACCAAACACACACAAATACAAAGTCCAAGAGGTGTGACAGGTGACAGCACGGCCAAGTAAGAGTGAAAAAAACAAACATTTATGACAGATAGACCTGCTGATAAAGCAGGCTGATCGATGACACTGGGACATAATCTGCCTTCACAGGCTGATCTCAAGAAGACTTTTTTTGTTTAATCTCCAAAGAAAGCAAATCAAGTCAAGATAAGCCAGTGTTGAGTGTCAGCTCTGTTATGATATATATAATAATATGGTATAGTAATTCTTCTGATTCTTCTGACATTAATACCAACCATGCTTTGAAACCTAACATAACTCAACATATTGGTTTTTTATTTATTTATTTTTTCTATTTACCAATTCATTTAATAGTCCTCTACAACACGTTAATGGCTAAGATGACAGTATAATATTTGATGTGCTTGGAGTGTTGACTTGAACTGAACTTTTTTTCTTTTCTTTTAGTTATAATATTTAATTTATATTTCTAATTTTTTTTGACAGGACAGAAATTAAGAAGTCCCTTGTGACAATATTTTACCGGGCCAAGTATTTTTCCATCTGATTTATTTTATTCAAACATTCACTCAGGCTCGAACAGCGCTAAGGTACTAGTATTCTCCATCAGCCATCAGTGTACCTACTCTCTCATTATCTGCTGTAGCTTTAAGAACTGTAATTGGTCAACCACAAAATATGATATGTAATATCAACACATTGAAAAGTGGGAGAATGGGTATTATCGTGTGTAAGCATTTGAATAATTATTTGTTTCTTTGTTTTTTTTTAACCTTTAATCAACCAAGAGAAAAAGACACATTTCAGATTCTAAAACCTGGTAAATCCTGCTGATAAGGGTTTTTCTGTAATAAAGGTTTTTCATTATAAAAGCTTTGAGTTACACTTTATTCAGTGCTTGTGTGATCACTTTCCTGTTATGTTTATGTCAGACACAATCAATTTAATTTATGAAGGAGTAAAATCTGTCAATCGTAAAAATGTCAATCATAACATAATAACTAGATATGTGTAATACTGTGTTATCTTAAGGTACTTTAATCATTCATGATTTGCATTTGTTAAGTATGATTCTCTCAAACAATTTGGCTGATCACACACTGTGTCAATTGAGTTGACAGACATGGTCTCTAATCATGTTTCCTTAACTCGGTGATGAGGATCCTTTAGTATTTGGATACTGTACACTTATGTATGATGAGTACTGCAGTAACTGAGTTCTTGCAAGTGACAGTCAACACACAATACATACAAAATATACACACACAGGATCACACATATGCACACACACACACCTAAGCTAATATTGAGAGCAGTGGAGGGGCAGACAGCGGGGATTAACCTCCAGACTGACCTTGGCGATGAAGATGCCTGCATCCAAAACAGCTTTGATGTGCTTCAGCCAGCCTGAGTTCTCCAGACCTTCCAGGAAGTCAGACATGGAGGGGGAGCGCAGCTCACACACTGCAACCACAACACAGCTGTCTCACTGACAGGAAACAAAGCATACCTGATAACTACATCCACAAATCTGAGAGTGGTATGAGAAAATCTGGGCTACACTGTCAACTCTTTTTCATTACAGATTTCCTTTGTCTCTCTTTTGTGATGGATTTGGTCGACATTTGGAGTTTTTGCTCCAGGGATGTCAGCATCAGTCTGTCTGTCTCTCTGTACACTTTTGACATCGCTCATAAAATATTGCACAAATTTCCATTAAAGCTTGAAAAGATATTGATGATCTCCAGAGGATGAATCTCAATGATGATAAAGATGCTCTCACTTTTCTCCGGTGCCCTTAGCAGGTTCATATCTAAACTTTTCCTGTGAAATATCTCTGAGGAGCGAATCTCTGACACACACACAATAATATCTTTTGTCTTCATAAGCTGTACTTAGGTTGTCATTGGTAAATGTAAGAATTCTAATGTGCTTAACTTGTTAAACATTAAGAAAATTTGGATACGTTAGAATGCTTAAATAAGCATCTTTCCTTATTTGACCACTGGACACAACTTGTGGTCTCTGTGAATTACTAGTATGGCTGTGATCAAAAGCCTTGTATTTAGTTTGTATTGTTAAATATCCTGCCACGGCCAGTACCACTGACACAAATCAGACAGAAAATAAAACATACCCATTTGTGTAGGATGAGGCTTCCTGCTCTGAGTTTATTTGTTTAAAAAAAAAAAGCATCTCAAATTTATTTTTCCATCTTCAGAGTTCAACATAAATATTTTCAAGTTCACTCAGGGGCAGAGAGAGTATAAGCCAGTTTGTCCAAAGCTGACAGCTCCTATGCACAAGCTAATCTATCATATGAATGTCTATAATTTCAGCATATTTTCCTTTTACTGTATGAAAGCATTTGCCCTCTCGATGCACTAAAAGAGTTTGTCGTAGGTGGCAAACTCTTTTCACCATTGCTTTGTCAGAGTTTTACTTCTGTGGCTGCTGAAGGTAGAGTAAGCAGGTGAACGGGTTCATTCGACCTCTCAGAACTCTAAGCAGAGCAGACTTGTGCTGTAACAAATGTTTGAGCTGATGCTGCCAGGCAGGGGGTCTTCAAAATCTTATTCAAGTGTACTATGGGGTGGGTAGAGTCAGACAGGCTCTGAAGGGCAGGCACTGTCTCCAGTATTTAAAGACTTCCCTTGTGCTGCCAGAGGGGCAAAGAGTTATCACAACTAAGAACAGCTATAACTTTTCAGACTCGAAATCCCATCATTCTCACGCCCTCAGCCTCTCTTTGGGGGATAAGGTCCTGGATTGTCCGCACCAGGAAACCAAAATAGCTCAGAAATAAAATCCAGATGGATTGAAAGTCTTCGAGGAGCACCCCTGCACAATACTCAGAAATTCTCCAGTGGGCTCATTTGAGGCCTGATTGCAGCATAGTCCGGTCTGCATGAGTGCAAATGAAAGCCACAGGGGTAGCGCGGGGTCTCGCTCTGCTCTAGTAACCAGCGACTTTAAACAGACATTAACAGAAAAGATGCATTCCCTTCCACAAACACTTGTGTGGTGAAACATTTCTGTCATGGTGATGAATGTGCTGCTGATTTTACAGTAAATCTTGAGCGGTAGAGGGACTTATTCAGCCAGACATGTTAATTACCTTCCAGCATTTTCTGTTGGCTGTTTCTCATTACATGGATGTTCTCAATGCCGATGAATTGGAATTTAATGTTGGAATAGTTGTCTTCGTTTTCGTAGCCTTTTCCTGCAGCTCGGTTTGCGATTGCGTTTAGCTGGAAAGAAAATGAATTAATTTCCATGAGACACTTTTTGAAGAGTAAAACTGCTTTACAAAAACATCAGGACCATGTGTTGATCATGTCTCTAACAAGCAAACAGGGAGGATGTTGTTGAGGTTTTTGCTTTGAGCACATCCAGCTGGCAAAGAGCAGTTTAGAAAACAAAGCCCACCTGAACATACAGCAGTGTACTGTAACACTGGTCTTTTTGCCGAGGCACAGAGGGCTCACCTTAGGCCTGGTGTCCACCACATACATGAAGTCGCTGCGGGGATTGGACCTCAAGATGGCCTCCAGCATCTGTTCATCCTCCAGGCAGCGGGCGCTGAAACCTGACAGGGGCTGGCTGCTGCGGCAGATGGCAGCCTGGGAGGAGGTAAGAGGCACTCAGGCTTCATACGGGAAGATTTGATTGTTTGTGAGACCATTTTGAAGGAACTACAGCATGTTGCAACACAGTGACCGTGATAAATTCACGGAAATCAATTGATACTGTACTTTTCACTGTACTTTTTTGTCCCTTGCATACTCTATTCGAAATACTCCAAACTGTTTTTCTTATCTCAATCAAGTAGCCGCATGGGAAGTGGCCTTTGTGAGAGATCCTTCTGGCCCATGAACCAGAGTAGAGCCCCTCTGTACGAACTGAGCTCCACACACTGGACCCTGAGCCTTGGGAAGCTGACCCCAAACACATAAAGCAGTCCCAACTGTCCAAGCAAGGATTAATAGAGGGGATTATGAATGTTCTGGCTTTTTCCTGATTCAGCTTCAGAAACAGTTACGATTTATACTTTGATGTAATGACACAATCATCTGAAACTCTCATGGGACATTTCGAAGGAGAACTCAAAAACTGTAATGGAAAAAACAACAACATGTCTTTACTTTAAATCTTTGCTTCAGATCTTCACAAACACTCGTTTCGCCTTGTCTCTTGGTTGTTTTATTGCAGATGTACATTCATAAAAATAAAGCCTCTTAGCCTGCCTGACTAACTGGAATCCATCAGTGAGTTATACCAAATCAACAGTACTCTTAAGTTACACTGATGCCAACAAAAGAAATTCATTTATTTCATTTTAGGCTCACAGCATTTGGCGACCATGAGCGCTCCATGCTGAGTGTTGTCACTTTGCAGGTTTCCTCTAAATGCTGTGCACATGTTACAAAATTGGTAAATCTAATCTGCTTGTTAAATTGACTCTTTTAGCTCTTAGGACGACAGAACTGGTGTCTATATCTGATCTGCAGTTTCTTTGTTCATATCAGTTATTCAGAGACTTCAACACAGTTGAAAGTCTGGTTTTAGTTCAACAACATTTCTACTTCTCTACAACAAAAATTATCTCAAACTTGTTATGAGGCGTGACTATAAATTAACTTTTATGGTTCTTCAGAGATTTAATTTGAAGCTTATTTTTAGTCTGTACCATTTGTGAAACAAAATCTCTCAGCAGCTTGAAGAGAGATGCTTAATGCATAGGATGGTTGACCCCTCAAATAAATCATTTCTGTTACAAAAAGGGCCAAAAAATGCATGCAAGTTATTTTTACATTTCACATCTTAATATATCATAAACTTACATTACTGTCTTTGGAGTAGTAGGACAGAGTAGGAAATCTTCCTCTGCTCCTGAACTTGGAGCTTCCAACGATGACTGGAGGTGAGGCCGATTCAGGCACGAACAAGTCAGCGGGGTAAGTGTCACTCACCTTAGAATGAAAAAGCAAACCTCAACTACACTGTTGTCATGTCTTAATGAGGGATAAGGTAGTACAAAAGGCATAGAGGTTGAGCGGCTGACCTTGTAATGTTGGTTGACAGGGGAGAGTTTCCACAGGGAGTTTGGGAGTCCCATCCTGCTGTAATCAGCCTTGAGATCCAAGAAGTCCCATTCCTGACGTCTCTCCTCCTCATCGACGTTAGGTTTATATGAGAAACAGTACAGCTCCTCGTAACTCTCTGCAAGTCATAATACAGGTTCATAGTGTAATTTCCAGTTTACACAATCCATCTAACACAAAAATCAACAAAGCTAGAAAAGCAAAGACTGAGCATTGATGTTGAGACTGGTATTATAACACAGATTACCTGGCTGGGACAGACGCTGTAGGGACAGGAACACATCAGCGCACTCCTGCTCTCGAGGCATGACGAAATGAAGAACCTGGAAATTCTTGCAGTGGACAAGCAGAGGGCATCCTGAGTCTGTGGCTCCTTGTTTCTCCACACCGCACACCAAACTATGGAGCACCTGAGATACAAACAAAGATAGCTAATTATTGCATATTGTTGGGGGACACATTGCAGGGCTTTGAGAAATATGGACAAAGTAAACATTTTGTGTCGTCTCAGGTAACATCAGGTATTCAAGGCATTTGAAGAACACATAGCTAAGAAGCTTTTCCTTTAACTGGGGTCTAAACAAAGTGATTTCTGGTCTGTGAGTGCACTACAGTTTTACTTACCCATGTTTCATTGCGCACCCCAGCCTCGCTCTCTACAAAGATGGTGTGAGTGGCTGTCAGGTACAAGGTGCCCACCTTATTTCTCCTGGGGGACACTTTGTCAAGCAGCTTGACACTTTCCACCTAGAAAAAAAACACCACATCTAAAAAGCTTCATGCTGAGGACCTGATCACACCCTAAAGACTACTGTCCTGAGGTGTTAATTGCTGACATACACATTCAATCTGCTGTAAAAAAAAAAAAGGTTGACAGAGGTGGAGAGGACTTTGGTTGCCTACGTGGCCCACGTAAAAGCACACGCCTTTATTCAACCGACCCTCTTATAACATGTTTTACTTAAACTCTGCAGATCTCTTGGCGTTTCAAGGAAAAGTGAGACGGGATTCACAGTGCGGAAATCAGGGCTGATCACTGCAACCAGATCCGCGGTTACCTTTGGTAGTCGGATGTGCTCCATCAGCAGTTGAGAGATGAACCGCAGCTTCTTGCAATGACTAAACTTTGCTTAATACAGCTACCAACAGTAAAACATATGTACAGTAGTGATAAAATACGCTGTAGGCTGGCTGTAAAGGTTACGGTTGATCTCCAGTAGCGCGCAGGTAAACGCTTCCATAATATTGCTGTTGCTGCTTCCAATCGTGCTGCTCTGCTGGGTCCTAGCGCCCGCTCGATACCGGTCTGTGGCCTTTAACTCGTCGATTAAAGGGCATTTCAGGCCGCAAGTGACCAGATTTCACGCCTCGGTTGAACGGTTTAGGCTCACCCCACAAGTCTATGTAGAAACTGGAAATATTGAAAAATTGATACCTGAGTTTGACGTGTCATTATGTATGTCTCCTATAAATAAAAAAATAAAAAACAGAAAATAAAAGAAAAAGAAAAATTGTTAGCATTGAACTAGCCAGAACTAGCTAGATTAAAGCCGATGGTTCTATTCTTTTCAAAGTGTTCAAGTTAATAACAAAAGGGTATCTCCAAAGATGGACTCAAACCCCCACACACTGTGCTGTAGTTTTTGAGTCAGCTTTGTGCACGCTGGTGTTTTTACTTATCTTAAGCGGTTAGACCATTGACGTGCCAGAATTGTGCAAACCGAGGTCACTGAAATATTATTCCTGAAATACTAAGGGTTAAATTAGGCAACTACAAGAACAGGGTTTCAGAGGGTCAGATAAAGCGGTTTGTGTCAGCAAAGAAAGTAGAAATCAATATAGGCCTGGTCCTCTTGAGGCCTTTAAACTGATTTGCTCTTTATTCACAGAAATTCTTCTGCACTGAAAAATACAGTTGACCTTGGGAAATTACCAGCTCTGCCCTGACCTTTGCACTTAACTGAAAAAGTGGTTCAAGAAAAATTGTGGATACGCTGAAATTTACAACAAAAATACAGCCACCAGTTTCCTCTTCCCTTCTGGAAATAAACAAAAACACTGACGCTCTGAGCTTTTACTATGGGTTACAGTTTTGGGCTTCAGTTTTCCCTTTCATTGGACCTCGGAGAGTTCATTTGCTTTCGACACTTTACATTTGCTCCACTCTATTCTCAGCGTGTAGTCAAAATCATCCTCGCAGTCAGCCCAGATGTTGAGGGATGGCCATGGAGTAGGTCAACAGACAGTTCAGAATGTTACTGTGAGATTTATAGTATACAGTTTTGGCAGAGAGCATAAAATATCTACTGTTTGCTTAACTGATTGTTGCACTGTTGAGTAGAGCATGAACAGTGTTGAAAAACTCCTCACTGCACACAGATGGATCCCACAGGATCAATATATATACATTTTTCTATCTGTATACCAGGAACTATTTAGTTTTATCAAAGTTTTCTGGTTCACACAAAGTTTCTGCAAACTGATTTTTTTCCTGTGAGCCTCTTTCACATCAGTGAGCAGAGGAGCCATCTGTTGCAGGCCAGTCAACAGGGGAAAACAATAAAAGTAGTTAGTTAAACTAAGCAGAACTGATTGACTTACTGACGCCTTGTAGCTCTGCTGCATGCTCTCTCTACCAATGAGCTGCATTTATATGTGAGACACCAAAAAGAGCTTCATGCTCAGCAATACAAACAACCACTCAGGTCTTACAGTAATAATGTTCAGATAACTCACCCCCTCTCTTTATATGAGCCATCTTATGAAGTGCTTATCTTAAAGGATTCAGACAATCTATCTTTTATGACTGAACTGGTGTTTGTCCAAGTTTGATGTCTGTTTAAGCAATACTAAGTCAACTAGGAGAAACCGCCTCAAATAAAAGCAACAAAAAACATTTGACAAGCCATTCATTCAGGGTCATAAACCTGTGAAATCCTGCAGCCTTCGCAGAGGGGGATTCATTTCTGGAAGTCAGTGAACCCTATGTGTTGTAATGAAGTCAGCTCTGGGTTATAATTAGTCTACAGGCCACAAAATTCTTTGACATCAGTGATACTGCTAATGTTACCAAGATCAAAAGATTGTCAGCATTAGTTTACAGTATTCTTATAACATGTTGTGCCATGCCCAGTTATATATCTGGTGTACTTTTCACTACTATGACAGGTTCTTGTGCATTTAAGATCTCAGCCAAATGTAGAAGCAAGGGCTGTAGTGTGCACTGTTTGTGATGTACATTGACCTGAAGGGACAGGAAATCACTTTTAGCAGAGCAAGAGAGAGTCTATTATGAAGATGGATACATCCATACATAATACTTCCTCCTCCGACCTAATAAAAAGAGTATTAAGTCAAACTAAGAACAGGTAATGTCTTCAGGCTTTGGTCTCCAGACTGTTCTTAAAATGTAATATGAAGAGGCTTTGCTCAATTTAAAATCCAAGCCATGGCCAGTAATCACCTAAACAAATCTCTGACCCATTCCTATACTCTTTCTTCACTTTTTCTCACCAGAGCAGATAAATTATTAAATATTTATGCAGGTCTATGCAACTAATCAGAAAAAGTCACTGATTGATTTAGCATTTGATCTTTATTAGAGCTGGATTAAGCTATTTATTTACTTTTTCAATACTACCCACCATTTGTTGTCTCCATATAATATAAAAGGGACACAATTTTCATGTCTTTTTAAATGAATGTTCTTTTTTGGCTTAAAGACCCCTGGTAGTAACCTGGAGTTCACTTTTGCTTTTTCACTCTTCTCAGAGCTGTTTATGTGTCTGCTTTAGCAGTAATTGTTCACTCTAACATTTTCTGGTGACACTGGGGTTAACTGGAGCGAGCAGTCCCCCTGTCTGCAAGGCAAACAGCACTCAATCTGTTGACCATATCCACCTTTTTGAAGCTAGGTCACTCAGCCATCGAGGGGCAAATGCATTCAATTGGCTTCACAGAATTAGTGCATGTCAACAGTGAGATACAGTGAGCCAGTGCCCTCTTTCCATCCTTTCCATGGTTACAGTGGCGACTTGAATGTGAAAAAAGAAGACTGACTTTAAGGCTTTTTTGGTCCAGGAGGAATGTGCATATTTATAAAAAAAATTAAGTAAATAAACAGGGACTGTATGTAAGATGATAGCAGGTAGTTTTAGACATTTGCAGTATTTCCAGTGAATTCTCATGGCTGTATCGGTGCCCAATCTGGATTTATTAAGATGTGTTTAGTAGATTAGGTTGTGGTGTTTCAGCCAAGCTACAAGAATCTGAGAGCAGTGTCTTCAGCCTGCCCACCACCAAGGAAAGCACTTGCTCTCCAATCAGCATGCAGGTCAGATAATAAGCCCCTGCAGCCAGGTTTAATGGGCCAGGGGCCATGATATTCGGCTATTTGGCTGGATAGACAAACTAAGAGAGATCCGGCTGTTTTGATGCCACAGAGTCTCTGCTCTGCTGTTTGGGCCGTGCCTCCAGCTGCCACCTTCCCACTGAGCTCACAAGCTGGTTTGAGCTGGTCCTGGCACTTTATTACCTCCACTGCACACTCTACCTTAACTCTAAAGACGTATTTGGCACTGTTTTATGGAAAAATGTGACTTTTTCTTCAGTGAGGGCTCAAACTTATAGTGAAGTTGCTGTGGAGGTGCCAGTCTTTAGTGGTGAACCACAGTGTGCTGTGCTATTGATTTTGTAATGTGCATGGGTCTAATAGCTCAGGGAACATTGAGCAATACTTGTCTTCCATTAGGAGGACTTAACCCCCCAGTACCGTAGCTCGTCCACCCTTCATTGACCAATCAGCACCCATGCTTTTAGCAGCACTCCTGTGGGCTGCACTGGGTAAACACAAGTGTCTGTCTCAATGTTTGTCAACGCCAGTTGCCTAACCATTTATCAGTAGTCCGTATGCGTGCGGGCAGCTGGGATCTATTTATCCTGAGTGTGCATTAGAAATCACTAACTTCACCAACAAGAATCCTTTTTCTTGTCTGTTCTGCTTTGCCATCTGAGGATTAGAGCTACTGGTACAGTGTTGTTTCCAGAGTTTAACTCCCCCAAGTTTCAAGCATGGAGATGAAACCCCCCCTCCCCAATTCACTGGGGTTGCCTCCTCCCTCTTGTCTCTCTGTTCAAGGGACGTCACTCCCCTGGCTGTGGCGGGACTGGGAGTCTGAGGGGTGAGGCAGGGGCAGATCCTATGAAGAAACTCTGGGGACAGAGGGAGGCGTGAATGCACTGCTCCGTCAAGTACATGCCAGCATATGATTGAGTGCTGAACAGAGTGCAGCAGCAGAGTTTGAGGCAGTGCTCCGAGGGATCAGTGGATGTAATTTGACTTATACTTTTGCCTCTTTTGCGGCTGATCTGCTGCACCCTGCAGAAGGGGTTTGGAAGAAACACACCAACCTATCAAACAACATTTGCTTTTCCCTGTTTACACCCAGATCTGTCTGATTCACATAGTGTCCACAGGTAAGTGCAAGTCTCAGATAAAAAAGTAAAAATGTAATGATTGCTATAAATGTATGTGCATATGTTTTAGATGATTGGCGCTGGCAAATAACAGAAATATATATATAGTAGATATGAGTTGTTTGTAAAGTAGCAACAATTTCAGTTAAATTTATAACATGTTAATCTAGCTGTGCAGTTTAAAAAAACTCAGACATGTGGAAAAATGATACCAAATAGATCTGCATGAGAGATTTTGAAGTTTGTTTGTTTGGTTTTCAAACTAAAGAAATCTAAGTTTTTAAATTTCGCTCTCTACAGTAATCAGTTTTCATTCACTGTATACTAGAGATGCTGTAGTACAATCCACATTGTAATGCTAATGAGCTGTCACAGCCTAAACTCTTTTCTTCAGGTCAAAAGAAACACATTTAAATAGAAATCACTGCGTGTTTGAATGGTTGTCAACATTAATTTTGGGTCAAGCCAATCTAAATGCTGTTTCCAAGAAGTATGAGTAACTTCAAAAGCAAGCTATTCATGGGAGACCGGCATATACAAGTCTTCTTTTATCATAACATATCCGTGTAAATACTTTAGGCAGGGGCCTCAGAAATCCTTTAATGACAAGAGGCATTTTAGGTTCAGTCAAAACAAAGAGGATCTTACAGTTTGTCTATTTGTGTCCTTTTTTATGTAATCATTTAAGAGTGTGTAATGTCTTCATTGTGTTGTGGCGGTGCATTCATGGTCCCCCCTATGAATGCAGCTCTTTGAGTACTTAGATCTGCACCATAACCCCAAACAAAAGATTTTAATGGGGCACCACTGTATGAAATTTACCACGCTATAAGACTTGGCAGCCTTCCTAGAATGCATGTCAAAGTTTGTTGGTTAAAGACCTGTCTCAGCAGCCGTAACCCACCTTTGTGTCATCCTCACATGTTATGCAACTGACATTTCAGCATTTTTAAAGAGAGCGGGCTCTGGGAAAATGTAAAACAGGTGGAGTTAATCAAACTGTGCTCACTGATACTCTTTGGTTTCTCAACTCTAGAGTTATGTGAAAAAGTGCTGATCATAATATTCAAAGATAAAGAAGAGCAGAAATGATTAAGGGACGTTTTCTCTTGAGCTTTAACTTGACTTTTTTCAACTAAGATTACTTCTTAAGGGTTTTATCCATGCCTTTAAGGGGTAAGAATGCAGTGTACACACATACTTGTAAACCTGGACACTTTAATCTATCCAATCACCTGCTTATACCACAGGGCTCCTCCTGGGTGTGTGTTTGAGTCAATAGAAAATCTGCTCTTTTTAGTAAAGTGGTTCAAATGTGGCTGCTAAGGTATTTTCGGTCTTTTCTCTTTCTCTCTGTCAGCAGGTGTCAACATGTTGGAGCAGGTCCTGTCATTCGGCCGCTCCCTGGTGCGCAGGAAAGTGGTTGACCTGAGTAGCCTGGAGGACTCAAAGCTGTGCCGCTGCCTGGGAACTGTTGACCTCATTGCCCTTGGAGTTGGTAGCACTCTGGGTGCTGGCGTCTACGTCTTAGCTGGTGAAGTGGCCAAGGGCGACTCAGGCCCCAGCATCGTCATCTCCTTTCTGATAGCTGCCCTGGCCTCTGTGATGGCTGGTCTGTGTTATGCAGAGTTTGGAGCGCGTGTCCCAAAGACTGGCTCTGCGTACCTTTATAGCTATGTGACAGTAGGAGAGATCTGGGCCTTCATCACTGGCTGGAACCTCATCCTGTCCTACGTTATTGGTAAGTTAGTGAAAATGTTTGGAAAGTTTACGATAAAGAGAAACTGATTGTTTATGGAGTCTGTTTGTTGCTGTCTCACAGGTACCTCCTCAGTTGCCAGGGCTTGGAGTGGCACTTTTGATGAAATGATAGGAGGACACATAGAGGTCTTCTGTAAGACTTACTTCAGCATGAACTCTCCTGGATTGGCTCAGTACCCTGATTTCTTTGCTGTCTGCCTGATTCTGCTGCTCTCTGGTAAGCTATCAGACACCAACTGAGAATTACAAAATACAGCACATCACTAGAAAAGCTGCAAAGGAAGAACTTAAAGCTCTAGTAAGGAACTTTACTAGTTCCTGGTCCCCCCATGTGTACAAGATGATATCTCCTTTTGATCTTCTCCTGCACATTAAAAATAAGTATACAGCCACAGTAAGGGGACCAGATTTCTGTAATGAAATCTGACAACATCCGGGAACATATTTCTGGTGAGTGGGGAGTGGAGGTGGGGGTGGGGGGGTGGGGGCATCGGCTGCATGATCACAGACAACATCTTGGTACTACTTAGTAGCAGTGCATGCCCCCCCATTAAAACTGTTGTTCAGGACTGCGCGCAACATGCTTACTTGCACTTCCTACCTACTCGAGTACCGTAATAACCATTGTTCTAGTCTACATGCAACATTTTTTTATCTCATTCATGAAACTCTTAAATCAGGACATTTTCAGGAATGGTTTTAGCCAGGGACAGGTCAACCAAATCGGGGACTGTCCCCAGAAATCGGGGACGTCTGGTCACCTTAAGCCACAGACACTTTTTATTCATTGGATCTCGTTTGTTTTTGTACGTTACAATCAGATTTTTTTTTTATTTCAGTCTGTTTCATGATCGACTGAGAACTTCTCACAGCAGCTTTAATTGAGAATAGGTGGATTTTATTTGAAACAAGAACCTTCATTAGTTAAAGCTGTATGATCTGAGACACACAGGCCCAACAGAGAAGGGCAATGTGAGTCCATAGGGATCCCCCCCTTCATTTTCAAAAACTCCCTGATCACCCTGATGGTTTCCAGCAGCACCCTGCTTCACTTTCCCACAGTCACATAAATCATATCTGAGATCTTTCCAGAACAAGCATAGTTTCGTTACAGGGACCTTAGTTTCTTCGGTTGCTGTTGAGCACTTGGAGGACGGATCATATTAATTTCCCGTGGTCATTTGGACCACAGATCAGGACTTCATAACAGGCCAAGTTTTGGTTCAATTCTACCTTTATGGGCCTGAAGCTAAAACTGGGGGAGATGTTATCATGTGTCTTAAAGCTCTGCCAATGCAATGATGAGATTATGTCTGCGTGGCCCTTACACAATCCACCAGTGTTATGTTGTTTTGAGGCCACAGATATCAGAACTAGACAAGGATTCGTTATTCGTACTATTCCCATGTTATTAACAGTTTATGTATGTATTAAAGCTGTGTTAATATTTCCATCTGAAATTAGTTCACCATGTGCTGTCCTGACAAACTTTTCACTCGACACAGGCCTCCTGTCGTTTGGTGTGAAGGAGTCAGCCTGGGTCAACAAAGTTTTCACTTCAGTTAACGTGCTGGTGCTCTTGTTCGTCATCATCTCTGGCTTTGTCAAAGGAGACGTAAATAACTGGCAGATATCAGAAGAATCCCTTATTAACGTCACCATAGTTACGAGGTAATTATTTCTTTGGTAACTGTTACACATGTATTTCTGTGTACCTCTCTAACGCAAAGCTGCCTACTGAACAACATCGAAAGCATCCCAATCATCACCATTGTTAGTCTGTTTATTTGGGCCGTCCTTCAGCACTTCCTGCCTAACATTTGGGGTAACTCCTCCTCCTCCAGTCACTTACTTTTCAGGGTGAAGTGTTGCTATCTGACACTTTCCATGTTTCAGGAATCTTTCAGTTGTGGCCAATGTGAGCAGTGATTATGGAGCTGGAGGATTTATGCCCTATGGCTTCAGTGGAACCTTAGCCGGGGCTGCTACCTGTTTTTACGCCTTTGTGGGGTTTGACTGCATTGCAACTACAGGTAAGCTGCTTAGACTGAGGTATGGTTGAGTTTTATAGGCACATGTGAGGGTATTTGTTTGTATGTTTGTGTGTATCACAGGTGAGGAGGTGAAGAACCCTCAGAGGGCCATCCCTATCGGCATCGTGGTGTCCCTGACGGTGTGCTTCCTGGCGTACTTTGGTGTGTCCGCTGCACTCACACTGATGATGCCTTACTACCTGCTGGATGAGAAGAGCCCCCTGCCCATGGCATTTGACTATGTGGGCTGGGGTCCCGCGAAATATGTGGTTGCAGCAGGTTCACTGTGTGCGCTCTCTACCAGGTAAACACTGAGTTAACTTTTTCCAGAACAAGTTGAAGTCAACAATATCAATATTTCATAGTAGAAAAAAACAGTAAGATGTAAGATTAATTGTATTTAAGTCAGTTTAATTAATCGTGAATGTTAATTGGTGTGCTCACTGTAAATGGGTGATAATGGTGAATGAGATCTGGCCAATTGTCTTGACCAATATCTCAGTCTACGTCTTGCTGTTGGATTGATTCCTTTATTGTTGGATGCAGCAGGGGTTGTGTATAATTCTCTGTTTTAAGATACCAGCATGCTTTAAAATGTTCTCTCTGTAATAAATGTCTCCTGTAAAGGTGGCAAAGCTTTTCTCAAGTCAATATACTGATGTGACTTTATTCAGTCTTTCTTCCCTGAAGGTCTGCTAGAGCAGTTCTCCCTCATTTTTCCCTCAAGAAAACACGATAAATGTCAGTTATCAGCTCATCCCATGATCTTCATCCATGTGCCTATCATTAAATTTGAATGGAGTCAATTAAATTTTAAGTACTCAGAGGCCAGCCCTTCCAACAGTTGTTTTTGATTATTCCCCACAACGAGGAAAAATCCTTGACAATTTTTGTTTTTGTGCTGTATGACGGCTGGAAGTTAGGATCACTTATGAACTCCTATAAACTGTGAAACCGTACAATAATTAAAGAGTGCAGGAATTTGCTATAGAAGCAGCTATCTAATTTTATTTAACTCCATTTCTTTGGTTTTATATGAACTGATAATAATAATAGAAAATAATGCTGTTAAGTATGCACCTACAGGAAAGAAAGACTCATGCTGTAAAGAAGTGATTGTGAGTGTAATTGTGTTTATGTCCATGTGTTTTCGGGGCTTTGACTAACGTGTTGGTCTTTGCATGTCTCTGCTGTCTCATGCAGTCTGCTGGGTTCCATTTTCCCCATGCCTCGTATAATCTATGCTATGGCAGAGGATGGGGTGCTTTTCAAAGCCTTAGCACGAATCAATCCTAAGACGAAGACCCCACTTATTGCCACTATGACCTCCGGTGTAGTTGCAGGTGAGAGCCGGGGACAGTGAGATCACTCCTGCTAATCTTACTCCACCAATCAACTATGAAAGACACGGTTAAAAATGCACATCATTTGGCTCTTCTGTTCCTGAAATCGACCCTAACTCCTAACTTAGGAGTGTACACGTTCCAGTTTGAAGAGGTTTTCCCTCCATAAAGACGAGTTGTTCTTTCACAGTTGTGCAGGTGTCATGTTTTCTTTCCCAGAATGCCCTCAACTTAACCATGAACCCTCTTCTTCCTAGCCTGTTGGGCTCCATGTTCCCTCTGCCGCGCATTCTCTTTGCCATGGCGCGAGATGGCATACTGTTCAAATTTATGTCCAAAGTGAGTAAGCGCCAGTCGCCTGTGGCTGCCACCATGGCGGCAGGCACCACTGCGGGTAAGCTCCCGGGATCAGGACTCGCCTATCATGGGGTTGTATCGTGGACTTGTTGGGGGATGCACATGGTGGTGGTGACTGCATGTTGACGTGGTGATGGTGTTTCCTAAAGCATGTGGGAGTAAGGCTGACGAGTTCATGAACTTTTCATAAAGTTAGGTATAGTTAATGTTTGCTTCTTCAGCCTAGATGATTCAATGACAGTTTTTAAAATCAAAGGGAATAAGTGAACTTCTACTCTGGTAACATTATAATGATGAAAAGAAGCAGCGTTGGCTCGCCATCCCCACTCTGCTGTACTTCAACATGCTTCCAGTGTTACTGTACTGACTGCCTGAAGTCTGGTGCATGTGTTATAACTTCTTGGCAAAAGAGCAATAAGCATACACTCTTTATTGACCTTATATTCTTCTTTATTAAACAGTTTATAAGAGTTACATTGAAGCCTGCTTTGGTAAAAGACAGTATCTAAGTTCTCTTCCAAATAGGAGACCGTCCTCGAATTAGGGAGCACCAATAAACCACAGGGTGGTAAATAGGTGGTTATATCTATTATAGGATTAAAAAATAGGAAAAAGTTACTGCTCTCAGTTCTTTTTCATTGTATTTCATTTCCGTTTCACGACTTCAGCTGTTTCCTTGTTAACGCTGACATATAACCCAACAGGATCTATGTTCGTTGTTGCTTTATTTGCAAAATATTCATATTCTGATCCTGGCTGGTACATAAGCAGGATCGAAGCATTTATCTAGAACATTTCCAACTTGTCTTTCTGTCAAGATAAAATGAGCTATTTTTTAATCATTTTTTACCACTACAATGTAAGGAGGATATTCAGCTCTTGTCCCTCATGGAATCGATGTGGTGTTCATACATGATAACAACCTGAACTCTTAAACTTGCCTCTCTGTTCAGTATAACCCAGGTTCAGTTCATGGTTGGATTCTGTTCACTGTGCCCAGGTGTTTGGGCTGAGATCTGTAAAGTTATGAGCTGATAAAGGGACAGCCAGATGTCGTAAAAGGGGACCTGTTACACCCACTTGCCCACAGTGAGACAGACAGACCATGTAGTGAGCAATGACAGAGTTAGGCAGGAGCTTTCTTTATTATTTTTGTTTTCATGTAATGTTGTGAGGAGCAGCAGAAGTGAACTTTGATGCTGTGATCAGCTCCACACTGGAGTCTGGTGCTGAGATCCATGAGAGAAACTCCACAGTGTGTCTCACATCAAACGGTGCTTGTTGCGGAGGTGACCACAGCTATTAGCCTGGGGAAACATGTGGACCTTTTTTTTCTTTGTATTTTGAAAACTTGCTGCATGAATGAAATTTGCATCTGTTCTTGTTATGCCAATATTTTGTAAGTTGTGTTTGAAAATGTTCAAGCATTTGTGTTGCACTATTTACTGTAGATGTTGATAAGAGTTAAAGTGATCATTATTCTGTTTATTTTACATGTTCCTTCAGTTATTCAGTCATTTCAGTTAATTGTTGTTACTTTGCTCTCCACAGCCATCATGGCCTTCCTGTTTGACCTCAAAGCACTGGTGGACATGATGTCCATTGGGACTCTGCTGGCCTACTCACTGGTTGCTGTGTGTGTACTCATACTCAGGTGAGATCGCAACAGACAAAATCTTGTTTGTGCAACTTTGTGAACATGGCTCCCCTTTCACTTTCCAGAAAAAAAAAAACCCACAGGTATGATTACTATGCAGAGTAACCCACGCCCTGTGTCATTGCATCACACTGACTGCTGATGTAAGCTCTGTGAATGCCCCCATTGTGAGAATGTGAAGTGGCTGCTTGAGTGAAACATGTTTACCTAAGTTTTGTGTTCTCACTAAACCGTGTACGCTGCCGCTGTTTGCACTTCGGTGTCTCACCACCACAGACGCAGTAAACACAGACACACTGTTTGGTTTCAACAGGATTTAATGCAAAAACAAACACATTAAGTATTTCACAATGACAGTGGTTTGTCGCTGAAAGCCTAATGGATAAAAACAGGTCGAACTCTCAGAACTGAAGCTCTAAATGTTTAAATACAGAACAGCAATGTCTCTGTTTTTGACTTTAACCTTGAGTAACTTGTGGACTTGTAACCTTTAACCAGTGATTGAACCTCTCCTCTAGGTATCAGCCTGATGGAGCTCTGGAGCAGCGTTCAGGCCCTGGAGAGAAGGACTTCCTGTCCTCAGAGGAAGGCGAGTCTGAATTGACTGAGTCAGAGTCTCACCTCCACATGCTGAAAAGTGGCAACTCCACCCTGCAGACTGTCCTGCACCCTCCTGTCTCCCCCTCCGAGCAGTCCTCCAGTGTGGTCAACATGTGTATCAGTGTGCTAGGTAAGCAATAGGAGTGGGAATCACTACTGGTCCACGATACGATATTATCACGATATTTGGGCCACGATATGATATTATTGCGATTTTTGACATTTTGAGATACAGTGAGTATTGGGATACAATATATTGTGATTTATATAATGTCTCCAACTGTTAAGCTAATTTAGCATTTGTCTTTCCTTTATGTTCGTCTTATTTATGCTGTATTTTATTTTCATATAGCACATTTTGCAAACTTTATATATATATATATATATATATATATATATATAATATATATATATATATATATATATATATAGTTGATTTTATTTTTCCATTATTATAGATTTGACTTCATATTAGCAATTAATTTGAAAAATTGATACTTGGTAAATGAGATGATACGATATATCACCTGACAAAATATCACAATACTGTACCGTATTGATTTTTTCTCCCACTCCTAATAAGTAGGCCAGTCCTTTTTATTCAGTGACTTTAAAAAATATGAAGATTAAATGTTTATTTATTTTTTCAATCACAGTGCTGCTGGTGTGTGTGATGAGCTATCTCACCACCTACCACATATACTGCATCCTTAACATGGAGGTGTGGATCTTAGTGCTGCTGTCCACATGTCTCCTCATGTTCAGTGGCTGCGTCTTCATGATCTGCAGGCAGCCTCAGACAAGCAAGAAGGTCTCCTTCATGGTGAGTAGCAGCTCAACATGTCTATTGATTTGAATTCATACCAAGACCTTCATTGTCACATGACTCCAGGACTACACTAGAAGATTAATTCATACCTTTGTTGTCTCAGGTACCTCTGCTGCCTTTTCTGCCCATTCTGAGCATATTTGTCAATATTTACCTCATGGTCCAGCTGAGTGGAGACACATGGATACGTTTCTCTGTGTGGATGGCTGTGGGTGAGTGTCTCTGAACTACCAGTCTAAGGCTTTTCATCCATTGACCTTAACAGTGGCATTTTAAGGAATAGTTTGACATTTTTAAAACACTTTTGGTGTACCCCCTCAGTGTCCACAATCCTCGATAAATACGTCAACACCCATTTTCAGATTATCCTTTTTTGTATTCTTAACATGAAGTTGTACGGCAGGTAGTTAGAAGAGACTAACAGAAGTCACTGCTCCCAACAAACCAGTCCAAGTTTTGTGAACAATCTACGACTATAGATTCAAATGTACTCCAAAGTTGATATGGCTGACCAGTGTTTCTTCTATAAAATCTCATCGTTTGACCCTATTTCTCAGGCTTTCTAATCTACTTTGGCTACGGCATGTGGCACAGTCTGGAGCGTCAACGAAAACTCCAGGGCCCTTCAAACAGCAGCAGTACGAAGGAGAAGAAACAGACCAGCCGGGAGCAGCAGGCTGGCGAGGATGCAGTTGAGAAGGACCAGGAACGTTTCATCTGCCCAGAAAAGACCAGCCAGTGTTAAAGTTTGTCAGCTCACTCACTGACTCTGTGAGGCCACAGATGCATAAAAGCAAACAGCAGCTCTGCCTTAATGCACCTGTTTATTCAACCTCACCCGGCGCGCCTCAGTCTCAAACATTCGGTCTGAGAATCACTGTCAGTATTTTGTAGCAGCGGCCGCACGATGGAGAGCTGCTCTATCACTTCTTCTGGGACCTCATCCTGAGTTGAGCTTCATGGACGGTACAGGAGCAGAATTAAGGACAGCTTACACTCTGGAGAGAGGTGTTGGTTTCTTTTACAAATAGAGCAGTTGTTGCAGAACTTCAAAGTTTTCATGTCTCATTCTGCAAACTTGATTTGTTATTGCAAGACAAACATTTTGTCTTTTGTTGTGTACAATTGAAGCAGGCTTGTGGAGAGGATTTTCTAAATACAAGAGTAAACCTTGTAAATCTGTGAAGGAAATGCAGAGATGATATTGGATTTGGATTCTCCAATGATGTGTTATAGTTTTACAAGTTTTGTTACTTTGTGGTGAAAGTCTTCACTGATCTTTGAATTGAGAGAGACAGGACCAAATTGGATGATATTTTAAAATATGTTGTGCATTTTTTTTATGCATAGACGGTATGTCCTGATAACAGCATAAAAGCATGAAAGAGATGCTGCTATATTTAGACCAACGTGCTGTTAGGGGGATTCAGTTTGGCTTTTCTGACTCTGGTGAGGTGTGTGTGTGTGTGTGTGTGTGTGTGTGTGTGTGTGTGTGTGTGTGTGTGTGTGTGTGTGTGTGTGTGTGTGTGTGTGTTGTGCGAATGTTTCCAGCGTTTAATGTCCATAAATTCTGAGTGGTAGTGTCTGTGCCTAGTTTTATAACCCAGCCCTTTGTGTTTAACTTACTTGATCGTTTTAGTTATTTCCTTATTGGGAGGGTCTCCTATTTAGTTTCTGTTCAGCTGCTTGGCAGTGGGGGGTTTTGTTTCTCGTGTTTCTGAGCCTTGTTTTTTGATCATCTTAGTGGTTATCCCTTGAGATAACTTTCAGAACCCCCATCCCTGTCGGACAAGTGTCTACAATTGTGTCAAAATCCCTCCTGCTGTCACACGTGCATTATATCAAGTAGTTTTGTTGGCACTTAACACACCTTGATTTAACGGATCTACATTGTGCCAGAGCTCTGAGTGTAGGTCAAGTGCTGTTTGCATATTCCTTGTTTTTTATGTAACAGATCCATCTTAACCTCCATCTGAGGTATCAGTGACTGTTGTGGTAGTTTTTTGTTCCAGCACAGGTTTATTTTTCTATTTTCTGCTTTTACATGTCTAATTTGTATACTGTTAAGATCCAAATATGAAGAATGATATTTGATACAGAACTTAGAATTAAAATTAGAAATAAAACTCTCTTTTTTCACTCTAATTACGTGTCGTGTGGTTTTTACCCCTTTGGACTGATACTACGTGCAACCATGCTCTTAATATAACCTCATGAAATAAATCTCGTATTCAGAGCACCTTGTTACTCAACTCCAAGCACAGAAGTTAAGTATTATGTAAAGAAAGTCTTTGTGGCCACATAGTTTAGATAAACTTGGCATGTTTCCCAGTTTATTCTCTGTGTTCAGCTCAAAACCTCTTTGGAGGGAGCTTTTCTGCTGTACTTCATGAGCCTGCATTCATTCCTCAGGGCTTTTCTGGGGCTGCCTCTCTTTTTTTTCATTCACCATGAACTGTACGACTCAGTGAACTGTAGTTTACAGAAGACAGCAGCTTCCTGTCTGATGTGTCACCCTCACAACCAATGTTTTTCACCATCTGATGTGGGCAAATCCAAACACAATATATCAGATACTGAGGCTGACTGATGTGGGTGAACGGGTTAGGCAGACAGGTTTGTGGTGAATGGGTGAGGCAGAGAGGTGTGCTGTGCAGGTGTTTTGACTAAGATGTTATTCAGAATGACCTCTCAGCAGGAGTATTGTGGGTATTCTACCTTCACATAATAACTCTATATACTCGATCTGTCAGGTTACAGTGTAAAGTAAAACTAATGTCATGATGTTTCTTCAATTGTCACCGACTGCCCAGACAGAAATAATAAATGTGTTCAAGAAAAACACGTTTTATTCTCATAGTAATTTAATATTATTGTTTTGGTCTGCTAGAGCTGCAAAGATTTAAAGAGCCGGTATCAATAAAACCTGTTGGAAGGTTAAAGAAATGGAAATGGTGCCACCATGTGGCCATGGATTTATCAGCGTTTTATTGTTGTCTTCTGAACTTGGCATTTCTTGTTATACATTTATCAGTATGAACTTTTGGTTACACTTTATTTAAACCCATTACTTTAAAGTCGTAGGCACTTTATAAAGCCTACTAATGCAATTATAGGGCTTTAAGTGGTTATCAGCATTCTTAACAGCATGTATCAATGTTTATGAAGATGAGACCTTATGAAGGTGGGATTTATAATACATAAATGCAAAACCAACAGTGTCTTTTAAATTCTGAGTTTCATAACACATTATAACAAAAATTCATAAAGAACTCGTTCAGTTGTGTCCTATACTGTTATATTTTTTTTGTAAAAATATGTTATTAGTACTTAAAAATTGCTTTTCATGATGTTGGGCACTTTAAATAAAGACTAATAAATATGCAATGAAGAAATCAATATAACATTTCATAACAGTGGTGCTGATTGGATGAAACACTAGATATAATAAATTGCTAATTCACTCATAACTTCTTAATTTGCCACAATGAAGTTCAGCTGGAACAATAACCAAAGACAGATCTGGATTATCAGGACCGGGTACATTTGTAGGAGTTATGATGTGTTATGAAATCCAAAGTTGCTGTTGTTAATTTAGCAGTAAGGTAAAATGTGTTCTGAATCATTCCTCTGTAATTTATAATGCTCACTGCTTCATAAACATTACAAGCTGCTATGATGCTTCTAATCACTTGTAAGGGTTATTATGAAGTCTTAATTATATCTTTATAGAGCTTTGTAAATGTGCTCATGATGCATGAGAAGAGTCCGGTTCATGTAAAGTGTTGCCAAGTTTTTGTCTGTGGTCAAATGATGGAGGTAAAAGTAGACAAAGTGAATCATTAAGTCCTGAAGTTCAAATATTTTTGTGGTCGAACTTGTGCCAGCATGGTCCCCATCTTAAGGTTAAACACCCCTCAAATAAACATGAAGTCCACAGATAAACATGAAGCACTGTTATAAAATAAAAATACATTCTTTACTGTTATTTGTGGTCCATTACTGTCTCTCTTTCAAAGACTATTAAGAGATTGGACACTTCTTTTTGATATCTGTAATGAATCTGAAACTCTTTCTGAGAGGTCACAGAAATCTCATGAACCCAAGTTTAATTCAGAAAAGTGTGTTTTATCTTATAAGACCATCACAGATTCAGAAAAGTGTCCATCTGCTGAGTGAGTAGCAGCTACACCTTTGAAGATGTGTATTGGAGTAAAGATACATTTTTATTCCCTTGGCAGTGTGAGGTAACAGACATTACAAGCAAATTAAAGGAGTGGTCCACATTTTAGATCTGGGTCAGGAGTCTGGAAGATAGAGGTTTTAAAGGGTTCATATTTATATATTGTCAAGGAAGTGCCATTCTCAGATGGACTTGAACAGATAAAATCTCTGTGATCCTTATTTGAGTCCAGCAGAGGGCTCTACAGACTGTGCGTCTGCTCTTGGGTTATAGAAGGAGAGGGAGTACGGAGGGGTGCTAAAGTTATTTTCCCCTTTCCTCTCCGTCTGCGAGGAGGATGAGGCTAGAAATATAAACAGGGTATCTGGACCCTGTAGAGTTCTGGGGAAGCTCCGCGCCTGGCCTTACTTCCTACTGAGCCCTGAATCAAACCTTCCTGACCTTTGCAGCCCTCTGATTAGAGAACTATGAAGCTCTGGGTTGTGCTTTGCCTTGCATTGCTCTGGGTGGAGCTCCAAAATGGTGAGTCCGATCCACATCTGCCTTGTAGATTTATGAGAAGAAAAGTTACTGAGTATTTATTTTACTTGGAGTTTAAAATGGGAACTTTTGGAGGATTAGACAGTCTGCTGCTGTAAATCTGTCACATTCAGTAAAGATGAAGTCGACATTTATCAGTGGTTTATCAGGACACTGAAACTAATCTGCTGTCACTAGATTTGAAGTTTGGTATCTAGATTGCCAATGTTTGCACAAGAGTTGCATCAAGTTGTGTGAGTTTTGCGCTAAGTACTTCTGCAGAACAACTCAAACCATCTGAGGCATGCAGCAGGCGTTTCTAATTAAAAGGATTTTGCTGCTGACCTCTGCTTGGAGTTCTCAATAATGCTGTGAAAGAGACTCAAAGAAACCTGAAAGAGAAAGCGTTTTCTTCAGGTTTCATCTGTGCTCAGTTGGAAATACGGTGCATGCAGCTGAAAGGCAAACTTGGTTCTGGACATTTTGTGCCAGTCTAAAGTTTTTCATACATCCTGTCAAACTGTTGTCACAGCTGTGGGAACCATACTGACCACGGTTTCTCAAAAGAATCAGCCCATCGTACAGTATGGGATTGTTTTATGACTAATCTCTGCTGTCTTTATTATTCTTGCTCCCCTTTGTTCCTCCCTCTAATCCACCCTCCCTCCTCTGTGCCTCTGTGTGTCCAGGGGACTGCCAACAAGTCAAGCGGAGGAAAGATGTGGGAGAAAACCGTATCCGGCCAGGGGGTAAACGGGTGAAGATGCGGCACCCAAAACTAAAAGATGCAGGAGGGAAAGGTCAGTCCCTTCTGACCCAGGTTTTAGACAAGGGACGTTTCTTACGCTTGGGCCAGACCACGACTCTGACTCCTGGGAGGACTATGGAGCTTCGCTGCAAAGGAAACTCTATCGGATGGTCATACCCAACCTACCTGGACACCTTCAACGACTCACGCCTCAGGTGCTGGGAGCAAACATCTGCAGTTTTTATGCTTTAAGATGATCTTACAGTAAAAGTGTTTTCTTTTGTTTCCTACCTGCAGCATCAAGCAGAGTGACAAATACAGTCAGCTGATCCTGACGTCGCCCTCTGCTGCTGACACAGGGCCTTACAGCTGCTGGGTGGTTGTGTGTGATGGCACAGAGTGTGAGAAAGACCACGATCGCACACACGTCTCATACATCTATTTCACAGGTGATTAAAAAAAGGGCTCAGAGCACACTGCACTTAATATTACTGCTTTTAAGAACAAAGAAGAAGTCCTACATGTTACTTTGTCCATTCATGGTTGATTGTCATTATGAAGCGTAAACACAGATTTCCTTTATTTGCTTCCTCCATTAGGGACTGAGCTTTTCCTATCACTTTTAAAACTGAAAACAATTCATTTTTTTATAACATACAAGCATTGGGGTAGCCTATTTTTTAGCATCAAATCACTCTTAATAATTAAATTTTCAAGATGAATACACAATTAGACATGAATGAGGGTGAAAAGAGATTATCCCAATCCCAGACAACATATTTGAAAAATTGATTTGATATGATTTTGAGTTTAAACTTTCACATAGGAGAGGCTGGCTTCACTTTTTAGGAGCTGCCATGTCATCCGTTTTTTTCTAATAGAGTCCGGAAGTAATTTTACAGTTAAACAATTATACATTATTTATGCAGCTCAAATAGATTACTGTCCTCATCCAGCGTCAGTGGGTGCCGTTTTTTGTAATCCATTTGATTCTTATTTATTCAGGTCACAAGGTTGGTGAATCAGATGACTTGACAGACAGGTGGGCACAATGTAGTTAACTGCGTGGAGGCTAAAGGCCTGTCTGTGGTAGGTTGACCCCGAGCAAGACTGAGTCAGCTGCTCAACTTCCAGGTCAAAGCCTAGTGTGTGAACTGTGGAGCATGCTCAGAGCATAGAGTCTTTCTCCAAGCACTTTCTTTTGCACAAATATTTTAAACAACATGTAAATGTACAACATGCCTTCATGTTTGATGCCCAGGGGTGTCTCCAGAGGGGTAGCAAGGGGTGGCACTGGCCAACTTAAAATCTGGTTGGCAACCTCAAAATGATTGGCCATCTGCCTCCTAAGGGGTGGGACCTCTTAGGGGTCTTTTAAAGTCATTCAGGATGTCTGAAGCTTTATTTGTATTTCAGTTTGGTACCTTCGATATTGTTAGGTTGTTTCTTAAATATTGGTGGTCGATATTTTCTTTCAGAGTCAGAGTCCTGAAAGAATTGAGCTGAAAAGCATTTGTCGCACTCAGTTGTTTTCTTTTTATGGTTAAAACACAGACAGGAGTATTGGTTTACTTGTCGCTGAAGTGTAAGAGCTTGTTGTTTTTCTGCTCCGGTGTCATGTGAGTTTTTTGACTCACGAGTCACATCTGTCTCCAAACAGACAAAGACAACCTCTTCGTCCCCTCCGCCATCCACTTTGAGATTGTGTACCTGCGCCCAGACAGGCCTGCTGTGGTGCCCTGTCGTGTGACTGACCCGGAGGCCGTTGTGTCCCTGCACAGAGAGGTCCCCCCAGAGGAGATCCCATCCAATGACACTCTAGTGACCTATGATCCCACCAAGGGGTTCATCCTGCAAAACCCAAGCCTGGAGCTTCAGGGGGTTTTCTACTGCAAGGCTGTGACCACCAGGGGCACCCCTCAGATCTCCACCAAATATCAGCTGCTCTATGTGGAAGGTGGGGGTCGCTTAGTCATCACCAGAAATCCTGTTACATCTGCTCAGTCATTGTCTTCTTTAAGTCCTGTCTTTAAGTCCTCTAAAAACCCAGATCATTCAACATCTCATTGATTCAAAGCGAACAAGTCACAATGAGAGCACTTACTTTGCTTTATCTGCTTCCAGGAAAAGGTTGAATTTCAGAGTTGGAAACTTGGTGTGAGTTAATGAAATGGAAACAGTGTGTCCATGACTTCAAATAAAGCTGCAATGGCAGCAAATGGAAAGAAATAGAGTTTGGACTCGAGGTAAAGAGGCTAGTCTGTAAAACACCCACTGAAATGGTGAGCTTGATCAGGCCCACATTAATCCTCTCCAAACAACAGATTCAACACTTATGTAAGAGGCAGGCATCTTGGTTATTTACATAACTGACTCTAATGCGAGTGGTTTAATTTAACATGAGAACACAGATTTGTCCAGTACCCAGGCTAGCTCGCTGTCTCTTGTTTACAGTTCCCAGTGGGCCACCATTTGTGAGCCTTGAATCCTCTCCAGAGTCTGTAAGAGGAGGGGACAACGTTAATGTAACATGCACTGTGCTTGGGGAGCCAGAAGTGGACATAAGCTTCATTTGGATGTATCCTGGTCAGGTAAGAGGATTACTGAGCCTATAACCAAAAGTTTATTGTGATGAGCACCAACAGCTCTGGTTTTGTTTTAATCTATTAATCTATTTAAGCTTTATTTAGACAGGTAATCTGATTTAGACGAGGGTGTCATTCTCAGGAGATCAGGCATTATCAAATGAAGAGTGGCAAAGTGGCATGAAAGATGATATTCTTGAGCAGAAACATAACCCTGCTGATTTGCAAAGCTTTGTGCTTTAAAAAAACACTCAAAGACAGGAATTACTATAACACATAGAAACATTCTAACAAGCACAGTGTTGGTCTTCATCGTGGTAGAAAACAAAGCATGTTTACAATCGTAGGACTCTGGGATCTTGTTGATAATCCACGGTGAGTTTTTTTGGGTTACCGCGACATTGTCAATGATAAAACCTTTCCTTCCTCTGATATTTCCTCACTCATGTTTGTCTAACTGAACAGGACCACCGTCCAGTCCACATCCACAACTCCTGGAGGCTGGTTAACAGAGGTTTGAGCCATACTACACGGGTCTCCCAGAGCGTCATGACTATAGAGGACATGGAGACCATCGACTTTGGAAGCTACATCTGCAAAGCCAAGAACCAGCACGGTGAGACAATCGTGGCGACCAACATCAGCTCCAATTAACCCCAGTGACCCAGCCTGCATTGATGTAATAAGTAATGAGTGTGTGAGGGAGAATTCCAGTGTATCCAGATAACCATTGAATGTATATACTACAAAAAGTATGTATTTTAAGACTGCAGATTGTGATGCATAATAAAGGTTTGCTACATCTTTTGACAGACTCATTTTAAAGCTTGAACTGTGTGAAATGTGAGGTAAAAGGATAATAGAACAACAAAGAAAGCCTCATATCAAACACAGAGCAAAGGGTTGTTGGATGATTCACTCATTTAAGAGTCCTCATGTCACTGTTAACTACACAAAAGACTGAACAAAAGCTTGAACAGTACCTGAAGTCAGATCGTTTTTTGCTAAATTTGTGATACAGGACCATGAGTCAAACCTTCAATCCAAACTTAATTCTGTAGACAAAGGAGGACAGATCTACAGGTTTTTTAAATCCAGCTGCCACAACTTCAATCTACTCAGACCAAACTGATAAGAAAATCAACATTTGCCACAGGATTCTTCAGAGAAATGAGTTACAGTTAGATTCTCAAAGTCTGCTAAAAGTTGCACAATTGATGTCAATGGCATTTTACCTTTTAAATGATATTAAATGAAGCAAGGTCAGTCGTTTTTGGAGACGACAGCTGTTTGTGGTGATGCCTGGCACACTGTTACTGAGTAATTAATGCAAGCCTTACCACCATATTTAAATGACCTTATAATGCTGGAAATGAGAGCTGCTGCCGTCAGAGGCTTGCCCTGGCACTCTAGTCTGTTGTGAGGAGAAGGATCTGTTTTGGGCTTGAACCATGTGCCAGGCTGGCTTCCTAATGCGCTCCGTATGTGGAATGCTATCTGAAGGCCCAGGCCTTATTTTGGTCCAACGTAACACTTGCTGCTGTTCCTATTCGATTGAAGAGCTTCGTTGAACGTTTGTAATTACTAAATACCCTTTAGGGATATTTCCCTCAGAAACAGCGGTCACCTTGATGAAGCCAACTGTAAGGTACCTCTCAATGTTAGCCAAACGTGTGTCATCTGCAGTTTTCAAGTCAAAATGTGTGTATCAAAGCTTGACTGAACAGGTTTAGTACAAGACTTTATTAATTGCATATTTTAAAACAGGGTAGACACACCAATGACATGAACACAAAATACTCTTTTTTTAGACAGTCTGAAGAGGCAGTGTCTGAAATGTAAAAGTACTGTAAAGCTTTCCTGGTCACCTCTTCGCCTCTTTGACTCGACTTTAAAGCTGCATTGGGAGGATTCAAGTAGGGGGTGATAAAAGTCAGTAAGGGAGGATGAGTGAGGGGCGATAAAACTGAAACACATCCACAAAGACTCGGATTGGTCCCATGGTGAAATAAACAAACGTGAAAGACAATCAGAGGCCACAGGATTAAGCTCCAACAGCATAGAAAAGATACCAACCTTTGACCGAAAGTCAGCTCAATTAAAGAGTTGACATAGATTGGGATTTCCTAGCACTGCTGTGGTAACAAGAAGATAGGAAATTTGACAAGTTGCTTGACCCTTTACTCAGATAGCTATGAAAATGGCGCAGGAATCCATATTTCAAATAAAATGCATCCTGAGGAGAAGGTAAGTCAGCTGTTTTCATGGCTGTGATTGCCAGAGACACGAAGAAGCCCTCTCTGCACATGTGTTAGTGTGGGTCTGCATGTGTGTATTCTTTACTGCATGTACTGTAAGTGTAAGTGTGTGTGTGCGCACAAAGCTCCAGGAAAGACAAGCCACTGCTAACATAAACAAGTAACAAAAATAGTGTCATCAATTCGTACAAGTCCTGAGATTTCCTTTTCTCATCCGTAACAGGAGACTAAAGGCAGAGAACAAGGTCACCGTGCTTCTTAAGTGCTTCTGTGCAACTTTTTTTGACAGTCTGCAGCGTTTCCCCACACTGAGCTCCAGAGTTCACCCAATCCTGAAAGAGCCAAGGTCAGGCTGTTGTGATGCTAAGCTTAAAGCAAACAAACATGGCTCTAAATTCCAGAGGGATAACTCAAAGGAGAGGGTCTGCTTCCTGGAAGCAGGGGCCCGTCGTTATCTGGGAGAGACAGGCGGGCTGGAGAACAGGCCAGAGCTGCGGGGGGACTGGAGGCTGAATGAGTGGGAGGGGGAGGCGGCGTTAGGGGACACTTTGCGAGGGCTGTTCAGGTCTCCGTTATGAAGTTTCCACAGCAGCTCCTCGTTCTCCATCGACAAACGTTTGTTAACTTTGGACTCTTTCTGCAGGGATTCCTGCAGCACTGCCTGCTCTGACGACAGCTGTCTGTAACACAGAAACACAAAACAAGAAAATAAATGTGCCGGAGAGAAGACCTTTACAAACACAGAAATATTTAGCCCGTCGACTCAAGCCCCACAACATTAATACAGCACAGTTATACTAGTTATTTTTATGTAACCAGAGTCAGAGAGCTTTAGAAATAGTCCTAAGAAATTTACTTGAGGGTTTGAGAACCTAACAGAGAATTTTGAAGACTATCATTTTTGCTCCTCAGTCTCAACTAACCAATGGGCAGAGTTTAATTTGAAAGGAAAGTCCTTGGTAACAGCTGGGCGCTGTGTTTTGTCAACTGGATTGAAGGATTGAAAGTGTCCCACTGTGCAAGTGTTTGGCATGTCTTATTGATGGTATTTGGAAAAAGTACTGAGGTTTCATGGTACAAAGATGAACTGCTGAATTGAATGCAGTTGTTCAGGCCTCAGTGAGGCCTCAAGTCCAAAAACAGGCAGCTAGCTTGATGGTTTATAGTTCTGTTTCCATTACCACCTACTGGATGAGCTCATATGTGAAGCTCTTACCTCGACAGTGCAGCGTGTCTGTCCATGCGGGCTTTCAGCTCCTCATTCTCCTGCTGGACCCTCTTCAGGCTCTCGTCCAACTTCACATTTTTCTCTTTCTGGAAAGAAAAAAAAAAAAAGAACAAGTGAGTGTTTTTCTTTAAACAGTCAAAGTTATTTTTTTCTTGATGGACATGGGTCCCACCAGTTTGTCAACTTCCATCAGCTTCTTTTCCTGCTGGTGGAGCTGATCGGTTTTGATGTCCAGCACCACTTTGAGGCTCTCTAGCTCCTGCTCCAGATACAGGGTGTGGGAGTCTTTCTGCAGGGACAATAAAACGTGTCAAGATGTTCAGAGCGTTTCAGACTTTAAAATGATTACAGCTGTCGAGGAGCCACAAAGCCTACAAACACAAGAGGGCGCCATGCAGTACAACATCGGGTACTATCAAACTCTGACTGCTCAGCTGTCCTCTGTACAGAGATCAAAACAACACGCCGATGACGGTCTTTTACCTCTTCTGAGCTTTTGCTAAAGCTTGTTTAATTGTTATCATTTAAAATTATCCACAACCCAAATCTCAAAAATATGAAGATGCTGTGAAAAACACCTGGAAGAACATCTCTGAACTTATGAAGGTCAGTTTGCAGAAAGGTTTCCCCACTAAGTGAGAGACTGAGTCGGACATCAAATTCAGAACGATGTTTCCAAGTACGAAACATCAACAAATTAGTTGATTCCTTCATACAGAACATAATGTCATTAAACAGTTCAGAGAATCTGGAGAAATCTCAATGAAAGAGGGACAAGAACCAAAAATAATCCTGGGAGGTCAAGCTCTTTGGACCCTCTCGCAGCACTGCATTAAAAACATGCATGACTCTGGAGTGGAAATCACAGCATAGGGCACAGAGCTAGGAAATGTTGTCTTTGTAAACAAATCCGATAAATACATTTTTCACACAGGGTTCTACTTTCTGGACTCAGGGTTGTAACAATCGATCATTTTGTTGATTCTCTGACTGGGCATGGCAGATGTTCGGTTGCTGTTCATAGTGAGGTAGTTACCTTAATCACGAATAGCTAAGCCAAAGCAGATTTCTGACTATATTTAGCAGTAACTCAACACTGATAAGAGCCGCTTCATTGTTTAACTACAAGCAGAAAAATCAAAGTCTTCACTTACAGAACCTCTTTTTTTAAGAAAAGTTTTTTTTATTTTTTTTATGCCGATTTATTTTTCTTTCAAGCGTCACCTTGTCAAAGGCTTAGAGCTGAGCCACCCTGGTGTCATGAGATGCTTCCAAAGAGAGGCTCTGCTAAAATAAGCACACAGATAAGAGTACCTGACACTTTTCGGCCAGCTCTCTCCTCCTGTTCTCCTCTGCCGTTAGTTTCTCTATGAGTGCATTGTTCTCCGTGGTCAGCACCTCTAGCCTTTCCTGTAGTTGAACACAACACAACAAAGCTCCAGGGTAAGGTTTTGTCACATTAGTTCATCCATTCATGAGTTATCCACATGCTGAGGCGCTCTCTGATTTAAAATGTTCTGGCAGACTTACAGTAAAAGCAGCTTCTGCGTCTTTCAAAGTTTTGTCCAGCGACTGCAGGTCCTGATTGTGGACCTTTCTGAACTCTGAGGAGGGGACAGAAATATTCATTTATAATAAGGTAGAGGGTATTCACAGGTTTAAACAAAGTTAGGTAGAATATCACCTCTTATCTCCCTGAGTCGGTTTTGAATGAACTATAAAAAGCAGCACGGGAGGATTATGTAGTTAAATTTAGTTTAAATCGTTCTGTAAAGCGCTTGTCACTCACCTTCCAGTGACGTTTCATACTGATGTTTGACACACTGCAGCTGCTCTTCATGTCTGTCCTCTAGTTCATGCTGAATGGCTTCATGAGCGGCTTTCAGGTCTCCCATCTTTCAAAAGAAAGAGAAAGACTTAATTTTCAACAAAAGCATCACTGGTCTTAAGATAGTCCTACAGACTTCCTGCTGTTTCTCCCAAAGCAAAATCACTCCAAGACGCATTCCCAAAAATGTCTCATCCATTACAACAACCTCATTTTCTTCCTGATGTCTGAGTCTCGTCAAAGAACAGCCTTAAAGGGATACTCCGGCATAAAATTAATTTAGGGTCAAACACACCATAACACCGAGTTAGACAACCCCTTGAGAGATTAAGAAAATTAGGCAAAGCTAAATAGATATTTGGTGGCTGGTACTATGGCTAGGACCCTGTATGTACTGTTGATGAAGTTAGGTGCTGTTCTGAGCATTATTTGTTGCTATAGAATGGCGTTTTGATTGAGGTTTGTTTATGGTCCTCAGATCGCTGTGTATTGCTATTGTGCGGTTGTTACTAAAGTTGGTATAACTAGAGGAGCAAGACGTCAGCAACATTCATCTCTCGAGGGGGTGTCTAACTCGGTGTTATGGTGTGTTTGACCCTAAATTAATTTTACGCTGGGATATCCCTTTAAAAAAGTAACATAGAAAAAGCATGTGAAGAGGCGCTGTGAGCTCAAACCTGTTTTTGCATGAGAGCCTTGCACTTGTCGGTCTCCTCCTGGTAGGTGAGGTGGACCTTGTCCCACTCAGCCTGGTAGAAGGTCTGGAGTTTCTTCTCCAGCTCATCCAAGTCCCTTTGGTGCTGCTCCTGCAGTTTGTGCAGCGTATCCTCCAGAGCAACACGTAACTCATCCTTCTCCTTCTCCAGGCGTTCAGATGAATGGACTGAGGAAACTAGGAGAAAATAGACACATTAAAACAGAAAGCTGCTACTATGTCTTGATGGAAGAGTGTTGGGACAGTGACTGGATGTAGCTGTGTGAACTGATTTATTAACAGAAATAGGACAGAGGAAAATTTGAGTTGATGACTGTTGATTAATTAACCGTATATCCCCTGAAAACCTTTGTTATACGAAGTTCTTCCTTTCTGTAAATGTGCCACACTACATGTTCACTTAGAGTGAGTGGAAAAACTGACTTAGGAGGAGAGCTCTCTCTGCATTTGAGTGCAAAAAACGAGCGCAGTGCCTGTATCTCCAGACGGATGAAGAAACAGTAACAAGTCTGCACACTCTTTGAAACAGTACTGGAAGTTACAAATGTCTTCAGTCGGGCTCGTCTGTCCGTCCTTCACTAACTTCACTGTTGAGTGTCACTTTCTAACGACCGCCTCCACTGAGTGTTTTATTTCTGGAGCAGGTGACGGTGAAAAACTCCATAACCTGTCTCCTGTCAAAGTGCTTGTACATACACTATGTTCGTATGTAGCAGCTGGTGTTGCCGGGGGATGTGAAGTTAAAAACGAACGTCTGCTGTCATGTTATGCAGGTGCTTTTTATAAAAGGCTCATCTCAAGTACAGAAACTTGAACTTGTACGCAACTCAGAGGTGGGCGAAAATGATACTGAACCCAGATGTTGCTCTGCTGTCGCGAGTATGTTTTTTCATTCACTGCTCTGACGAAAAGCAGGTCCTAATAAAAGGTACAAGTATTATTCCCTGATGAAATAAAAGAGAAGGTTTGATTTCGATAAATACAGAAAATACGACCACAGAATATTGCTGCTATAGATAACAGAAAGGAGGCCATGACAGGATTTTGCTCTTTTATATGTTTAATATCTGCTTGTGTTAAGATTCTCCTGCTATAAGACTTTTGATTGGTTCACAGTCAGGCATGTTGAAAATTTGGTCAAAAGGTCTCAACACTTGTTGGTCCTCCTGCTTTCCTGTTGCTGCCCTGATGTAAATGCAGAGACTGTTTTTGTTGCAGCCAGATACTGAGCAGCGGTATGAAGGGGCAGCCCTGCAGAGTAAAGAGATTCACCTTACCAAGGATGGAAAAACAGCAGCAGGTCCAGGAACAGAGGCCAAGCTAACATGGGGACTATCTATCAGCGTTTGGCATGTACAGCTCAACAAACAGAGGCCAGCCCTCCACAACCATGTGTAACAGGGATCTGGTCATATGAGCCTTTCTAGACCAAATCCACCCAACAAAAACATCTCATGGCTCAGAGAGGGGAGGAGGGCCCACTCGATCTAAAGTTAGCAGCATTTTGGCTCACGGTCAACAGGATGAGGAGGTTTGGTGTGTCACTAATAAAGCGTCTGATGAAATGTGCAGATCCCTCTTTGATGTAATTTTATGTGTGAAGAATATTAACTCACTGGGTGTGGCTGCATCGCAATCTTGGCCGTGGCTCAAGACTAAAATTTACTGCAGTAGGAGGACAGACAGAGACTCAGCGTGAGGATGAGATCTACACAAAGTGCATTTTCAGACATCTCTGACTTCACTACACACAACAGGTCTATTTGAGGTCAGTGTAGGGGTCTCAAGGGCTCACTACAGTGAAGAATGTGTTAAGCACAGATATCACAGCGCTCAGCATGTAAGAGCAGTCATGTGGAAGTCTCGAGGCAGCGAGGAGAGCGCTGGTGTGGGAGTGTGTGTGTGTGTGTTTGAGCATGCGTGAGCCTCCGAGTGTCAGGCTATTCTGTCTGAAAACATTTAGACTGGACATGAAACATGGGTCACCGTCCCCAAGCCTTCACGGAGCTTCAGGTGGTGTGGCATTCCCCCAGTAACCCCCCTCCCACTCTGGGGTCGGAGGTCAGCCTGCCACTCCCAGGGGAATAAGCTGACACCTCTCCACTCAGCAACACTAAAACACACGCAGCGTGACAAATAGGTCTCTGATTTGTTTTTTACAACGACAAAAGCAATTACCAGCAGAGACAGACCCAGGGGGGTTTTCCATTAGGAGGGCTAAATCAAACAAGGATGAGACCTCCCTCTGGAACCACGAGTGGGACTATTTCTATTATCAAACTATTTTGACACCAGTTTAGTCTGAGACCAACAATGACGGAACTAATTATGATTTTGCATTGTCATTACTATCACAATATGAACATATTTTAATGAACATTATTGCAAAAGTTTAAATGTATGACAATAAAGTGAAATGTATTTAAATAAAAACGATAAATGCTCTTTTAAAATGCTAATTGGATGGTCTATTGATGTCGTCAGATGAACCTTAAAGCTAACTGTGATCAGAGCTGAAACAAAAACATGCTGTTCAGATTTTGTTTCTTTTATCCTGACAGGACAACATGCAAATATTCAGATTTTAAGTACAAATCTTTTAAATGTATTCTGTGTTTCTGCGATGTACATAAAAACACAGTTAAATGCATTTATCTGGTACAACTACTATTTGGGCAAAACAAGAGATATTGCAACATCAGCTTTCCGCTGTCATGCAGCTTTAAACACAAACCAATTCAAGGTCCAGCACTGAACCTTTCTGCTATTATTAAATCAAATATGACTCTGATTAGCAAGTGTTTGGACTGCACAACGCTCGACTAAAAGGGATTTGGGTAATGTACTGTCCTCCCATAAATGTATGCTAATGCAGAACGTACGACAGTACAAATTGGAACACTAATAACGTAGATCAATAACTGCATTAGACAAAAGAAAAAAAAAACTTCCCACCTTTTAAGAAAAACTCATCTTGAAAAAAGGTAATAAAAGGAGAACCGTATTTCCATCATCAGTTTTACAAACCTGTTATTCAGAGCATGCTGTCTACACTGAGCTAACAGGCCTGAACCACCAAGAGGAGGTTCTCAAAGTAAACCCCGGACGAGCAGTGTGTAATTTCAGTGTTGATAGCTTTAAACACAGCTAGTGTGGGATAAAGGTGACTTGACTTACCCAGCTCTCCTCTGAGGTTGACCAGCTCCTGGGAGAGCTCCCTGCAGTGCTTTGTGGCTTCATCACGCTGCAGAGGAAAAAATGTAAACAGTCATGCACATGTTCATGATGCTAACGTCAGACTGAGTCTATCATTTAACGGATCGCCTCAATTATCTCAGTCAAGATCATAAATGAGCGACTGCAGTATTTTGACTTTGAAGGGATTCACTCACTAAGACAGGGAGGGTTACAGCATCCTGACAAATCAGTCTAATGAATACAGTCTTTCCCTCTAGGATATTGTGTTTAACTGCCAAGTATATTAGTACATTTAAAGCAAACAGCTGAAGCAAACAAAGAAAAAGAAACATTCCTCTGTAAAGGGAAAAGGGATTAGGAAAACTTGACATCCAACTCATGTTTTCAGTCTTAGCACATGCCTTCTGTCGAACTAATTCCTTTACTTCCCCCTCTGACTCAGTCTTGCAGTGCAGAGGGGCTGTGCTGCAGCTGCAGGGCTCCTCCAAACTTCAGACTGACGCACTATAGATCAAAAAGCTGTGCACCTCTTTGTTGCTCTTTCCTAACAAACTGCTTCACCAACAGAATCTGACATGCTTCAGAGTTAATCGTACAGCCTGCAGAATTAGCATAGGACCAAATATCTTTGCAGCACAGACCAAACATAAACTCACTGATCAGCTAGCAAAGCAAACACAGTTCATCCTTCTCTTGTTTACAAAGACACACATCTATTCTCAATCCTCACTGCAGAGTAGAAGCATGTAGAAGCCAATTACCCTCGTTGCAGCACAGGGAGCACTAAGGCACGGTTTGCTGCCAGAACAGCCCATGATCCAGACTCAGCCTTGAGGCTGAGAGTCTCCCCCTCCCACCAAGGAGACCCAGCACTCCAGGACAAAGAGTGGTCCAGGTGGACGCACCACCTCCACACACCTCCTCCCAGACTGCTCTGACTACATCTAGGGCAGGACTGAAAAAGCCGCTTCACTGGCTGAAGTAGTGACTGCAGAGTGCATTACCGTAGTACACCTAAAACAAGCCCAAAGGGGGCAGGCTACAGTCTGAATAAGCACAGCCTCCTCTCCAGTGTGGTGAGGTCACTTTAAGAAAGCTGTGGTGGAGCAAAGAGATAAATTGTGCAGCGCTGTCTGACATCAGGCTGATGGAGCAGGACTTGTGCAGTGCAGTGACCTTCCCAGGGGGATACATGGAGAGGTTTCATTACCCCCATCCCCCCACCACTTGTCCAAACTGACTTTATAACATCCCCTCAGCCCTCTGCACCATTACAAGCTTACAATGTGCTGTATGACTCCTGGCTTCATGGGCACAACCTCTCTCTAACTAGATGAGATAATACTGAGACAGGTCATATTTCCAGTTTCTGAGTGAGCACATCTTTACAGTCGATGTATGGAGTCAAAGATATGTCACTTTCTGAAATGCATCTGTTGATATTTCTCAGACCACATTAGAAACGGCACAATTTTTCACGGACTGTTCCTGGAGGAAGTCTGTGTGGTAATTTGTATCACAACTCAGATCATGCAACATGTTTTTTTTTCCTCTGAAAGGTAAACGGATCAGTCACAGACATTTCTCATGACCCTGCTTTTGGTTTCCTTTTCAATTAATCAGCAGAATAACTTGCATCCTGCTAAAAGAAGACCTGCGTAGTAATTGCTAGAATAAATATTTGATTGAGTGGTAAAATGACCGCAGTCATACAGCACTACTCTAGGATTTGATGCCAAATTCACCTTTACATCTTTACCTTCAGGAACAATTGTGAGTCCATAAAGGATCATTCCAGTGGACATTTAGACATACAGACTGGGAGAATCAGGGATCAAACAGCATATCTCCTAATGTGGATGACTGAATTTACACTGTGAGCGAGGACTCATTTCAAATATGTGATGCTTTTTGTTAAAAAATAGTGGTTACAAATAGTTCTCTGTGTTTGAGTGGGCATATTCTCACTTTTAGATCTAGTCTCTCAGCCAGTTTATTCCGTGAAAGAATGGGGGACATCCAGCAGAGTGTAAGGAGGAGGTATGTCTCCTGAGTCCATCAATATGATACCATGTCAGGTGTAGAATAACACTTGATGGTAGACTAAGATCAATAACTAATTGCTTCAGGTCAAGTTACACTTTCCTGGAATTATTTTGAGTATCAAAGACAGGGGAGTTGGAATTTCCATACTTTTCCATACCCTCATTTTGAAAACAGTATTTTAGAGCTGTGGAAATAGTCTGGAAACATTAATATTTTTTTCCATTCTTTATTTTTCATACTTTGTAAGACATGGAAATTGATCAAATTTATTTGCATAGGAACTCTGCAAAGACAAAAAAACTTATTTTCTGATCGTTTTTGTGGTGTTGTATTCTGACATGAAACTTGTCAAACAGTCCTGGTGTTAACACTTCTTAATAGATAAGGTGCAGTGCTCCGTCCTGGCTTTGTGTCTGGCTGTTGTTTCATAGCCATATCAAGTCAACAGCTGGGACATTCTCACACCGTGATGGTAAGGACCAGCCGCCTATTTTGGGGCTCATGAGTGGCCAAGAGATTTCACAGCACACAATGTACAACACTGACTTATCAGACGATACATTACACTCATAAATCTTGTTTTTTTGTGGAGGAGCGGTGTGCTTATATACACCACACTTAATATGTTTGTCTAAGTTACTGTAAGTATAAGTGTAAACTGGATGGGTGGACAGACTTACAACATGCCGTCTGTAAAGTTGAGTCAGGCGGACTGAGACAACTGTTTTTGAAAGAGGAACAAATGTTTAGTGTTTCCAAGACTTGTTGATGTAATCAGTTTCACAACCCTGTCACTTAATAAACAGAGGGATATGAGTCAGTGTACAGAGATCACAAACCAAGCCTCCAATACCCGTTGTTATTCTATACGGTCCAGATCTCATCTTATACTCATTCAAGTCTAGCCTTGTTTTGAGTAAACTTCTGCATATATTTCCAAGTCAATGCTCTCACAAATATTCTCCAAAAGTTTAAATGTGTCTGAACTTTGGATCAATAAGATGGTGAAACTAGGAGCAGAAATTCACAAACAACTGAAGCTCACCAAGACAAAAATAAGACTGGTATGAACTCTGTCACAACTGCAGCTAACCAGAGCTCTGCCACAAGGGATCTGACTGGTGTCAAACTCTGCAGTGAGGCAAGAGTAAAGGGTGTGTCTGAAGTTAAACTAATGCCTGAATGATTTCTGCATTTTTACTGTGCTTCATTTTCTGATTTCAATCTGATTCTCATTTCCAGAAACCTCAAGATCATGTAGCAACAAAAAACACACAATGCTTGAAGATTCAGGCCATAACCCACCAACCAGTGCAGTGTCATTCATACTGTTAGTAATGGACCACGCTATTCTGTTAACAACGGACCTCTTTGCTAATTTTTGGACCTTTTTTGTGACGCAAACACTTTGGAATTTTTGTTTAATGTGCACTGTGACCAAAAAGTTCAGATCAAAAATGTAGATTTAATTTGACATATGGTCCAGATGAGTTATTAAATGATAATCATTTCACAACAACCTCTTGAAAGGATCTCCCACCTCCCCTTGAGTCAAACCCAACTCCACTGTAGGGCTGGGCGATAAACTGGTACCAAAATTTATGACGATAACTGACGTCATTTTGCCCATATTGGTATATTTGATGTCAAAAAAATAAAAAATAAATAAAAGTTGGTTTTGGATGTGTGTAGGTAGGCTACCGCCTCATGTCCCTTTAAAATGCTGTCCTACAAAAGTTGTAGCGGCTGAAGTAGACATAGTATTGCTATTGTTCGGTCATCACTAAAGTTGGTATAACTTGAGAAGCAAGCGGTCGGCAACTTTCATCTCTAGTGGGGGTGTCTAACTCGGTGTTACAGTGTGTTTGACCCTAAATTAATTTTACGCCGGAATATCCCTTCAATGTGGGAGGGGGTGAGCAGCTTGTGGAGTAGTTATCGTCCATTTATCGTTATCGAGGTGACCTGCTGAATATATCGTGATATTGATTTGAGGCCATATAGCCCAGCCCTATTCAACTGTAACATGAATGAACGATCAACAACCATTGATTGATATGAAAAAGAACAACAATAATTGATCTATCATATACTGACAACAGGAGTTTACAGAAGTGAGAATTTCCAAATTGTTGCCTCACTGTCTCTCTGTTGTTTAAATGTTGCTCACGCTACACTGTTGGTCAAGGTGCATGTAAAACAAGCATTTTTAGCCTATACCAGTGATGAAAATGGAGAATAAGATCAGATTAATAAATCTCCTTGAAGCATCAGCCTGACCTTTCTGATTTAACTCAGCAGGAAAAGATTAAGTGTTTGATTTAGAAATTTCAATCATTGAGTTAAAAAGAAGGATCATCACTTGAAAGAGACATCTCAGCAGTATCAAACAGGTACTTTCATTGTGTAAGGAATGGAGTCCTCAGGATGATCAGTGATAAGTAAAGACCTGCCACATTATTCCCTCTGTTGACCAAAAAGAAACAGATCTTCACTTTCCGAATAGGTCCTATTTACAGAACACCTTAAAGGCTTTGACAAGTGACAAAACTGCAGAGTGTTCGTTATGTTAAGGTGGAGTGTTACAGAAAGGATAAGCTGCTAATGCTGATGGAGTAATCCCTTGAGACGTCCAAGTTCTTGAAGGCAATCACATGGCATTGTATTTAACAAATCTAAACTAACAACAAACTTAAACATTAATATCCATAACAGCTGAAGAGGTCATGTTTGCCTACCTGAAGAACCAACTAATCTATGACGGGAACATGCCATCAGCTGAGAGACTTGCAGGTTTTTAAACAGCTGTAGAAAGTTTTTGGATGCTTACAATAAGTATTAGGTCTTCTGTACTTTCAGATCCCATCACACCAAAAAGGCTTTTCAGTTCGCCTTTTTTAGTACAAGATTTCATCATGCAATATGTATATGTAAAAACCAGGCAATCAAATCTGAAAATTTCACACATTTCTGCACCAAAAGCCATGGCGATCACAAATTTGCAACTACCTGGCTGCTTCAGAACCTCAGTTAAAGGAAATGCTGAATGTTTCATCTTAGTTTTCTATAAACCCATGGAAATAAAAAGCTCTTTATGATGCACTGACACTGTCATGACTTCTCTTCTTTCTATTTTATTATAAGCTTTATTTGGATATATATTGCCAATGCTCAAAGGTGATGGATAAAGACTGTTGACTAAAAGGACTGCCTTTATTTAGAAGTTGGTGTTATTATATGGTAATGTCACAAATACTCATAACAAACTGGACAACGCTTATAGTCCATGTATAATTACTGTAGTATTTTTGCCTTTTTTAGGCCAAAAAAAAAAAAAAAAAAAAAAAATCTAAAAAGAAAAAAAACCTGTTAAACTATAAATAAATAAAAAAGGGAGTTCTTACCTCTGACAAAGTTTGCTGTAAGACGACAGCAAGTGCTCCAAATCTGCGGTCATATTCTGCCAGGAGTGCTCTGACCTTTTCGATGGGCTGGTTTTTTGCCCCACTCTTAGACACACGTTCTGGTACGACATCCGGAGGACCGTTGTTCTGGTTAGGTCGGGATGCTTGCTGCTGGGGTTGATGTGGGCGGGAGCTGGTCTTCGGTTTGCTCTTGTCCACTGTAAAAGAATACGTGTTGAGTGTTGTGATAATATTGATCATCATAATAATCAGACACCCGCACCAACCACCCCTTAAGTCCAAATCAGGGTTACAGATGCACAAGACCCCAGTGTCAAAGTCCTGGATATTTCTGCTCTGATCAATCAGCCCATCTGATGAGTCCCAGTGCTGCGACTCCAACAGCCTGGACATATAAATGAGCCCTCAATCACTGCTCTACAGACATTGGTCACTTGAGGCAACTGATTTTGACAGGGTCATGCTACTGCAGTTTTGATTTACATCAGCTTTATAAATACTTCACTACCATACAAAAGTTAGCATCAAACCTAATACAGGGACACTTTGTTTATTCTGCAACAAAACAAGAACTTGAATCCGACAGGCTCACTACCACTGAAGTGTTCAAGTGAGCAGGAGGGAGAAAATAACAGTGCTGTCTTTGACATTAGGCAAATGCACAAAAACTTTTCTCAGAGAGCAGTTTATCAATGAGATAATTATGAGTACTGTGTAACACTGAGAAATACAAGAGATACCATTGAGAGGACTGCACTGAAGCACTAAGTGTCTGTGAGAATACTCACTCTGCTTAGAGTTACAGCCAATTCAGATTTATAGGCAGAGAACAGTTACTGATTTAGCTGCAAGTAAATCTGATCCTGTAAAACCGTTGATAGCTCTACTTTCAAACTACTGTGGTTGATTTCACTTTAGTATAAACATCTTTTAAGCTCTGTTGGCTCATGAAGTATTTATAATCCTGCCCTTTAAAACCTGAAGCACATTCAAAACCAGATTTAGATGCACTTAGCTGGCAGGGTATCATTTGAGAATACTGTAACATTAAGAATAACTCATGCACATCAGTGAGAGGTAAACAAAAAAGACTCGACACCTCTAGATAATACCCACAGCAGGGGAGGTTTTAGGAGCAGACTTTTTGTGGAGCTCAGTCTCTAAAGAAATTGTGATGTGAACATATCTTTGTAAGTGTCCTGTTCTAACACTCAACTATTATTTTAATAAGCAATAAGAGCTGTTGTCCCACTAAAAACAAAACCAAACAGCCAGAAGGACGGAATTTGCTGTTTTTGGAAAGGTATCGAATTCATTCAAGTACTTTCACCACTACAGCAGGTAGAGGGAGGGGGGGAACACACATTATATACACCATCACAAAGGTATTTATTGGGACCAGTACTATCATATGGTAAAGTAGGACGACTCATTGTCAATTTGAAGTATTACTGTCTGTTATTTGAATTACCTTGGTTATGTTTTCAACACTCAAATGCTCCAGTAAGAGAGCCAACGACTACATACTGTCTCACTGATAAGAAACCTTTAAAAATTTAACCTGAGACTTTTTCTGAACATAGATGTTTCCCCCGCATCCTGCTGTGTCATTTAAGGGTTTACTTGTTTCACATTGTATTGACTTGCTGCTCTACCGAACACATCTCTAACTCACTACTACCTGCTGCTTCTGCACATGCCTGCTGGTCACACTTTTGGATGACACCAGCTGCAGAGAGAGATTCTTTTCTTGTATAACAAATATGTTTGGCTTTAAATATTATTGATTATTAATGGTTTAAAAATATGGTTAGATACATGCCCCTGTTCTTTGTTTTTCAGGGGTGCAGAGAAGAAAAGGGTTTACACGCTCCTCTGCCCTGCAGTCTCTGTTGTCAGAGAGGCAATGGTAATTAATCAAGAAGAAGTGTTTTCCTAACTACTGTAGACACCTGATCCTGGAGCAGCAGAGCTGATGACTTTCTGGACTCTGGCCTGATTGGGCCAACATAATGTTACAGAGAGAATGAATCGTTCTCCCAACAAGCCAGGCCAACAGAGGAAACACTGAGTTCATACTTAGTCTCCTTAAAACAGTGAGCAGATTGGTGAGGAGAAAGTGGGACTAATCAAAAAGTTATGTTACAAAAAACAAAAAGGATCAATCCAATACAAATATTTTTGCAGGATTCAGACCACAAACTGACTTGAGTTTATAAAATTCTGTATCCTGGAGTGCAGTACTCCTCAAAACTAGTTTCTCAGATGCATCTCTGAGTTACACAGCTAGAGTAAACATATTAGCAAGGCAGCGCCTGAAAGATAAACAAAGTATTGATATAATGACACACCTGAATGGTTGGTTTGTTAGATGGAACAAGACAGACTCCTTACTATGCCTTTGAAGAATATGGAAGAATGTTGTAGCTTTTATACAACAGCAATACTTTGATTTGAGGTGCTCATACTTCAGAAATACAAATATTTTCAGATTCCTTTGTTTTTCTTCTCCATTTTGATTTACTAGAGCAAAAACCATCAAAATGGAGGGTCTTAAGATACAGACCAAAACAAAGAGTTACCCTGTGCAGCTCATCTTAGAGTTTTTTGGGATGATGTAGCAGTTTGTCAAATATGAAAATGTTTCCTTTAAATTAGGATGCCCTCTGCTGGCTGTTCAAAGAGCACAAAGAGACACCATTATTCCCTAGAACTGAAGCAAAATGAAGATATTGCTTAGTGGTTCTTACTGGGCTTCCTATAAAGAACATACAGTAGGATCATAGACATTTTCACTGATGTTACAGAAATATTTGAATCTTGTACAGATGGAAAGATTATTCTTTAAAATCTTATCCTCTCCCTCGGCCATTATTATTTATTTCTGTGACCAAAGATGGACATTCTGCAACAGATTTTTGCTGGGATTAAAACATTTATTTCTCCGTGCTTTTAAAAAAAATCACAAAAGTCAAAAGAGAGGTCAAGGTTCTCACGTGGAAAAGGACAAATACAGAATTTCTTCCAGACTGATGAAGAAAATCAGAGAATGCTTTTACTAGCTGCACCTATATGTGGCTTTCTTTTACATTTTATCGACTTTACAGAAACTTTTACTCTCTGCACTCGACTGTGTGTACTGAGGACCTGCAGCTGTTTTTATCAAAGTATCCCGACAGAGGACTTATGACACATGTTGCTCTCTGTGCTTCACGCCTCCTGTGATGCTAAAAGGACATTTTCTTCATGATATACTGAATGACCTAGTGAGCTACTACAGCGTAGTGCTCTGCTCTGGAAGGAGATAGCTCTATAGCACAAAGCCTGATGGATAGTGAGACCCCTCACAATCACACACTTGTTTTAGGGTTTGGATGACACAATACTAGACAAAAAAATCTCAGTCTGACATTCAATGGTCACTTGTCTTAAAAATGGGGTCAAATAAATCCTATTTTTTTTTCAGTGAGAAAAACATCTTATTAAGTTACTCAAAGCTTGATCTGCAAAATGCAAAGAGACCAATTTTCCTTAAAATAGGACAAGAGTACTTAAAAATGGCCACCAAAGGGAGCTAGTGTATTCTTACAATCCGTTTCAACAACTACAACGTGGACCCTGCAGTTGAACCCAGAGACCAAGAACCAAAATAACCCTGGAACACCTCAGAGTGAAACAGGAGCACAGCTCAGAGCATGGTTTCAGACCAGAAAGACAAAAACGCATTTTGATGCACGGCAATAAGAGCATCCTACACTAAGAAAACAGCTTCAGAGTAGATCGGGATTTTTTTTTTTTTTTTAATATAAAATGTTCCTTAGTTCCAAAAATCGTCTCCTAAAATACTTCTACACAGGATGACATGTTATGGAGGCCAAGGTAGGTAAATGAAAGACGAACCTCCTGTTTTGCAGCGAGCAAATAGCCTTGCTAAAAATAGATTTTGGAGACGGCGAACTGCACAGATCTTGGCGTGAGGGGAAACACCAACAGGTTTGGCATTAATATTATATAACACCACTACATTACACAAAAATATCAGCAAACATTTGTATCTTTGTAGCAAGTGACCGACCTGCTCGGAAAACCACCGTGTTCTTCCTGCATCCTGACAGCAGCTGAATGTTTCGGAGTAAACCTTTGGCTGTCAGACGCACGTGAATGTTGGTCAGGGAAAGCTTCGGAGACCATAACATTTCTCAAACTAAAAGCAAGACAGCCGCTGTTGTAGGTGGACAACAACTTCAAAAAAGTGTTTGTATACAGAAGTCTGACGCTGCCTATGATCCAGATGCCATGGTACCTCTCAGTGTATCATATCTCAGGTTGCTGAAGCACTGACAGGCAGCGAAAAATAAATCAGCAAAAAACAATAGTCAGAGTTACACCAGAGAGACAGCTTTGGAAAAAGTGACAGCACCCAGTTCAGCATGGCAGGTCTCCCACTTAAACTCCAATTCCAAGCTGTGAGGGCTGGAAGATGCAGAGAGCACTGAAGGCTGGCCAATGGATAGTGGCTCAGCCTGATAGATGTGACAGGGGCTGGGAAAAAAAAGTAAAAATCCCTTAATCCTCTTGGTAAAGCCAGGCTCCAGCTATTCACAAAACACACAAATCTCTCTCTCAGCAGAGAAAAGCTGCATCTCCAGGCTTGATGATGGCGGTGCTGTGGCAGAGCCAGGATGCTGGGAAGGTGGCGGGGGGGTGGGGTGGGACAGAAGGGAGAGGGTGGAGCTAACGGCAGCACAGCAGCCAATAAGACTTGAATCTACCCCCTACTCTTCCTCTTACCGACTCTCTGCCTGTGTCACCAGCAGAAAGATGGCATGAGATGAGAGATTAGCCATGGCGTGCTTCTTTTTGTCTGATGAGCTGTAAAGAGCTGCGCTGGCACAGGATCATCATAAAAATGTGTCTTCAGCAATGATGTGAAATTATGTGGATTTCAGAACTCAGACAAATCTAGACTACACAAGTCATGCACAACAGAAGCCTCTGCTTGCTCACTAAGAGCTGGAATTTATTAATAAACGCAGATATAACAACTATAGAACAGATCCAGTGCAATAAAAACAAAAATGACATTTTTGTTGTTGAAAAATTATAAGCAAATGGAGAAAAAAGGCTGAACAAATAACCAAAGAGATCTCTAGCTGCACTCCTGTGTCTTTTCTGCAGTGATATTCACAAATATTTTTATTTGTAATTGCTACTGAACAATGTGGGCGCTCTACTTTATGTCTGTCCAACATTTTGTGTCCGTGGTTTTTATTCACGAGGAAACAAAAGTGTTTTCAAACAAGAGACCTTAGGGAAAGCAGGGGATCTTCAGGTTCTTTTGTGGGAACGTTGATAATTAACTCCACTGTACCAAAAGTCTTCTATGAAAATGGTCTGGTACCTGTACCTTTACACCCCTGTAAGACACAGCAATGTCCAGAAAGCTTCTTTGGACACAAAGTTACTCCTTTCAGGGTCATGTTTTCTAACAACATTTCCTTAATTCAAGCCTGCATCCTAGTAAAGAAAAAACATTTTTTCAAAAGCATCTGCGCAAATCAATAGCTGCAGCAACAAAATGCTCAAAACAACAGCCTCAAAAGGTTCATATTTAACCTGCAACATCACACCGCAATCAACACATGTACGGAGAGACATAACAGCTGAAATTTCTCTCTCTGATCACCTACAAAGAGGTGTGAAGGCAGTGCAGATCACACACTGGTTTATCAATTTAAGCACTGTTTGTATATGGGTAAAAAAAACTGCTTTAAAAAAATGTGGTTTACTCCAGAACCACAAGATCCTCGATGTAGTCAGAGCATCAACACATTCAAGAAAACAGTCTATCAACAGAATCGTCTGAATTTGGAGGTCATTACAGTAAATTTATTCACAGTAATCCTTCAACATCTACCAAGGAAAAGACTGCACAGGAAAATGCTCTTCACCGAATCACTGAATGGATACAGCTCAACTGTGTGAAAGACTGAGAAGGAAGACTTACCAGGTCCACTTGTAGTTAGACGGAGTCTTGCAGATGAAGTCCTCTTAAGGGAGCTGACTGTGGAGTTTTGAGCTTCTTTGACTGTAGGAGTCGCAGGTTTGCATGCTGTGGCCAAAGCTGTAAAAGTCAAGAGATCAATGTGAGACACGAGGCAAGAGTTAATCTGACCCATATTATAGCAGAAACAAAAGATGACTAACTGAACACGACCACAGAAGGCTTTTATGTTGTATCCAGGTCACATAGTTTGATTAAGCACACCTCTAACCTCAAACCCAGATGTATGAGTGACTTAACTTAATCAAGACCAAAGAGCTCTTATCATTTGTGGTTACCATACAATATAAATGAGATTAGGAAGTTACACAAGCTTTTGTTTATAGGTGAGTGTTTCAGGGCATCTCTTTACTTTCACCAAAGGTAGAATAAGAGAGGGACTTCCTTATCATCGTGTGAGAATTTAATGAAAGAGGTGAACATCAATGTGGTCTCTCTGGCACTTCGAATAAAGTTTACATAGGGACCTAATTCTGATCAAATGCTCCCTGGCTTCAACCAAACAGGAAAATCAGAGACAATTGTGTACAGCAAAATAAAATAAAGAAAACATCAAATATCTAAAAAAAATAAGCATGAGTGTTGAAACGTGAACTGACCTGACTGTGTAGTTTTCTTAGGGCCTGTGATGAGTCGTGCCTTCAGCACTGTAGATTTAAATGGTGTTTGTTTAGCTGCAGCTCCCCCGGAAACTGTTGAACAAGTGGAGAATTTCTGGTTATTTCTAAGGCATTCAAATACTTGAGTTCTAACAGTTCATTGCTGCTTTAAAGCTAAAACTGCTTCTGTGTCGTAAGTCATTACTGGTGTTTTATGAGAAATTCCTGCCAAACTTTATTGAGGAAATAAACAGACCATTTTGGTACAATAACACAACCCAGGTGCAATATTGTCAACACAACTGTAGTGTATTTCTCATGACATTGAAATAAAATCACAAAGAGGGAGAGAGAAAAAAAAACCCTTACCACAACAGAACAACAGAGCAACATGTAACAACTGCATGAACAAATGCATAAACTATAAACATGTAACGACCAAGTATGTTAATTCCTAATAAGCAAAAATAATCTTTGAATGATCAAAATGCTACATGCAAATCCTTAATTTATTCCTGTCTCACTTACTTCTCCAAAGCTTCCTGTGTTTTCCATTAAATACAGCAATCAAAGGGATGATACAAAAGCGATACGATCCAATGAGCAGACATGTCAAGAGGGTGAGATCACAGCTGGATGCTGTACCTCCCTGCGCTAATAAAGAGGAGTTGTTGGAAATATGAGACGGAAATTCAGTCCAGGTGCAGCTTCGAAGTCCCGTGTAACCAGCCATTGGTCTTTGATTGTACAAAGGAAAACAAATCGCTGCTTTTCTGCCCCTCAGACACCATCAACTGCGATGTCTGTCTGCTCATTTTCCTCCAGGCAACACCGTGTGTGAACTGGAGTGGAATAGAATCTGTTGCCATAACAACCACATGAGGGGGGTCCCCAGATTGAAAAAATAGGTCCTCTGAGCCAATCACTGACCAGCAGGCTGTTGAAGATGTTGAGTGGATGAGAGACTGATTTTATGTTCTCGATGCAACAGCAAAAAGGACCTCCAGCTTCCATTAGAATCATAACAGGCTAATGCTGCTGCCCAAATACTCGACTACTCTCATTTAAAAAAAAGAGATTTTTTGAAAGCTTGGAAATATGATCTGATCCATTGTATTGCATAAAAAAACCTGTTAGGAAAAATATCACATTGTTGTTCTCAAGGTGCCAAATTCCCTGGACCTTGGCAGATGTGGAGGTGTTTCATCAGACAAAGATTTTTCCCCGAGAAGATTAACAGCTCGACCCCATCCTGAAGTAGGTCACCATTGGAAACTGAAGCGCTTCCCCTCCCATGTCCAGATGTGTCCTTAAAAGTACAGGCATCAACCTGACCCTGACCTGACCCCAGAAGCTGTCTGCACCAAACTACCTTTACACCCTTTATGCCTCACTGGCAGCTTTCGTGAAAAGATTATCTGTGAAAAAATTGCCAAAGGTTCTTCACGATCGTTTGTCTTTCAGTTTGGATGAACACTGTTACAGAACAAGAAATGCTACGGAGGGTAAATTTCCCTTACCCAAAGTAAAAACAAACAAAGAGAAAAGTACGGTAATGTTTAGGGCCATGGTGATATGGAATGTTCTGCCAAGAACATAACAAATACAGATTTAAAGATCTAGTTAAAGAACATTTACTGGTCAATCAGCTCCTTATTTAGAAGAAGCTTGGTAAAATCAATCAGTGTTTGTCTGATCTACTTAAAATATTGGAAGTCTGCTTATGTGTTGGGTAATGTTTCTGTAAACTAATTCAATTATGTGGAATGTAAGTTGATATTTGAACATCTGACCATTTCAGAACTATAGCTACTCTGTGGAAATATATAAGGTCAAGTAATACGTGTATGTTGTTTGTATTGTTCTAGTTTTGTTGTTTTGTTATTGTCTTGTAGGCTGTTGTGAGTTGTTGTGGTTATCGACATTGTCTTTGTGTTTGTGGCGTGTTCTTTGTGACTGTGCACTGTGATGGAGAGCTAATTATAAATGAAGACTCCAGGAAGAATAGCGATGGCCTTAACCAAAGCTAATGGAGATCCAAATAAACAAAACGAAATGAAACCCTCATATAACAGTCCAATAAAGACCCAAAGCTACATATTTCTAAAAACACAGTTCAATCCTTTTGGACTCACCTTGTGTACTCTCTGCACCCTCAATTGGTTCAGTGCGGACACGGGCCTCAGCAAAGCTCTTGGATGGCACCAGGGTCTTGCGTGGTAGTCTAGAAGCAGGAGTAAGCGGTGGACCCATAAGAGAGGAGCGAGTGGGAGTCTGAGGAGTTTGGCATCCATTCAGTTGTTGCTTATTACTCGCAGATGAGGCAGTCCCAAGGAGTGACCCTCCTGTTGTCTGTAGCATCTGACTCCCTAGGAGGCAATGGAGAAAAATTAAAAGTGGAGGATCACAAAAATCTTAACTGATATAAATCTATCAGACAGGCAGAATCAAGACTAATAAAATAGTCTCATTTTTTCACAACTATAGACATATATAAAGCCTTTTAGTGGGGTATTTTGAGAAGTTTTACACTGAAACAAAAGATAATGAGTAAGAAGGAACAGAAAGTACAATCAATGGCAACTGATAGTTTGGACACGTGCAATTTGCACCCTGATACTTCGCTATTTTTTCCAACCTGCACCCAGATTTTATGAACAGTTTTCACCAAATAAGCACCAACGAATTTTCACGGAAGCCAATATGAGCAAATTTTACAGCAGCCGCAGTTAAAATTAACCCCAACTAAGTCAGCACTATAGACTTTAGCCCGCAGGAGAAAGCTGCTAGCAAGACGTCTCCCGTAGCAACAGTAGCAGCAGAAACTAGCGCACAGTCGCTAACTCTTTAAATACTGATCGGCGAGCTGGAAAAGCTCCATAAAAGTGTAACAACTGAACTCATCCTTTCTCCTTTCTCTGGACGCCGTTTTAGATCAGATTCAAGCCTCACTGTAGACCAGGGGTGCCCAACCGATAGATCACGATCGACTGGTAGATGGCGGACTTCTCAGTCAATCGCAAGAGTAGCCTTGACTACGGTGAATAGAACTCTTGTAGTCAATCCACACCTTAGTATTTTTTTTTTTCATGGCTGAACTGCGCCAGCGCCGCGCCTTCTCTCCCTTATCCCGAAACCGAATCAGAATTTACAAGAGTGTAGCAGCTGGAGAAACATTAGCATGCTCAATTCTGATGTAAAATTGCTAGCTAAGATCTTATCCAGCCGTTTGGACCCCTGTCTGGCAAGCATACTGTCTAATGACCGAACCGGCTTCATAAGGGGCAGGCAGTTGTTATCAAATATACGAAGACTGGTCAATGTAATTCTAAGTTTGACACACAGGAGGCTGAAATGGTGATCTCAATGGATGCAGAAAACTGTCCTCAAAGATTTGGCCTTGGTCTAAAATATATATCACGAATTAAATTGTTGTATAATACCCCCACCGCCAATTAACTCCACTCCACTCGAATTTTTTCCCTTTATCTCGAGGCTGTTGCCAATGGCTATCCCCTGTCACCATTGTAGTTTGCTGTTACAGTTAAACCATTGTCCTCTGCCCTTTGGAATTCACCTTTATTCACAGGTATTTGCAGAAATGGGACTGAGCACAGGGTCTCACTCTTAGCTGATGACCTTTTGCTATACACATCAAACCTTACTGTCTGCATTAATAAGGCTCTTGAGATATTGCAAACTTTGGTTCTTTTTCAGGGTTTAAACTGAACATTTGTAAAAGTGAATGCTTTCTTCTCAATCATGCTGCAAAATAAACCCCAGTTCAAATATTACGTATTCACCTAGCCTCCTCTAGCTATCGCTATTTAGGTATTAGAAGCTCATATAGTTTTACATCACTTTATAATGACAACATTGTAAAATTAGTTAAGGAAATCAATTCTGACCTCAAACGGTGGAATATCCATCTCTTATTGGAGGAATCAATACAATTAAAATGAATGTGTTGCCAAGATTCTTATTCCTTTTTCAAAATTTACTAACATTTCTCCCAAAATCGTTTTTTTTATTTTAAACTTGATAGGAAGAGCTCATATTTTATTTGGGCAGAAAAGACACCAAGGGCAAAATATTCTATCTTGCAAAGAGTTAAACAAGATGGGGGCCTCCCAATTTTTTGGCCTATTGGTCAGCTAATATTAAAAAAATCCCCCCTTGGTACAACTCCCCCAATACAGACTGGTGCCAGATGGAAGCTAGCTCTTGCAGTTCTCTCCTTGTCAACTTTGATATGTGCCCCACTGAAAATAAATCCTACCAATTACATTTCTAACCCAATAATCTCATCCACGATAAAGATTAGGAAGCAGTTCAGGCGCCATTTTAATATTGCCTCCATCTCCCCTCTAATGCCCATATGTAGCAAATATTTGTTCCTGCCTTTTACAGCTGATCCGTTTTTTTCTCAGTGGAAGGATAAAAGGTCTGCTATATTTCAGACAACTTTTTAATAAAGTTTTTGCCTCCTTTGGCTTGCTTAAAACTAAATTTGGCCTCTTGCAATTGCATTTATTCAGACATTTTCAAGTTCGCAACTTTGCTCATCAAAATTTACGCATCTTTCCCCATCAACCACCTGATCCAGTTTAAGGCTTTACACAGGACTCACTTCTCCAAAGCTCAATTCATTGTTTAAGACTAGTGAATTGTGTGACAGATGCTGCATTTCAGCTGCTAATCATACACACGCATGGATTTCTCCTGTCTGAAACCCAGATCATTCTAGTCCCCTGTTAATTTTATTCCTTCTTGTGAGGACTAATATAGAAACATAATATGTTTCATATAGGGCAAGTTGGACACATATATGTGAAAATGTTGTTTCTGTTTGTGTTTTTTGTTTTTTCATCTGTTTTTTTTTTTATGAATCATGTCTTCTTATTCATGAGTCCTTCCTGTTGCCTTAATTCTAAGATATTTCAATATTAGATTGTATTCTAGCAGTTGACATTTTACAATATTTTCTTGTTTGTCTGTAAAATTTAAAACTGAGTAACATTGTACCTTGTAATTGATGTATACAACAGAAAAAAAACAAAAATATATTTAAAAAAGCACAATCAAAGGCCTGGAAACACTACCTTTTTAGGGTTTAAAATTCAGACATCTTTGTACTTCCTAACTGTTACATCTGATACCAAAACTTACCCATCATACTCACAACAGCAAACATGCCAGGATGGATAAACTACAAACCAACTGAAAATGGTGCTGCTAATGCAGAATAATGCATCCCCATAGTGTCCCTTCAGCCAAAGAGCAACAAGGTGTCTACTTTTACTGCACTCTCAGCTCTCTTATGTCAGACTCGTTTTTTCTCTTTTTACTTCAACACAAGTGGTGAGCTCAAAACCTCCCTTTCCTTCCTCTGCTTTTTCCACTTGTGCAGATGGCTTCCTATCAGAGGAAGAGTCTCAGGACTTCTCTGGGGCAATGGGAAGGAGGGTGGTGGCTGTAAGTCCTCAGGATGAGAAACTGGAGGTTACATGTGAGGTATTCCTGTATAACATGCCTGAGCGCATCAGGAAGGAGGGAGGGAGGTGGTCTATTAGAGGATCTGCTAAATGTCACCCTCTAAAGGAAAGACAGCTTTACTACACCCTGAGATTAAAGAGGTCTGTCAATGCACACAGCAGAGCGATTCAAAGTGAGAAAGGGAAAATGTTTGGAAAACAACCGTAATACCTCTGCTTTAAAAAACTGTCCATGGTTAGGATCTGGATACACAAGACCCGAACTTAGTACCTTTCTTAAAATAAGTCAACCGTTAAAACAAAAATTTAACTGCAATTCTCTTGAATATATATATATACACTCACCGGCCACTTTATTAGGTACACCATGCTAGTAACGGGTTGGACCCCCTTTTGCCTTCAGAACTGCCTCAATTCTTCGTGGCATAGATTCAACAAGGTGCTGGAAGCATTCCTCAGAGAGCTTGGTCCATATTGACATGATGGCATCACACAGTTGCCGCAGATTTGTCGGCTGCACATCCATGATGCGAATCTCCCGTTCCACCACATCCCAAAGATGCTCTATTGGATTGAGATCTGGTGACTGTGGAGGCCATTTGAGTACAGTGAACTCATTGTCATGTTCAAGAAACCAGTCTGAGATGATTCCAGCTTTATGACATGGCGCATTATCCTGCTGAAAGTAGCCATCAGAAGTTGGGTACATTGTGGTCATAAAGGGATGGACATGGTCAGCAACAATACTCAGGTAGGCTGTGGCGTTGCAACGATGCTCAATTGGTACCAAGGGGCCCAAAGAGTGCCAAGAAAATATTCCCCACACCATGACACCACCACCACCAGCCTGAACCGTTGATACAAGGCAGGATGGATCCATGCTTTCATGTTGTTGACGCCAAATTCTGACCCTACCATCCGAATGTTGCAGCAGAAATCGAGACTCATCAGACCAGGCAACGTTTTTCCAATCTTCTATTGTCCAATTTCGATGAGCTTGTGCAAATTGTAGCCTCAGTTTCCTGTTCTTAGCTGAAAGGAGTGGCACCCGGCGTGGTCTTCTGCTGCTGTAGCCCATCTGCCTCAAAGTTCGACGTACTGTGCGTTCAGAGATGCTCTTCTGCCTACCTTGGTTGTAACGGGTGGTTATTTGAGTCACTGTTGCCTTTCTATCAGCTCGAACCAGTCTGGCCATTCTCCTCTGACCTCTGGCATCAACAAGGCATTTCCGCCTACAGAACTGCCGCTCACTGGATATTTTTCTTTTTCCGACCATTCTCTGTAAACCCTAGAGATGGTTGTGCGTGAAAATCCCAGTAGCTCAGCAGTTTCTGAAATACTCAGACCAGCCCTTCTGGCACCAACAACCATGCCACGTTCAAAGTCACTCAAAGCACCTTTCTTCCCCATACTGATGCTCGGTTTGAACTGCAGGAGATTGTCTTGACCATGTCTACATGCCTAAATGCACCAAGTTGCCGCCATGTGATTGGCTGATTAGAAATTAAGTGTTAACGAGCAGTTGGACAGGTGTACCTAATAAAGTGGCCGGTGAGTGTATATATATATATATATATATATATATTTTATATCTGTAACTAATATTTAAATGCTGCTTTAGTTCACACTGTATTCAATTTATTTGTTGTACAGCTTTTTCACCTTTTGAAATCATTTTTAAAATTTCTTTCTCTCCTGTTCAATCCCTCTTCAGTCTCCATACAGGAGCTGCCATGCATCTTGTTATGAATGGTCTTCTAGATCTGTCATTGATATGACCCAGTGCACCTTTGAAAACTGAAGATAACCATTCAGAATTTAGTAATTAGCAGGGCAGTGTAATGTTAGTTATCATTTGTATTTGTAATTTTAATTGCTCTTAAAAACAGAATATAGCCTCTTGATTTAGTTTAAAAAGTTTGTCATTCAAAGAAATGAAGCACTATCTTGCAGTGCTGCCTTTAATATATGAACAGCTTTTTACCACCCAAACAATAAGAGGACAATTTCAAACTTTACTCCAAACTCCTTTGTTATCATCACAGGGCAGTGTGATGTGTACTCTTACCTGTGCTGCTCTTCTGCTTGACTTGTGCAGACTCTACACCCTTGGAGGTCTGGCATTCATCCCTACCCAGAGTTCTCTGCCTTTGTCTTGTTGAAGGTGAGGCAGGTCTTGGACTTGAAGCTCCTCTGGTTTGTCCAAGAGAAGGCCATGCTCGAAATCTGTTCTTATTGTCATTCAGTGAGACTCCTGTGGATTTGCAGGGCTCGACCTGTAAAGACAGTGAATTCTCACCCAAAAGTCCAGAAATGTTCAAAACATCAAAGAAAAAAATATTGTCCTTTGGGTCTCAAGTTGCTAAAAATCTAATCTTCGTGTCCTACTCTAAAACAGTTTTGCTGCTCTTTCCTTTGAAATATTTTAAAGGATACAACATTTGTGGCTGATGGTGAAAATGTAGGAATATGTATTTTACTTGAAAATGATCAATGAATTGATGCTGCTTACATAGTTGGTCAATACTCACCACTAGGTTGATCATCTTAACTTCTCTTTTGGAGTATTCAGCATGTCTGTTTGTGGACCCAGCCTGTGCTGCTTGTTTATTCTGGGAAGAGTTTGGGGTCTCTGGTTTAGTTTTGCCCAGGTGGTTGTCAGCTTTGGTACTGGTTAAACTGGTTGAGAATCTAAGAGCTGTCCTTTGTTCCTTAGTTAGAAAAGAAGCTGAAGATGAACTTTCTGATGAGCAACGAGGCCTCGACTTAAGGGCAGGAGGATTGTGCTGACCCAATGCTGAGCTTGACTTGACCTCAATTTTCTTTGAGATGTCTTTCTTTGGAGTTGGTTGGGGAATTGGTTTGTCACTTGTATCTGGGGATTTCTCCAAGTAGAGGCAAAAAGTCTTGTTGCCAGCATGCTCTGGTGCCGTGTCTGCCAATTGGCTTGAAGCTGCATGTTCGGTTTTAGAGCAGGCATTACTGCATTTGACTGCAACAGCATGTGTTTTTGCAGACAAGAGGTGGCAAGGTGGTGATGCTCTACTGTCACTCTGTCCACCCACTGTAAAATGCCTGGTGATTTGCATCTCCGTTGCTTCCACATCAGGAGCCCCTAAATTCACTTGTCTAAGTGGGTCACTGGACAATTTAGAGGCAGAGATGGCTGCAGTTTTACTCCTTTCCCTGGCAGGACTACCTCTGGGAGCGGCCCCTCTATGTGATTCAGCAGGTTTGTTTACTCGAGAAAGTTGCTGCACTGAAGCTTTGCTTGTTCCTGACATTTGTTGCACACTTCTTGTCACAAGTTTAGATTTTATTTTGCTAAAGTCTAACTTGGGAAATGTCTTTATTTCCCTTTTCTTGACTTTGCCAGCCAACTGCAGTCCTGAAACCAAAGGTCGTTTTGGAGTTCCAGGGATTTGCTTCTGTTTCACAGGTTGGAGACCAGGAGAGGCTGCTTTTCCAGTGCAGGGAGACTCTGAAAACGGGGAAAGATCAAGTTCCCTGCTCCCCATGCTTTGTACTGGTGTGGAAGTTTGAATACCTTTATTAACATCTCGTACAGCTGACAGAGTGGACCCAAAAGCTTTGCCTGGTCCTGGAGTAAACTGAGGTGACTCTGCATCGGCTCTGGAAAATTGAGTCTCTTTTTCACAATCTGGGGGAGATTTTTCACAAACAAAAGTCACAAAAATCCCTCCCTCTTTCTCATCTGGCATCTCTATGAAAGAGTTGGATGTTAAAATAACATTTTCTTCAGTTGAGGACTCTGCCTGAGTAAAAGTCTTGCCAAGACATGAGTAGTTTGTGTCCTCCTTTAAAACCCTCTGAGTGGAGTTTTCACAAACATCTGGTAGAATGGTAGACAGCAAATTAGATTCAGCAGGTAATGATGAACAACCAGCAACTTGAGAGATTGACGACCCCCCCAGGGAAGAGACTGTCAAAGATGATTGGTCCTCCAAACAAAAACTGTTGCTCCTTATCACCATCTCCCCTGAACTAAGGGAGCAGCAGTCGTTCTCAGTAGATCCTCTACGGGAGGTCTCGCATGAAACGAGTTGGCTTTCCCTTCCAGCAGAGTCTGGAGATGTCACTGCACTGTCACTTCCATCCAGCGAGTTCTTGCTAAAAGTCTGGTACTTCTCTAAACTCCTTTCATGGCTGCTTATTACACTCAAGGTTTCATTCCAGAAATTTACACTGCCATTTAGAGGTGTCGTAATAAAGGTTTGGTTCAGGTTCCCATCGCAAAAAGCATCGGTTTGTGGTATGGTGGTGCCGTAAGGGTTATCCACAGCAGCGCCATTGCTGAGGCAAAACTCAAGCATGTTCATGTCAGGCGGGCCGTCAGTGTCTCTGTCACTCAAGTTGGAATTGCAACTGTTTAAATCGGGTGACAGCGACAGTGATGAACTGTTGTAATGACTCTCAGGGGAGAGGCTCATCGGTAGATCTCTGTGGGGCAGAGGAACTGCGCACACAAGTTGGTCAGAAGACAGATCAAATGTCTTATTAGACATTTTGAAGTTGGCTTGGCTTGTTGCTCCACTTTTCAGTTAGTTCGTTTGTCAGGCATGAAAGTCTGTTTAAAAAAAGGATGAAAAAGTTTAATTTTATGACAGTTGTAAAAGGAAAAAAATATCTCAAAATGGTGATTAACAACAAAAACTAGGCCATAGTGGAGCCTAGGAGAGTAAATAGCATGTCTTTGTATTCACAGCCTATTGTAGCAGTAACTGTAGCTGGACACTCATAAGTTATTCATGACCTTGTTCAGAAGTCGTCAGGATCGCTCTGCTGCAGGTCTGTCCTAATAATTATCTCACTGTGTGCCGTGTCATTTTATGAAGACTGTTAGATATTAAGTTACACATTTGCTGTCGTGAGTTAAGTGTTACAAGTTTTTTAAGTCATCCAAGTTGAACAGGTTACATTTCTTCCTTATATCCCGTCGCTGTCTTTTCTTAATCATGGTCTTAATGAAACTATCATAAAAGTTAAGGGTCATGTCTCTTTGCTGACATGAGCCAGCAATTGGTTTGGCATTGGAATATAAACTGTGATCCTAACTTAACTGTTTTCGATCTATTTAAGCTGATAAGCATGTCTGTCTCCACTGTGACTCAAGGACCATTGTAGTATACCACTACAAGGTATCAAGTCACAAACAGCCTAAAATGTTTCAGCATGCTGACACGATGAGTCCATGTGCACAAAGATAACTTAAAATTGGGGAGGAAAACTTCAGAGAAATAAAAAAAGATAGTCAACTCAAGACTTTTTAACAATGTCATCAACCTGTTTGTATTCACTTCAATATAATTTGGATGTTCAAAAAACAGCCTGCATATATTTTAAAAAATATTGAGACTGATAATTAAAGAGAAAATGATACCACAGCACTGACATTTTATGTTTTAAAAAGGCCCCTCTCAAAACTGAACTAATAGCTGACTGAATTTGTGTGTTTAACAGGGATACTGTCACACTGTACATTACAAGCAGTCAAAACTGCTTGTTTGTAAAAACAAAACCATGCATCCCAACTCAAGCTATGGGAAAAACAACAATACAGTGAACAAATCCACACATATAAACAACTCTTACCTTCCAACAAAAAGTAAACAAGCAGCCAGTATCTGAGCAGAGAGGTGGAATAATTCTCCATGACATGTTAACAGGAGGGCAGAAAATGCATCCTCGGTCAGCTGTGTTGCCCACTGTATCAGGAAGGAGTTCAATTAGTTTTTGCGTGTTCAGCCAGCTTCTTCTACCCCCTCAGAGACAATCCCATTACTGCTTTCTTTCCATAGCTAAATCCAGCCAGGCAGAAGTGTTCAGGCATTCTTGAACCAGTCAGGGCCACCGTCCAACCACTCCTCCCTCCGAAAGTTAAGAGTCAACCGTGCATCACTCACATCACAGCCTGAATGAGGGTGCCCCTTGTGCAGCCTGTGCCGTTTGTCCCTCCCCTCCCCGAGGTAACGTGACTAAGTCCAGCACGCTGACTGCAGTGGTGGGCCAGCAATCTTTCCAACCAGTCAACGTGTCACACATCATCAGTGACTTGGCTGCACATTGATCCCTAATGCAGACATCAAGGTCCAGCTATGGGCTGACAAGAGCTTAGAGTACTGCTGCAAAGTTTAGAGAGGGAGCAAGTGAGAAAAAAAGCAACACATTACCTTATCCATACCAATCCCTGTGCAGGGGGAGTGGCCTCCCAGACTGAGTTGGCATTCACCGTTGCTAAGCAGCCAAAGTCCCTCTTTTATGAGGGAATGGATCAGGCGGCTTTTTAGTAAGGGATAAGTGAAAAGGGGAGCAGAATGGCAGGGGCCTAGAGGTGCAGGAGGGTGTTGTAGTGTGACAGTTTTCAATGAGAGCCTCACTCCCACCAAGATTGTAAATGACATTATTATGTTTGTGATAATGACTGATAACTCCTGTAAAGTTACCTAGTCATAGCGTCACTATTAAATAACATGGCCTCACACTAAACACAGAGAGATAACAACAACAACCTGACACCTGATCCTAGCTCTACAGCAGTAGTATGACACCGGAGTCTAAGACCCCCTAAGTCCTGTGCTATTTCTGCTTAATCTATACAAGGCCACCGACCCCGGGAACTACAGCCTAATCTTAACCTCAGACAAGATGTAAATCATGGTAAAGAGTAGTCTTATTATATCCAAAGTATAAGTACCAGTATAGGTCATGTGTCCAGAAAATCTTCTTTACCAAATAACTATCTATAAAAAGGCTCTTCAGTATAGGTCTTTAAGTCTTGTTGTAAACAAGGACATGAACATGAAGTCCAGTTGTAGCTGATTTTTTAATATATAGCTTTTAGTTATTTCAAACTATTATTAGAACCACTGCAGTGGTACATGCTGCAACCTGCAACGCTTATACACCAAATAAGTATCAATATTACTGTCTACTGAGGCCTCACTAAGGACAATATTAAGGGCCATTTTTTGTTCGATGTCATACAAATGAAATGAAGGCCTTCAAATTGAGTCCAACATTACAAACTGAAAGTGGAATTGACAGAACAATACTTCTGTTTTTCTTCAGCCCCTCAGGCCTCATGGCCTTTCTTGCCTTTGCATGTGTGGCTGGACGTATCTGTATCATCTAATAAGCAACTATGAGTAGCAGGGGCAGCCTTATAAAGCCCTGGCACAGAGCTGCAGCAGGTCAAGCTGGGGGGGATCCCACCCAGCATACCACAAGGACAAGGCTGTCCTCTGTAAAGGACAGGGGAGAAGATGCCAAAAGGCTTGGTCAGAAGAAGACTGCTGCTTTTTAACAGACAGAGTATTTGTCAGTGCGTTTCAGTGAGGCTGAACTGAAAAGGCTTTCAAGACAAAGTTGCAGGCAAATGCCATCTGCTGAAGAACAGAGACTTGAGAATCAGATAGGTTTTGTCTGTAAGGCTGTCAAATCACTTGTAGTACATATAATAGTTCTTCATTTCTCCCTGGCTGCACCCGTACATGAGGTAATTCACTGTTGCATCAAAACAACTGGCAGGATATCTACAGCTGATTGACAGATTACTCCACTGTGCAGCTTCCTCTCTTCAGTCAGCTCTATAATTAGATCAGGGGTAAACATAGTATGCAGCTAAATGGTTTAGGACGCAGCCCTCTAAACCACTTGAACAGATAGAGGGATGAGCTAACAGGTCATTATGTTGAAATACCAAGATTAGCTTGTTAAAAAAGATAAGTCAAAGCACAGTGTACGAATTTACAGCAAACCACTATGACCAACACGAACAAACCCAAACTGTGGGAGTAAACAGAGGTTATCAAAAAACGCAGGGCTAATGTTGACAAGCTATGAAGCAAGCAGCACCTGAATAATATTTCTCATTGACAGCAGATCAGCTTGAACTGTCTGTTATTTAAAATATTAAAGCATATATCATAAATTATGTGAGTGAGAGCATGTAGACTTGTTAACCATCTGCCCAACAATTTAAAAGCTCGTTCAAATAAAGCACAGAGTCACGTTTAGTATCAAAACAAACACTACCTGGATTACTGCTTTGAACCCTTCACGTGAGCCAGCACTGGTGTAAGCACGTGGACATGGGGGGAGGACCTAATGAGTAATTTGGGACACCTGGCCCTGCTCTAATTGGGCAAGAGCTAAACAAACCAATCCAGTGTACCTGCCTGTGCCTTAATACAGAGAGGATATACAGGTGTTTACATGAACTCTGACACTATGTGATGAAATCTCTGGCAGATGACCAACTTTTTGTAAACAGTGAGTATAATGCCTCTACTGGTCATGTTCAAAACAATGAAATATAATAGATTTAAGTGTGTCATAATAACATTTCCATTGCTTTATACAGAATTTATATATGGGACCAATTGATACCATCAAATTTTATTATTTCAAATCTTAATGTACAATAATTAAATAGTTACATGATTTTAAGTCATATGATGCAAGGAAGCAAATATATGTACAATGTAAAAAAAGTGCATGGTGTTAACAGACAACACATGGGCACACTTGACATCTCCTTGGATGTAAATTGATAGGAATACTTCCTTCAAAGTTAGCAAGTGAAAGAGAGAATTTCTAAATAATCAGGCTTCATTTCACCGTTACATGTTTGGAATCAGTAATATGAATCAGATTCACTATATTTATTATTATTATCTGGTATTTTACAACATCCATTTGTAATATATTTCTGTGCTTGGTGATAAAAATAATGAAATCAGTTCTCATTCATGAGACACCATCAACACATACTGTATGCTGTATCAGCTTAGTCAAAAATTAATTTGTTAAATAACAGGCAGAAATGGTATCATGTGAGTCCTTCTCTGTGGACCGACAAGCTGTCAACTCTAGCTAAACTTGCAAGTTCTATTTGTGTTTGTTGACATCAAATGAAAAGCAAGACAGTAACAAAACAACATTTTCTCTTTTTGTGGTTCCGGGTATTAGCCTTAATAGGTCAATGACAGAATTGGGTGCAGTACAGTATCACAAACTGATACACCAGGCCACTGAGTGCATGAGACAGGATAAATGTACCAGACTAGTACAAGACAAGATTATTCTTCCACATCAGTTTTTAGGCCACAGGGCTGCTGTCCATTACGTGTGGGTATGAGGTGGGGCTCCCTTTCCAGAAGGCAAGTCAATGTGCACACGATCAAAGAGGGGGATAAGGAGGAGGCAGGAGGAGGAGCAGCAGCATGTGTCTGGGGATGTAAAAGCTGCAGACGTAAAGAAAGAAAAGTCGTGTTTCCTTTTGGATCCATTGGCAGGCAGATTTGTACACACGCTTCTCCTCCTCTTCCTTTAATCCTTTATCTCTTCTTTTTCTAACCAGACTCTGCTCTCATTACTTGACACAAGAGGGCCAGCTGAGACCCCCACAGGCAGCAGAGACGATAATGTAAAGGACCACCTGGGTAGAGCACAGAAACAGAGTTCACTTCCTTTAACACGGTGCCATTAATCACCCAGTGAGCCACACAGAGAATACAGTCCTTTAGTCAATGTCTGAGGAGGTTTTAAAACAAACATCTATGTAGCAAAGCATGTGGAGTAAAATGCTGTCTCAAAATTACAGATTGAAGATTTTTTTTTAAGTCTGAAAGTGTCTTTATAACAAAAGGCATATTCCCAACATAGGCCCAGTAATCAGTGACAAAATTAGCTGAACAACCACTGCACTGTATCCCTCCACTTACAAACATTCAAACAATTCTCATTTTTATCTGTACTCACCAGGCACACCAGCACAATGAGGAAGGTAAGCTTGAGGTTTTTCATGCACATGGCTCGTGCCAGGTTACGACTTGTGGTCTTAAATGTGACAGACTGAACAGGGAAAGGACATGACAGTTACAATTGAGACAATAAATGTGGATAAGCTTGCTACAATATCGTCAGACAACTGCGACGTATACTTTATATCATACATCATCAGAGAAGTTGGATATATAGGTGATAAAACTCACAGAATCAACCAGATTTTCCGTCTTGTCAATCAGTAGCTCCAGTTTCTCTCCTCTTTGAGCGACCAAGTCTGTCAGAGGACACACACAAAAAAACTACAATGAACTTCTGAGATACAAAAGCTCAAATATCACAATATTCATTTGTGATTTTTATTTTCACTTTACATTAAATTTTGATATTCTGAGGTAAAAACAAACAAACAAAAAAACACTGGACAGAAATATTTGCCATTTTGAAAAATGTCACAGAATAATGAGGTGGTAACTGCTGGAGCATCAACATACTGCGATCATTTAATTCCACATATTCCTGATCCAGTTACATGGACAATAAGTTGCATCTTTGTTTGAAAGCCCTGTATTTAAAAGAGGTCATTGAGTCAAGCGTTACTGAGCACCACGAGTGAAGTCTTGGTCAGCTAACCTATGTTGCGGACCATGATGCCTTTTAGATCATCCACTTGCATCTGAGTCTCAGTGACCCGATCTGACCCTCGTGGGTCTGAGTGGTGTTTCTATAAAGAGAAGTGAAAGTGGAGAAAGATAAGTGAAAGATAGAAATATGAAGAGGCTTTAAGTGCATGTCATGATTATGAAAGTAGCATCTGAGCCATATAAGCCTTGAGTTGAAGTTATAAAACATACACAGGCTTCAGAGCCTTGTACTCACCATTTGAGCTGCCAGTGTCGAAGAAAATTCACTGTTCATGGCGTAAGGCAGGGCTGTTTGTGCTCGGGACCCATATGTTGTTTGGAAGCGCTTCTTAACTTCACTGAGGAAGCTGAACGCCCGAGACCTCTCAAAGTCCTTTACCGCAGATAGAGTTCAAAATAAGAATAAGAATAACTTTATTTATCCTCAAAGGGAAATTCAATTGTCTGTAGTCTCATTTGTCATGTCTCAAAAAGTCATCTGCTATTTATAGAAGATCCTGTCACGCTGACACAGATGAACTAAGAAAAAAAATCAGCCACTTTTACACTTACATCATCCGTGATACACAGGTATATGATTCTGTCATGGCAGATGTAATGAAACAGATAGCTAAAAGAGAGAGAAAGAGAAGGTTTACAACGTTATGTAAAGTACATGTCTGAAGATGTATTTACTACAGGTCAAATGCAACAGTTAGACTTGAACTCTGACATGACTCTGGTATAGTCTGTAACGTCTTTACTGCTAAGATTTTTGAACCAGGAAACACTGTCTTGTGCCTTTGTGGCATGTGATACAACATCATGGTTTAAGGCAACTGTTTCAGTTTGAACTTTAAGTCAAGTTGAGCTTATTACGTATACTAATACAAAGATATCCCTTATAATCTGAGCAAACTAGTAAATCTTGGCAGGAAAACCCTTTCATCTTAATAAGCCTGCAGATAAAGTGTTTGTTGCAGAAGAATGTACTGAAACTGTTATCATAAGATTGTTCTTTATATGAGGCCATATTTTGACTTTGGAAATATCAAGTGTACATACACATTTTGCACTGTTGGAGGGCTTGCTGACCCATATTGTCACAGCACGAATGGGTTCCTTTTTATAACCCTAAAGGGGTCATAGATACGACCCTATAATCTGTGTGTGTATGTAAGATATACCTTCCATGGCTGTAGGTCAATTTGTTATTTTCTGATGGGATTTTGGCCAAAATCTGTTCAGTAACCTCCAGGAAGTTTCCTCCACACCACGCATGCTTTGCCAGGATGGTGGTTCCACGAGCCACCACAGCAAACAGGATTGCCATAGCAACAGCAGATGTTTAAGCTGATAAAACATGATAAAAAAAACAAGACGTTACTGTCAAGATAGCTCTGCTTGACAGGAATGAAACAATCTGACAGGGAATGACTGTAAGGGTACTGCTTGGAAAATAACAGAACAGTGTTTTACTGAAACGTGGAGGCAGAAAAGGATGACAGTCGCTGCTCTAGATGTAAAAACAGCCTTGAAATCCATGATTGAGCACGAGCCGTGAAAACGAGGCCAGATTAACGGTGACTGTCAAACAGCACGCTAGCTCGGTTGGCTAATAATGTTGTTTTCCAGTGTTTACAACTACGATAGATAGAAAGGTAACGCTAGCGACAACGTTAATTTATACAACGTACCGTTTAAAACAACATCGATATATATATCAGCGATTTATAATGTCTATTTAAATACCTTGTTGTATCAGCGGTGTTCAAAGTAGCTCATTTGGCACAAATTCCAACATCTAAAGAGATTCCCCCTGCTAGCAAGCTAGCTAATCCTTTTCGAGTGACTTCTGCTTGGCAAATCGCACAGACCTTAAGACCGGAAACGAAATCACTCACCCGCTGGGTAATGAAGTTCTATGTATATCCCAAACCCCTTTGCATTCATCCTTATTGAACTACATTTTTCGTAACTTCCTCGTTATCGGTGTTTTCGTCACATGTTATTATACGTCATGGTATGGTATAAGCCCTTATAATTGTCTTGCAGGCAGTTTGACTCGTTGTCTTAACGCCTGTCAGAAAGAATGTTTTTGACGAATTTGATGAAATGTAGCAAGTCCTTCAGCCAATTCTTAAATTCTTCTGTCAACAACTGTGTCAACTGTTCTGTGTTCTTCTGAAAAGCACTTGTGAATTATAAACTTTCTTTTCAAGAATTTATTTTGTCTTACTTATTTTTTATCTGGTACGCCCATTTGTTTTTACCGCAGTAACAACTTCTGTTTCGAGGGTCTTTTAAAAACTGGAAAACTGATTTTCAGTTATTGTGTGGCAAAGCGCTGCCCCCCCCCCCCCCCCCCCCCTTTGCCTGTCAGACAGCGTGAAGGTCTTACTAAGCCCAGGTCCATATTGACTTACAGACTGAGAATGTGAAGCATGGCCGGTGAAGGCGAGAAGAAACCAGTGCTGGAAATGGTGAGTTCTCCCACAGTTTGTGCTTGTTAGAACCAAGAGTATTATACGTAAGTCATGTTTATTCGTAAGACATAAATTCAAGGAAGAAAGACACGGTAGCTTTCGACCATCGCCTAACCCCCACATGTCGGCATCGAGCTGTTGAAGGCAGCAACACGTGGAGATCCATTTACACGTAAAACTGTCATCTTTATTGTAGTCTCTGAAATGTAAGTCAACAATTAAAGGCTTTATGTGAAACTATGGTGAAGCTTAAGGGTACCTACTCTTTTGTTTTCTCTGTTTTGGTGTTTTTTCCACATGGGGGCAGCAGCATCAAACCTCTGCTATTGAACTTGTTCACCATATATCGGAGATAATAAGAATTGCATGTATTTCATCGCCAAGTTAATGAGATCTCCTCTATTTCAAAAGAATGACAATGAGTCCCTTTGAAAAGTAGCTGGATATGTGGCGTGTTAATAACTACTTGCATTGTCTTGTAGGTCCAGGCAGATGGTGCTGATGAGGGCTGTGTGACATTTGTGCTTCATGATGAGGACCATACACTGGGCAACTCCCTCAGATACATGATTATGAAGAAGTCAGTGTGATGTTTTCTCTGTAAAGCTCCAGCCGGAGCAGACTCATTTCCTTTCGACTCTCTGATTCCTTCTGGCTGTTTCAAGTAATCATGTCCACAAAGGATGCTCAGCCTGAAGCTAATTCCTTCACTGATGTTTTTGCTCTCGATCTGTTAACGCAGTTGGGATCAGTTGACATTGGAAGACTTGTAATAATGATCATACACCTCCACCCATTTTAAAGGAAATGATGATAATCTCAGATGTTGTTATCTTTTTTCGGTACACCTTCAGTGCCGATGTTGAGTTCTGCGGCTACACCATCACCCACCCCTCAGAGAGCAAGATCAACTTTCGGATTCAGACTCGAGGTGAGACGCACTCCTTCGCTCTCATCAGTTTGACTTTTTCCTTTTTCCCGTATTCCAGGTTTTTTTGTCTATTCTCTGTGGATTTCGAGAGAGTTGACTATTTTTTTGGCTGCATAACAACAAACACAGATTGGAATCTGGTGATTTTGATTCGTTCGCTCACAAACAAGAAAGACTGCTGACTGTTAGTCACCCATTCGCACATGCATCTACTCTTGATGTGTTGACAGGAAACTAGCTCTTGTCTTGACACAAAAAAACAATCTGTCACCAGCTCTGCATAAACTGCCTTCTAATAACCACCCACATCACATGAAAGACCGCGAAAACAGCTTGTTTTTTGTTTTTTAAACCAAGTTTCTGTACGCCTGTGGGTTTTGTCATCAAGACACAATTACCATTGAGGCAGTAGGAAAACCCCTGGCTTCAACTGTGCCCTGATATATCGGGTTGTATTTCTCTACATCTCTGTAGTTTATATTTACTCCCATGACCACAGCGTGAAGCCATGGCCATAGGGAACAAAACATAAGATTAACAATACTCTTAACTCAAATGTGGTATATGTTGCATCATTTCTCCACTAGAAGGTCATGATGAGCTCGTCAAACAAATGTGTTTACAATCAGTACTTTGGTTAATGAATGTAGTACGGATCATGAATATACTGCTAATAATAAGACACTGGGGAAAATAAGTTACGCTTCATTTTCAATTCAGAACTGTTTTAAAGCGCACTTAAAATAAACACAAAGGTTTCCAAAGTGCTGTGCAGTAAAATGAAAATAATGAAACATAAGAAAAAGACAAAAATACTTAAGATAAAAGACCCAATAAAACACAGTAAATAAGTAGACTGTTCACCCCAGATAAGATATCTGTGTACGTAAAATCAACAACTTACATTGTGTGAAAATTCCAAGTGTGGAGGTGTGTTTGAAGAAGAGTTTCAAAGTTCAACAGTGAGGAGGCCTATCTAATATGCAGCGGGAGTTCATTTTACAATTTTGAAGCTACAACTGAAGACACTCAATCCCTCTGAGCTTCAGCCTTGTTTTGGGAACTCTCAACAGCGGCTGGTCAGCTGACCTAAGAGATCGGCGGGGTGTGTAGGGGTGCAGAAGCTCAGAGAGGTGCGACGGGGCAAGACCATTCAGAGATTTAAATGTAAATAAAAGAATTTTAAAATGAATTCTTAAATGGACAGGTAGCCAGCGGAGTGAAGCTAAAATTGGAGAAATATACTAAGACACATGTAGGGCCTGAAATTAAACTTTTTTGTAACTTTTTAATGATATGAGTGCTTATTTGACAAAAGTGTATGTCAGCAAAGTGAATCGCACATGAATTCTTAATTCAAGATCAGCAGTGTCAAAACTTGTGCCGATGGTTTGGATTATACAGTGTTTTTGTATGCGTGTTTGTGACTCAGTGATCAAGAGAAAAGGACTCTATTTAAAGATAAATTGCAGCTGTTCAGAACTCTAAACTGCATCTTTTCTCTTGGTCTAGTGTTCCCCTAGGAGCCCTCATCATGTTTGCTGCCATCATCCGGGGATGATACAAGTGTTATACTGAACTTTGCAAAGCTTAACCAGATGTTTTAGGAGTAAAAAGAAATCCCAGGGTGCTGGAGAATCATGTCAGTTGTCCTGATGTATCTATTGGTCTGTTTCAGGGGGACTTCCGGCCACAGAGCCGCTGCGGAGGGGCCTGAACGAGCTTAACGATGTTTGTCAGCATGTTCTCAACACCTTTCAGGTAAAACTGTGGGTCTGTGTGTTTGTTTTCCTCATCTCAGGTTTCTCGAAAGCAGACTTCCAGCTGTAGTGGTGTCATCGATCTGTGATTTAAGCTTTTCTAATGGTTCATAAAGAAAAACAATCAGTTTTTAAGGCTGCTTGCAGTAAACTTCACAACTGTATATAGATTATATTTCTCCTGATACAATAACCTTAGTTTATGTTATATGATTTATGTTATGATGTGATTGACAAAACTGAGTTCTCAATGTGATTTTTGAGGGTACAAGTGCTCCCATTTATGGTCAATCTTTAAAGAAGTGCCTGCTTTATCAAACTGTGATTTATGATGCTTTTACTTTGCTTTTTCATTATTTTACACTTTTTACTAAACCTGTTTTAGTTGTTTTATTGTCTGTTTTGATGGGTGTGGAGAACACACATGCTCTCACGAGGAGGAGAAATAGAGATCTTCCAGTTCTTTATTGATAGCAGATGGGAGTCTTCTACAGATGTGAATGAAAAATGATCTTTGAAGGCCATTCAGGTATAAATATAGTGAAAAAGCTGAATAATTTCTGTCTGTTATCTAGGGCTGAAATCAACCAAAGAAATTCTTGGTCTACTAAAACCTTAAAATTTTCAACTGCTGATCAACTAATACTGGGGACGACGCGGCTCGGTGGAGTGCGGCTCGGTAGGGTGAAAATATACTTGTATCAGCACAAGAAGGCAATAAAACACAAATATTATATTCAGCAAACCACCAGGCGTTGATTAAAGTGGACACTCTTCAATCTTCCTGTCTCCAGACGGTCTCCAATGGGTTGGGCGAATCCAAAATGGTGAAAACAGGGGCGATGTTCTGAAAACACCCCCATTAGCACTTTGTACGTTCTTCCTGATGAAATTCACCATAGACTGTAAATTGACAGGGGAAAAAAATCGAGTCGACCAATCAGAATTTTGGTCGACTCAGCACATATCAACCAGTCGACATGGACTTTACAGCCCTACTGTTATCTAAGAAAGAATCTCAGACAGTTAGACTGTTTCATTTGAGCTTTGAGTAAATTACTGTTAAAACAGAATAAACACAGATTATCTTCTAGTCTAGCTCAGAACTTGAAACCACAATCATGGGGAAAACCACTGACTTCACAGCTGTCCTGAAGACGATCATGGGCAGCCTCCACCGTGAGTCACAGAAGGTCATCGCTGAAAGGATCAACTGTTCGCAGAGTGGCGTAATGAAAAATATTACTGGAAAGTTGACTGGGAGGGAAAAGTGAGGGAAACAAAGATACACATGCAACAGGGATGACTGTAGCCTTGAGAGGGTTGTCAAGAAAAATTGATGGAAGAATTTAAAAGAGTTTCAAAAGGAGAGGACTGAGGCGTCAAGAGCAACTGAGCACAGACGTCAGATCTTAGCCCGGATATTTGTCTTACCTGGGCTGAGGTGACAAAGAACTGGTCTGTTGCTCAGTGGTCCTCAAGTCCTGTTTTCAGACAAAAGTCAATTTTAGTTTTATTTGGAAATTGAGGTCCCAGAGCGAAGTGTTTAAAGTCTAGTGTCTAGTCTCGTCGTCTGCCGGTGTTGGTACATTGTGTCTTATCAAGTCCAAAGTCAGCGCAGCTGTCCACCAGGAGATGCACACACAACTATCAAATACTTTGCAAGCTGTGATAGTACAGCACTCCATTGCCCTGCCTGCTCACCTTACCTGAACATTTGGGGAATTGTCGAGAGGCAGATGAGACACACCTGCCCCAAAAATACAGATGAGCTGAAGGCTGCTCCTTAAGCAAACTTGTGGTTCAGGAACCCCTCAGCAGTGCCTCCTTCACACCACATTGCTCAGAAGGTCTTATTCACTGCTGGCCTCATAAACATTGTAAAAATCCTGTTTTTATCACTCTTTTCATCACTTTCAAATGTTGTTATAAATCCCCAAAGATGCATTAATATAGCTTTAGAAATGTGCTCATGATGCATTACTAGAAGTGGGTTCATATAAAGTGTTGACAGTTTTTTTTTACTGCTATGACCAAGCGTTTTTCTGATTTACAAAAGCATCTAAGCAGTCCCACTGACTTCCTATCAAATATGATTAATGTCATACTAGTACAAAGTAACTACTAATGTTTTAGTCATCTGCTAACAGAGCTTTTTCAGAAAATTAGAGATTCAACCTGAAATATTAAGCCTGACACATGCATTTTGGTCTTATGGGTCTTTCATGAACTCTGCCATATAAATGTGCTGAGAGGAAAAACACTTTAAATTAAGTGTGTTTGATGACTCAATAAATATCAAGTTCAGGTGGATCACTTTCCAGCCCAAATGGGGCTAGTTTAGATACTGGCATCCAAATGTCCACATTTTCTGTTGATAAAGCACCAAAAGTAAGCTGATTCTTGGCAGAAGCAAAGGCTTGGGTAATAAGCAAGGCAAGTCATCACAGGCATACTATTTTGTCAGCTGTCAGCGGCTTTCACCAAGCTAAAAAGTCCCACGGGTAAGAAAAGCAAGCAACCATAATTTCCACACGAGGATTTTATTTTCATGTGGGACACAGGAAGAACCTTGGATTCTCTGCTTGGCTGAAAATATGAGCCCTCTGCTAAGAGGAAAAATCATCCAGCATTGATTTGATTTACGCTTCCCACACTGTCGCAGCTCTACTCCTAACTACGTCCCTTTTTCTTTTTCCAGGCGAGAGTTGGCGAATTCAAAGACGGGCAAGAGCAACCCATGGAATGAAGAGCATGACACACAAGTGCTAATGAATCTGTCAAGACCCAGCTTCCCAACACAAGTTGTAGAAAACAGATTTTGCATATAGATGAGTGGGGAAACATTTATCTTGTTGAATCAGTTCCCATCCAAACATTTGTACAGTTTTTTTATTACGTTGTCTTTATGATAAATGTGTATGATAAATGTGTATGAGTCCTGTGTTGATCAGTCTGGAAGAGTAAGTAAAAGACATTGAACTTGGACAGTAAGACTTTCATTTCCTTCTCCCTTTTTAATTTCATGGAAATGCTCCTGGACACAAAGCCATTATTCCCATAACAACTCGTATAACTTTGTTTGAAGGGTGTCCAGAGCTTAAGACACCGGATCACTCTCATCTGTCATCCTACACAGTGTAAAAAGAGTGAGCAGTAATCTAGAAAGCCCTTATTAGCAGGGGAATGTGCTGTGAGGGACTTTATACAGTGCCAGAAAGACAGACTGGAAATATGAGGGGAGTCAAGTGTAAATAATGAGGGTCAAGTTATTTGAGGTCAGTCATCTTCCTCTGTCAGTCACATGTTCCTGCTTGGCTGCGATGGTGATTATGGAGCACAGTTTGGGGAGGAAATGGCCTCTTACCTAGAGTCTAATTTTTACAGGGAACAGAATATGCCTAACGGGTATAAGGATCCAATCAAGAGGGAATTAGACTAATATTTATCTATCAAACTGGTCAATTATTGTTAGCTGGGGAGCTAACTAATGAACACACAGAAAAGTCAGATTGTCCTTTTAGTACAGTGACATGTATCCAGAGCTTGTTTACATTGGCTGTGTTAGTAATCTGAGTCTGGAAGAGGGAATTTGTTATCTCTCAAATAACATCAGGCCTGAGCACAAACAGAAAAAAATTAATGAGAAGAAAATGATTTATTTACAGTGGCGCAGAAACCAAAGTCCCGCTGTTATTTACCAGGAATCATTTTGAGTATTGCACCATGCCTGATGTGTTCCTCTTATTAATGTCCCATTGCAATAAAGCTCAGAGTTCAGTTTGTGGGTGAGGAAGTATTGGCTCATAGCAAGTTTTATTTGAAACATATGACACTCGAGGATGTTTGCTTCACTAATTTCATAAGGACATGTAAAAAAGTCACTCTCAGTATTTTGGCAGACATACTTGGTGATCTGACATGAGCCAACCCAGTCTTTGAGCTGTAGTCCACCTATGTCAGACAGTCTATTTGGTATCCTAACTCTCTTTGTGGCATCTGTCAAGTCTGAATAGTTTTAGGCTGTTAATTGAAATACATTGAAGAAATTGAGAGTTTTGAATGAATGTAGATTTGTGCTGCTCCTGCAAACAACAAAGTTTATCTTTCAGTACCTGTGAGGCACAGACCTGCTCCTCTTACCTGTCCAGTAGGATCACTTTGAAATCATTTGTCTCTGATGCTCACATTTTGTTTTTTTGTGGGTCATATAGTACGAATGAGGATTAGGGCTACATGAAGAGAAAAAAAAAAATTACAGGATGGAGATAAAAGTCAACATTTCAAGATTAAAGTTGAAATTTCAAAATTAAAAAATTGAAATTATGTCAATAAAGTAGAAATTTTGAGACAAAATATTTAAATTTTGAGATTAAATGCTAAAATGTGAATAATGTTGAAATTTTCAGATTTGTCAAAATTTCAACTTGATTCACGTAGTTTTGATTCTTTTAATCTCGAAATTTCAACTTTAATGTCGAAATTTCAATTTTTCATTTTGACATTTTAAAATTTTGACTTTAATCTCGAAATTTTGACTTTAATCTTGAAATGGAAATGGAAAAAAAGTGTAATTTCCCCCCCCTCTTCCTATGGCCCTAATCCTCTTTCACAATTTAGAGCCTCTGCCGATAGCACTGATAAAGTTTGATAATCTGTTGAATGCTCCCTACAGTATGTTTGATGCAGCATGCATTTGACTTTGGGGTTATCTATGCCAATTGACTCCAGCCAATGCGCTTTATGAGATGCCCCCTCACCCCCCTCCAAAAAAAAAAAAAAGTCTTGTTTTTACTCTGGGAGAGTAAATGGTCGGTATTGTTGAAATTAAACCCCAGAAGCAGACCTCTCTGAGTCACTGAAGCCACTTGAGAAAATAAAGAAGCGACTATGTGTGAGTTTCTCCACGGTGTGAAACCTGTGGCTGCCTTCAGGAAACAATTTACTGAGTCCAAAAAAACAGGAGGTGTCACATGGATCAGTGTAAAAGATCTTTTTGTGATAGTCCATCAGCAGTTGTCTCCCAAAACTAGCTTCTTGGAACTGGCCCCTGAAACCAATGTTGTCCCAGCAATTATATTAAAAAGAAAAACACTCGCAGAAAGGCCACACAGCACATTCCCGTTCACTCATCTTTCCATGAAATGGGATGCTATTAAACACCAGCTCTTCTGAAAACTGAAGGGAAGCCCTGATACATGTGATGTAATACTTGACCTCTCTAAATTACAGAGGGAACTGATTGTTTGCTGCTGTCAAGAGTATCACCTTCCCATAGCACAGATGTTTTCTAACTTTGAAGACACAGCCCAGTAACTTTCAAGCTTTTCAGGGCTCTCATACTAATACTCTGATGTGAAAGTTGTCAAAACTGATTATTACTAATTTGCAGAGAAGTCCACAAACACCACAAGTTATTGAAATGAGTGCTTGGGAGGCTCTGTGGAGTTTTCTCTGAACAGGCTGAGGGTTTTAGAGTCTCTACTTTTAAATTCACTTACTTAGACCAATCTGTTGGGCACGTTTCCCTTATGAATAATCCCAAAGCAATAGTGTTTGCTAGCTTGGAGTCTCCTACCCTACTTTTGTTGGTGCATTGATGCCGACTGTTAGCAGATGAAAAAGTACTCATGTTGTACTTTTTTCCAGTCTTTGACCACTCAGCTTAACTACTCATTCACACCCCATTAGGTGCCCAATATTTCTGACAGACATATTAAGAACTTTGACGAGGATCCTCCCATATATACAGATTTATTGTACAAAAGTAAATATTTTATCAGCAATGGTGGGAATACATTGTTAGTGGCCAAAAATGACCTTGAATACATGCACCATATGCAAATATCTCAAACAAATAAATGCTAGAAAATTGTATTTAATACATACTCTCAGGAAAACAAAAACATTAAATGTAACTGAAAAAAGCAGACTAAGTATTCACATTACAGTTTATTTTCCATCTCAGTAGCTTGCCCCCATAGACAGGCACAAAGCTGCTTATACTGCCCAGCACACAGTTGCTCAAAGATGTATCTAAAACCAGACTGATGATGATATACAGCAATATGTGGAGTGTATACGTTTCTATAAACATATCTTTATTTGAATGCAGCATGAAGGGGAACCATGTTTCAGTGTCATGGCTGTTCTGGTTTCAGGTCTGAGTATAGTTGTAGCAGATTTTGTATGAATGGGGGAAAACAGTGTGAGTGGACAGCTGGGAAGGCTGAACACAATTCAATCCATGATGAACTCAACTTCATGTCTGAAGTCGCTAACCCCACAGTCAACAATGAGGCTCACACAGACAAGGATACTTTTGGTCTGGATATCCTTCATCTGTAATGTGGCTATCAGATGAGTCATGCAGTTGACCATGAGGTGTTATCACAGTCGGCTGCAGCTGTCCATGAGTTCTGAGATAGCATACAGCATGATCAACAAGGTAGAGTCTTAACAAACCCTATTCATTTAAACATCATAGTACATGGATCAACACTATTTCAAAATGCTTCAGTGTAAACAAACACCTTGTCAGGTTCCTCGACACGGATTTGGCTTTTTTACCCAGTTTTCCAGACAACTTTAAATATCTCCATTTTACTTCTTCATTCTGCAGCCAATCAATCAGAACATGCATATTTTCCCAAAAGATAAAACAAATAACAAATCATCTGCATATTCTCTCTGATAGTTTTAGAGGCTTGTTATCAGACACCACCTGCAGTTTTCCAGCTTGTGGAGCCAAAAACTGTGTGAAAGGTTTTTTCTCTTTTTGTTAGTATCACATGATTTGTCACAAGTATGTGACTAATGAGCACTTGACTTGCAGCTAACTTTGGCGGCAGACCTCTAAATCTTAGTGATTAAAAAATACTTGGATCTCTTGGTGTTTTTTCGTTCTTTCACTGTGAAATAGCCATCTTCACATTGCTGTTTAAACACATATTGTCAGCTAAAAATCCTCTATTATATTGAAAGAAAAAAATACCTAAATAATTTCTGATTATTATTGTAGAAAAAAGATTTCCTTCAATCTTCAGTAAAAATATTCAGCTCTTAAAAACAACCATCTGTACAGGATTTCTCTTTCCTTCCTTTCTTAAAGCTTTTGAATGAATACGTTTTAGAAAATATATTCCTTAAGCAGCTCTCAGAAGTCATTTTCAGAGTAATTTCCTGCCACAGTAACATCTTCGTAACAGGACCACAGAGTGTTTGGCATTCATAAATAGATACTGCGGTTTGGAAAAAGCAGACGAACAGACCTGGGAGTATTTTGTGGTATTCTCGTAGAAAAATAGAAGCTACATCGTCACAGAAAGGTTAAGACTTTCTCTTTAAGTGGAAACAGAGACCACTTGTCACAGCATGAACGCAGCCATAGTGCAGGTTCTGATAATGACCTTTCCGGCAGTATGATGGGAATCAGCTGGTGTCTTTCAGCTTTCTTGGACAACAGCTGCCCTCCATATGACCACTTGAAGCAGCAATGATTTCCAGATAACAGATGTTCGATGTTTGACTCTCCCAATGGTTGTTAGACACAGTGGGGCCCATTTTACTCTGGTATGATGTCACCAGGGCATGGGAGGGAGCGTGGTGACATCATGCAGTAAATTGAACGGCTATTGTGTTTGTACATTAATGTTTTCCTGTGTCGGTCCTGTTATCCATACATGACACACTAAGACTCGATAGTATCATACATATCAATAATCCTGTACACAGACTCTGGTGTGGATCTGATTAACATTCCTCGTAAGTGTATTTTTAGCCATGACAGACTGTCAGGTCTCTCCATATGAACACATGAATGTAGCTTTGGTCTCCCTGCTTTGTTTGCAGTGAGTATTTCAGTCTGAACAGTGACAGTCCTGTTATTTCAATTATCAGTTTTGATTGATCGGTCTTGTATTAGTCTGCTCTGCATCCACCACCAAGAGGCCTCTCCAACCACCCCCCCCACCCCACCCCCCCACTCGTCATCGGGATCTGTTTGGCAGTGACACAGCTGTTTCTCCATGTTGGACACTGTCAGAAACATGGTTTTGGCAGAAGATGAGTGCGATGAGCGTGCGTCTGTGTGTCTATGAAGAGCTTGTGTATTTCTGACTGGAGCGGGAGCTGGAGCGGTCTAGTCCATTTCCTTGACAAGAGCCTTTCCAGCGTCCTCCTGAACCAGGTCCATCCAGGGGGGATGTTCTGTAGCACCAGCAGCACAAGCAAGACTGTGAAACAAAACACACACACACAAAGACACGTGAATACAAGCTGTTGCTCTCCTGTTGACGACTGACTCTTAAAATGTTTTACTGTCTCTGACAGTTTGAGCCCTCTTACCTGGAAGCAGTTTTTAAACTTCTGGCTGACAAAGTAGAGGGCAATGGGGTTGATGCAAGAGTTAAGCGAGGCCATGTTGATGCCGATGTAGTCCATCACTAACAGGAAGCTGGCAGGGAAAAAGGGCAAAGGGCATAGTAAAGACTACAGGAAGTCACAGAGCTGAGAACAATGGATGTTTGCACTTTATCTGCGTCTCTTGCCGCCACTGCGTGCCTACCTGAGCAGTTCACAGCGGTTGGGGTCATACTCGTCGTAGATTGTTTTCTTCAGTATACGGCTCAGATGAAGCGGCAGCCAGCAGAGAGCAAAAATCAACACCAGGCAGAACACTGTCTTTGCTACTTCCCTCCGCTGCGCACACAAAAATAAAGATCCACGTCACTGAGAGCAGTTTTATTTATGGTTAAGAGGCCCTGCAGTCTTAACTTAATCCTGTGTACCTGTTTCATGTGGTCGTTGAGTGCGATGCGCATGCCTTTTTTGCGACTGAGCATCTCACAGGACATGAGCGTGTAGAAGATTCCTGTGCAGGCCAAAGGGAGGCAGAAATAGAAACCAAACAGCCACCAGTCTTTCACATCATGGTAGAACTGAAAGATGAAGAAAAAAACTCAGTCAGAAAATGTGACTCAACCTAACTCATGAAAACCTTAAATTCCAGCTCACTAAAACAGTCAAAGGCTAATGCAGACAGGAAGTGGAGTCAATATCAGGTATTTTATTCCTAAAAATTAAAACTGAGTTTGATTAAGCTCAAAGACTTAGGCAGTAGTGTTGTGTTGTTCACGAATGATTCCTTCAAAAGAACCAAATCTTTTCAGTGAATGTACTGAATAGAATCACTTCCTCAAGTGATTTGTTCGTTTCTCACTTCAGTTCAAGTGTCTTCGAAGCACACAGCATTGCCGGGTGAGCAGCCGGCGAGCAAGGGACCGCACGCACTGACGTCTGAATCACCTGGTGAACGAATTACGCAGTGAACTACACTCTCTGGAATCATTTTTGTCTGAGGGATACACTTTCATGGCTCCCGCTGTTCCCCTTTGTTTTAACAGATTTAGTTCCTAATTAAACAAACTTAAAACGTTCGACTGGTAGTAATGGGAAGACAGTGAGACTCACCAGCTGTAGCAAGCTCTTGACAGGAGCGACAGAGGGAGATAAGGGTGTGTCTTGTTTAAGTGTATCTCAGAGAAAACTGACTTTTTTTTTTTTTTTAACTCTGCTAAGTTACCACCACAACAACTTGCATACAGTAGGACACAGCATGTAAAAGGTAGTGTATAATACCCACAGTTTCATTCTCCACTGAATGTACTGTGGGGTAAACATTCAGTGAACGAATCACTCACTAAGCCCAGTTTACAGAGAACGACTCTTTTTAGTGAACTGATTCTAGTGATTCGGTACATCTAAAAGAACTGCTGTGCCCATCACTATTTGGCAGAAGTAGTAACTTCTGTCTGTGCTCAAAACCTGTTTTTTCAATGAATCAAGGATGCGGTCTACATAAATTACACATTTACACAGTAGTTTACCATCTCAGGCGTCTCCTTATGTTTCTGTTATAATCGAAAAATCACAAGTGAAAAACTCAAAATGGAAACATGGAACAAACTTTCGCCTCATTTTCAACATGAATCTGTATTTACTTGTGGCCTCTCTGGTTCAAATGAACTTGAAGTGTTCACATATTGGAAATATCACTTTGAATTTTTGTCGAGCTGTGCAGCTGCATACCACGAATGTGAGGAACAGCCACGTTGAGATGATTTAGAAGCACTTATTACCTACTTGCTGGCACATCTTCACACAGAAAAACAGATCCTGATTGGAGAAAGACTAATCTGGTGCTGTTGAGGATCTGGGCGTCAAAGCAAACATCCTGGCAATGCTCAGAGTTGAAAGTAGCCTTGAGCGCAGGTTGAGCAATAACCATCAATTTGGTGTGACTTGGCCTTATCGAACAGACCTGAACTGGTGTGCAGGATATTCTGACCATATGAGAATGTAGTCCATCTCAAACATATTGACTTGATACATTACTACAGTCCTTGCCAAAGTACGTTTATACACTAATCACATTTTCCCGGAAGGAACATGAAAGTATTCAAGGTTATAATTTACAGAGCTGTTTTTTTTCCTATAGCTGACATATTCCACATAGTTCCTTTGAGTTTAAAGCATTTTTTCCCCCTATATAAAAGGTGTAGGAATGATGTCAGATAATTACTTAAGCGTTTGAACTTCAAACCAGATCTGCTGAGATGATTTTAAAATTTGTAGTCATGGTTTCCTCAAGGAAAGATGCCTGTGTGTTCAGATGTACTCCTCCTCGAGTCCAAGAAAGTGAAAAAAAGGTCAAAGCTAATGCTGATCAAAATGCCACAAAACTAAGCACATTCCCATCAGGGGATAATTTCTTGGGCGCTTAATCGCTGTAAGTGTATTAGCTTATTAAGTTAACCGCTTTCGAACAAATGCTATCATGGATCAAACAGGCTACTTAGTCGTAAACATGTCTCCAAATACCATCGCTGTGATGTCATTGTAAACGTTTCAGTGTGTTAGTATAACCATCTATCAAAATACCTTTAAAAAGAGAGAGAGCCTACAGTTTTGACTATTTAGACCACCATATTTCATCTATTACTGTAAACATATGAACGTATGAAAATAGGAGAAGAGCTTCAATCAAACCATGCAGATGAAGACGTGTCTTTAGTTTTCTTTTACGCTGATTGACACCAAAGGGAATTTTCACAAAGTGACAGTAATATCAGACCAACACAGTTATCTTAGCCACTATGAAACTTTCAGATTCAATGGCTGCTTATACATTAGTGAATAATAATCCACAATAAGATTAAATGACAAACCTCTGATTTCTTTGTACACCGCGACATCAAAACTTAAAGTTTTAAAGTGTGGTCAAAGTTGTACTTCTCACCAAGCCCTCACCTTCATAAAGCTGCTGGTCTGTTGTGGAGGTAGCATACACACACGGAGCTTGTTGCCTCTGTACGGCATCTCCAGCATGTCAAATGCCAGTGCCTCTGGGACTGCCAGCAACACTGCAACCAGCCAGATCAGAGTCACCTCCACTGCTTTCCACAGAGGAATCCCCATGCCCTTCACTCTACTCCACGACGTCACTGCATGGTAGCTACACAAACAAAGGTAAATGCATTAGCAGCTCTTAGAAGTGGTATTTGTCATGTGTGACGAGTCAGTGTCCACTTACCGGTCAATGCTGAGTGCACACAGGCTGAGGACAGTGATTCCTACAGAAGCTTTCTGGATGAACGGGAACAGTTTACAGATGTACACGCCAAACGGCCAATCCTCAGCTATAAGCTACAGAAGAGAAGACAGAAAGACCAAGGGGTTGTTTAAAGAGAGAGTGCTGTGGGAAGTGTCACCTATAAAGCCACAAGGGAAGGCCTGTTTGACACTCATGAAAGGTTGCTTTCTTTGCTCTGTCTTTGATTATCACTGCAGCCTAAATAAATACTCTCTACTTCCTCTCTCCTCACGCCCAGGAGACATAAAATCAGTTCAGCATCAGGTCAAGATCTCCAACAACAAATCCATCAATAATTCTCATAACGAGTGCTTCCTAATCAGCTGCTCTTAGAGCAGCACAGCTCTCTTGTTATCAGGTTTCATGAGTTTCTAGTTGTTAAAACAAAGTCTGTTCTCATTACAGCTGATGCTGTTCCTCATCACATTTTATTACTATCATCTTTTGTTTTCACTCACACTTTGAGGCTGTCACAAAAATCTAAACGGTAAGTCTCTTTTAAGAGGAGAATATAAATAAGGCAGATTTTTACTTTATTTGGCCATGATCAAACATGCAGAACAGTCCAGTTTGTTAAAGTGAAAAGCCTCTTATCAGATGGAGAAAAAAAAGACCACTTTCACATCATGTTTTTTATCTTTCTTTTTGGATATGGGGTTGCTGCAGCAAGCTGAGTTTCAGGTTTTGGCAGAGACTGCAGGAGCCTGCTGGAATTTTTATGGCATACTCAAAAAAAAAAGAAGCAAATTTCGAAACAAGCACGCAGTTATCACTCTAATGACACGATTCAGGTTTCCAACTGCTTCTGACTCACAACTGTTTTTAATGGTTTTATTTAATGTGATATATCCCCTGAAGTACAGGTGAAATAGCCTCTACAGCCTGTAATGAATAAGAGAATTAAGAAAACCACAGTGAGCACACTGGATAAGGAGAAGTGGAGGAAATAAACTCTTAAAAACTCACAGACTGTGCCAAGAAAAGAATTTCAAACATCGAAATCAGCACAGGGCCAAACAGTGATGCCAGGTTCATTTAGAGTCAAGTCACAATGTATTAGACTCAAACAAGGGCTAATTAGCTTAAACCATACAAAAAAAAAAAAGAAGAAGGCTCTGAACTTTTGTTTTTGCATACTTTGGGAATTTGGGCAATATTATGACTTGATATGTGACTGACATGTAATAATCAGTTTTGAAAAAATGATGCACAAGGTTTTTATCACTTATAGAAATCAGAAAAACACCAGAAACAAACAGAGACAGACACAAATGAAGGTTTTCGGTCACCTTAAACACATTGATAGGGATCGCGATGATGATATAAAGCAGGTCCCCCAGAGCCAAGCTGCCAATCAGGACGTTGGGTCCGTTCCTCATGCACTTGTTTTTATATATGATCCTGAGCAGCGAGGAGTTGCCGATGATCCCCACCACAAAGATCAGACAGGAAACGATGGTGTTCACATACTTAAATGCATGCTTGATCTCTGTAGGCTTTATGCACATGGGGGGGAAGGGCCCCCTCGGCCGAGCAGGCTGTAGAGGTGGAAGGGGCACAGAGGCGTTGTTCTTGGAGAGCTCTGAAGGTTCAGGGCTGCTTTGGGAGTCGCGGGTGAATCGAGAGGCTCTGACCTCCACAAGTATCAGGAGACATAATAGAGCGATGGTCTTCATCCTGAGACTCACACGGGAAGATGTACTCTCACGCTGAAGGCACTCAGTGTCTTAAAACACACTTATAAAAAATCACACACACATATTCACACACTCACACACACATCCACACACAGGGCCAAGCTCTGGACCTGGCAGCGTGGGTCCCAGTCCCAGCTTGTTTTGTCCTGCAAAGACAAAAGACAAACGATTACTAAAAATTTAAGCAAGTGTTTCCTACTTTGAAGTTTTCTTTTACAAAGACATTTGTGGTCCCTTGAAGATGAATCCTCCAGACTTTGGGGACTGTCTGAGTTTTTCAATGTGCATGAGCTGGCAGGAGTTTCAGGCTCTCTAATTTTTTCCGGCAGCTTTTTGAAAAAAGTCCACTAGTCTTGACTCAGACAGAAGGATTTGACAGATTATATTCTGTCATGCAAACACTCAAGCATTCAGTGTTCTGGTTCTTGCATTTTTGCTTGTGCTCGCTGTTGGCATCAGGTTTTTCATCAAGAGATGGTTATACATAGCAGACAGCTGTGCACAAGCAACATTTAACCATGAATGCCGAGCCTGTTTAGCCTGGTAAGCCTCATGGCAAGCCGGAGGTCAGCCTCTTCCTCTGCAGAGTCGGCCATCTTGGGGACTTAATCGAGTATTGCCTGCGGCGTGGATGAGTGATTGAATTAGTTGGTCAAACTTTTTACGCACCCTGTGTAAAACCCCATCATCTTATTCTGGCAATCATGGCTGTCCATGTTATACCACTTTTGTTTGATGCTTGAGTGAAATATCTACAACTTTCCAAAAACCTTTGGCGCACATATTCATGTCCTCTTAAAAATAACCTGTCACTTTAACCTCAGGGAATTTCTTATTTGTCAAAGAGCCATCAATATTACAAAACAAATCAAACTCTGATCACCCTGAGTGCATGATCATTTCACTTTTTGTCTGGCAGGTTACACATAAACACTTGAAGTGGATGTACTTTCAACTTGATGGCAAAGAGGTTTCTGTAATTCAGATTGTTCTGTACTTGCTAAAACCAAATAAACCATCAAACGACAGAAGTAATCAAAATGAAAGGAGAGAAAACAAAATGGACTGAGGGAGAGGAGAGCGCTGGACTACAAAACAGGCAAAATGTGATGACTGGGGTGAGATAAGGGAAAGAGCTTTCATCTCTCTCTTTGTGTGTGTGTGTGTGTGTGTGTGTGTGACAGATATTTTACGACTCTCACAGAAGACCCTAACTAGTTCCTGGGCCTCTCAAGAGTCATGTGTACTCCCTAGAATGCCCTGGGGCATCTTTAGGGATAAAAGGGCTTATTGATAAAGTCTGCAATATCTTTAGAGACATGCTAACAGGCACACACATGCACACACACTCACAAGAATTGCACACTTTCATGACACCATGAAAGGCAAAAGACCAAGGACAAAGGCTTAGGGTAGTTTTTTCTACTTTGTGATCACATATATAGAGCTATAATTATTCTTACATAACACATTAATACACAAACGACTAATTTACGAGCTGCTCAGCCCCGTAAAGACTGAGGTTTGTTCTGAACACACACACACACACACACACACACACACACACACACAAAGAAACAAAATCACATGGATGAACTCACAGACATGTCACAAGAATCCATTTTGAAAAATTTGGCTAAGGTCCAGACATGCTCTGCCTGTCACATGAATCATGTCTTTGTGCCACATAACATGGTAGGGGCCTCATTAGTCCATGTCAGCGCAGCACTGTCTGATCTGATCAGAAAGCTGAGTTTTAGTTGGGCAAACCTTTTTAATCTAATGTATCAATGGAAAGTGTAGAAGTATAGACAGAAAAAGACTGATATTAGGGAAACTTTACTGGTCCTGCTTAAAGAACAAAAGGAGGACAATATTGAGTACCATGAAGGCACAGTGAGGACAGAGCGGAAGAACTAAAAGCTAAAGTCAAACGTCTGAGAGAGCACGAGTCATGAGAGTGACCTGGAGCCAAAAGAGAGGCGATAAAACGGAGATAACAGGAAGAAGTGGAGAGAGAGAGGACAAACTGCAATATAAGCAACGCCACAGATATTCTTTTAGATTTGAGTAAACTGATTATAAAAATGTAATAAAATATATATATCTTTGACTATCATTTAATAATCTGGAATTTTTCCATTCAAATATATACTTTCTTATAATGTCTAAGGATTTGGACAGGACTGTAAACAACCTTTTATCTGCTGATCCTCCCTGTTACAACATTTGACATATTCTTGCCTTTATCAGGCTGCAGTTGTGGATTTATTCAGATACTTTACTAACAGATAGTAAAGGTAGTTACAGCAAAAACACACAAACTCTATCAAAGTCCTGTATTAAACATCCTGAGGGCACAAATGACACAATACCTGCAAACTATGCTCAAAGTGTGAATGGTTTATGTTTGGTGCCTTATGTGTTGAGAGTTGTCATGAATATTATTATCATTTTAGCTGTCAGATAGTTTATATTGAGTTTGTAGGCAGAGCACTGTAGCACTATTTCATATTCAGTTATTGCGCATAGTCCTGATGTTTTTAACATATGTATCAGGTGCATATTAAGGGTCATTCTATAAATCTCTGAGGCCATAAGATTTTTTATAGGAGCATATAGACATAGAAACATCCTTTTTGTGCCCCTATCCTAATACTAAACTGTGATGGAGGACTTAGTTCAAGTGTCTTTATGTCAAAATACCCAAAGCCTCACAATTGAGCTAGAGAAGCAATTAAGTCACTTTTTTTCAATTTAAACTTATTTTCTATCACAAAATGAGTATCATCAAAGTCTGAACCAAAGTCTAACTTTGTCACATTGAATAAGACAACTTTAAGGGGAATTACAAATTCCTGTCTCACTTAACATTTAACTGCTGGGTGGATTTGTTTTGGTTGAGGAAGGACAAATTCATACACAAGAACAAGCACATAAACATAGAAAGTTTGAGTCAAAGCTAAAATGCAACCCTTAATATTTGTTTATTCATCACCCGTTTTATTTTAAGACAATGATGGACAATGCAAAGAAAACAGGATCTTTTCCTCATATCCTGCAGGCCTGGTTCTGAAGCTGTCTCACTGCATGAAAAACTTAACATTCAGCTGAAACACCGCAGGACAACAAACCACGACAAAATACACAAACAACTATGAAATTAAAGCTGTTTTCTCTCAGCACCAACTGATCGTGGAGTTTACAATGTGTTGGGTAAATAGGCATTACAGAGATGTTGATTCAATGTGGTCAATTTTGGACATATGGTTTTTGGTATTTTGCAAGATGTTCCTATTATTTTGTTTCCCAGATACTCAGTAAGAAACAACAGGCACACCTAAAGGCTTTAACAGGAATGTTGCGTGTGTCTAAATCTGCAAACATCAATGCACATGTCCAACTGTTTGGATTTCCAACATGGGATGAGAGATAGCCCAAAGTCAAAAAAGTCAAACCTGAGTTATTCCACTGCATCCAATTTGGCAAATGTGACAGTTAAAGTTTATATAGACTCATTTCTTTTCATTTTCAAGGTGTAAAAATGTGTTTTTCTGCCAGTTCCCTGGTGTTCAATGGTTTCCCACATAAAAGGATCCAATAAATCTCAGACAGCAGGAGAGAGCCAGTGAACTGGGCCCAGCTTTACTCTCTTGATTGAAATGTTGTTGTGGGGGCAACGCAACACATCCATCAAATACAAGACTGTATAGAGTCCCCCGAGTAGCCAATACATTTGCGTCACATAATCTGCAGGTCATGAAATCAAAGTGTGCAAATCCTGTGACTAATTACACAAATAGATCAACACTGTCAGAGTGTGAAGCTACAAGACAGCCTGCCTGCCTTCTCCTATCTGTGTTACCCCTTTGAAAACAAAGTTATTATGGTATAGGTCATAAAAACTTCAACCAAGTCAGAATTTAAGACTACCATGCCAAAAAGAGAATTATGAGGGTGAAATAACTTCACTAATTCATCATGCAAACTTTTCATTTTGCTCATAAATCTGATAGATAGATAGATAGATAGATAGATAGATAGATAGATAGATAGATAGAAATTTGAGTTTTTCCCACAGGACCTCTGAGATCTGAGGTTGCACAGCGGGGTTGTCTGCAGTCATGTGTTCGTGGTTAGCCTACTTTTTTCATAAAGTGCACACAGTGAAACCACTCTTGGCTAGCCTTCTCAATATTACGCTGGTTTAATATTACGCAGCCAAAACTTACCTGACCGCAGAGTTGTGATGTGGTCAAGGCCAAAGTTTTCCGATCAATAATCCAGCAAGGTTCCACTGTTTCGCCAATTTTCGCTCTGATAAATCACGTTTCTCTGGTGAGTTGCAGTAGTAAAATTCACGGCGTGTACAGTGCGTCCCGCTGTGAGCCGGGGTCCTCTGCTCCCTCCTCTGCCTGCGCTCTGACGCACAGAGGGACGGTGCAGGCTTTATAAGCTTGAGCGGGGAAGCTGCACAGGCAACCAATCATATGCCAAGTACGAGCATCCTTCTCCCTTGCTGTACGGACGCAAATAATTTACGCGCATAAAACTTTTAAAAAACTTTTACCTAAAAGTTAAATGTGTGTGTCACATCAGGTTTTCCCGTCTTTTTAAGACCGTGTAATTCTTTTTAATTTCTTTCCTCTTTTGATGACGCACAGGCAGAGATGAAAGAGAGGTTGTTCCCCCTTGCCGTGCTGTAAAACTTCCATTGAAACACCGCTGTCATAAGAATAGTGCAGCCCCCAGGCTCTCCCTGCAACAACTTAGTCCAGAACACAAGATACACTCAGCTCCTGACATCTGCTCTTTCACCAGAGCACTTACAATAACAATTGTTCACCTTGCTGAGTCTTATCTCAAATTTATGAGTGTCATTTACAGGACAAATCTGAGTGTAATAATAATAATAATAATAATAATAATAATAATAATAATGATAATGATAATAATAATAAGTCTGGTTTTGTATTGAAAATACTTTTGCTCTGATCTAACAGGATGAAGTCACTAAGGGTTTATCAGCTTACCACCTTTAACCACCTGTTCAGAATATTGTTTTCGAGAGAATAGACTACCCTTCTTTAGCGATAAGAGAGCACTTAGAGTGCCTATGCCTTTGAAATACTTTGATTTATTAGTTTTTTTGTTATATTTTGTTATTGTGTTCATGTTTGACCTTTTTTCTATGCATCTCCATGAAAAGCATAAGTAAGTGATACTGATGCTAAATTAGCTTACTTTATAAAATCCTAAACTGTAAATAGGGGAGACTGGGGAGGGATGTAACACTTTCTGCTTTGGCACCTGTAACTCACTTGTTTTTTGAGATAGCGATAAGTATCCCAAATGAGATCACAAAAAATAATTCAGTCCTCTGCATGAATATCATAAATCTAGTGAGCTGATGCTAAAATTGTCATACACTGCCTTAGAACCTACATTTTAATGAACATAAGTCATCATATTTTATTCATAATAGTACAAAATGAAATACAGCCTTGATAAAAAAAAAAAAAAAAAACTCACTCTCATACCTCAAAATCTTTTTTTTTCTTCTCTGCAGAAACAAGATGCCTCATTTTACACCCCCAAAAATCACCTCATGGACTTTTGGATAGAGTGTTAAACATTGACATAACAATGGGCCAACGTGTTATCCCTGATTGATGGAAATGGTGGGGTCACAACTCTCCCACTTAAAACGATCTCTGGTCTCCCTACAGTTAGACATTTTTATTTCCTGTCTTTGCCATTTTTTCTGGACATGTTTGACCCTTGTGGGTCTTTTAAGGTTAGATTTGACCAGCTCCAATTTTGATTAACAGCAACTGCCCCTCCCCCAAATGTACTGATATTGACTATAAATTTGATTCCTTCTCCTATTGACTTCATGTCCATTTACAGCAACATTGTATTCCTATTAACTTAACAAGAAACATTTCTTTTGCTAGTAGTTCCTTGAAAACTCCACACCAACATGGCACAAAGTGTGTCATGGGATCATTTTTGACCAGACAGGGTTAAACTAATGCAAAGCTGCAACACGCTCATTTTAACCACAAACAGATGCTTTCTACCCGGGTGTGCATAAGCATGTGTGAGTATGTCCTATCCAGTGCGCTCACATATGGTCTTTCTCACTATCGGTTATCCATTGCATGTAAAGAAACACATGATTTGATGAAAGAAATAAGAAAACAACAGAGACAATCCTAACTCACAGCCTTTCAGTTCAAAGTGCTTGTGACCAACTTGTGCAAACACACTGGATAGCACATGCACTTGCACATGTTTGAACAAAGACACCAAACACCCCACACTATCATCATCACCCTACTGCCATTTCAACAGCGGTTGCACACACACACACACACACACACACACACACACACACACACACACACACACACACACACACACACACACACACACACACACACACACACACACACACACAAAGAGATACACACACATAGGCACACACATAACAAAGGTCCTTTCTGTTGAGTCTAATGACATCCATCCCTGCCCCTATTTTGGGAGCTAACTATTCCTGGTGCATCATTATTGTCATTAGCAAAGTCTCATCATTAAACCATTAACACACATTATCACTATTATTCACAGGGCATTACACAGCATGTCTATCCCACAAAATAATGCCTCTCTCTGCACCTGCATGTTGTGCATGTGTTTGTGAGCGTGAATGTTTGGAGGGAGGACGTGCTGCCATCCCTGTCTCTCCGTTGTCTGAGTGACCTTGACAGAAAGACACAGTTGGATAGTTTCTATAAACTCATCCTGACTCGTAAACACTCCTCATCCTCTTCTGCAGGAAACTGGCTTACTTTGAACTTCCCAATTTGCTCCGCAGCTCTCCAGTAAGTGTGAAAATGAAGTTTTTAACTGAAAATGTGGCGTACACAGGCAAACAAAGGCTGAAAAGAAGGACAAGAAGTGTGAAAGTCATGGCACCCTACGGGTTTGAACTGAAACAGTTTCTTCAAAATGAGGCAGTGCTCAACCTCCAGACGTCCAGACAGGAGCATCTGTCAAATCCTTTCAAAAGGGTGTTTGCTCTGAGTGTGAGGCACGAAAACAGTGTTCTTAATCATTTCAAGGAGCTCTAATTCTGGCTGCGTGAAATGCCGAAGCTTTTTCTTGGAACGTTTTATGAAGACCTGACATGGTTTAAAATTCTCTGTCAATTAGCTTCTTTCTCGAGGACTTAGCCATTAAAGCTATTTTTGCTAAACACCACACAAGCACACAATTCATTCCTTTTCACAATTATGACGTGTCAAATTAGCGCATCAGGATTTTCTGTCAAACAAGACACTGTTCAACACAAAAACAATCTTTCATATATCAGACCAGATAGACCTTTTGAACTTTCCAATTTTATAAACTACATCAACTCTTAATCACTTTAACACAACAACTGCTCTGTTAGGCGGGGTATAAACACTTTTGACATTTTGTGACATTTAACGTTTTTATTACATATAAATATATATACATATTGAACAAATGTATCCTTTGACATTAAACGTCCTTTCATAATTTGGGGACTTTTGATAGATTCAAACAAACACTCGATGCTTCAGAATTTAAGAAACAGCTTCAGGGTTCATTTTGTAAAATTTGACTAAAAGACAAAACCCTGGACATGAGACACATCGGATTAGACTTGAATAACAAGGTCATATTTTCTTATGTCCTTCATCTGTTCTTCTCCTTTTTATTTCAGTGTTTTCTCTGTGAGGTCTGTTGAAGATAAGAGATTAAAATCTTCAGGGTGGGATGAAGTTTCAACAAATAAATCATCAGATAGTAGATAAAACGGGGTAAGGGCCACACTGGGACACATTCCTGCTTAATAAAGCAGTTTATTACTGCAACAGAGTGCCTCCACACCTCAGTTTGAACTGCTTTTTATCTGGATGAACTTTTGCGAAGAACCAGGTCAGTCATTTTTTCATTTCACAGTTCTGACGGCTTATTTTGGCTTTCATGCAGCAGCCTGAGAAAACCTAATTGTGCTGACGTCCTCACATAAATATTACACGTTCATTTATTTAATAATAAACTCTTATTCTCTGTTTTCTTGGGAAAAGTCTGTGAAACCCTTTAGAAATGTTTGACAAATGAAAGAATTTCATGTGTTTGATCCTTTTCTTTTGTAGGCCCATCTGGGATCGGCATTGCAGATTAGTTATGGCGATGAATGCAACGCCACATACTTGTCCCTATATGTTTAAATAGTTGACAACATGAAAATAAAAAGACATCCAGCTTAAACCAGACTGCTTTTCCCAGTCAGTCTTTGAAGTGGAAATATTGAACCCATATTTTTGACTAACAATAGCACAGGACTCTAGAATCCCTCAGCCAACCAGATGATATTGAGTATCTGAGATATTCAACAAATCATTGGTCATCAGACTCTCCAGGCTGGGTGTGTCTGCAGATCGAAGCCGATACTAAAACAGACACCCAAGTGTGAAATGTAAACATGGACACAAATCAGAAGAAGCTGAGCGGTACAAACAGAAATCATTTCCACTGTCTCTGAAAAACAAATGTGAGGAAATCACTTCTGTTGGCTGCAGATGAAAAACTTTTAATAAACCAAGAACTTGAACTGTCACCTGGGTATGCAAAAGGAGTTTTTAGAAAAATATCCTGATTATTTTAAGCACATCCTGACAGGGTGAGTAGGTGGAAACTGTATTGTAATTGTGTGGCCTTCATATAACATGAGATCTTGGAGGATTAGAAAAAAATCAATCTGTGCAACAACATTCGTAATGATATGCATAAATTACTCAAATAATCCTCCTTGCAAATGAGACCAAGCTTTTAAAATTTACAATCCCTACAAACTCCAGTGAGTCTATATATTTTTTTAAACAGAGGTCATGAGATCTGACAACAGAGGGCTCATGTACACACAAACACAGACACACACACACACCCTGCAGATGTGGACACTTTCTCCTTCTCAAGTCCCATTGGACCAAAGCCTAGAGGTCGTAACATGCTGCTTTAATCTGAACGATTTAGGGTGTCCATACGGGGCTTTTATAATTGATTTACAAGAAAGATGTTCCCCACCATCTGTCTTATGTAATGGGCAGCGTCATTAAGAGACATTCTCACAACCACAACAGCAGTGTTGCCAACTTTGGTTTCATTGGAAGGTGGCGTGAAGTTCTGTTCAGTCCGCTTTAATTGTCCGCTATCAGTTCTCATTAGCAGTGAAGAAAGATACTGAACACTTCCAGGTTCCTGTGTTGGATGGTTGTTATTTTTCCTTCAAGATGATCCACACTTTCGTGACTTGCTTTAAATCTCTCTGGATGTAGCATCCCAGTGGGTTTTAGATAGTCTCTCATCCACTCTTCTTTTATTTGCACCATGATGGTTTTT